TTTCTGTTTGAAGTGGTGTGATCTTAAAGAGGATCAAGTCGCTCGCCGGGTAATACGCTTACAGAGTGATGGAATTCAAAGGCACCTGCTCCCGTCGAAAGCACAAGCCGTGTGAACTCCCCCCACCGCGGATTACGAGGCAAATTCCAAATTTTACTTCCTCTTGATATTGAAAGGGGACTTAATGGAAAGGAGACTCCGGTACATGTCATCTTGAGTCTTTGGCTTGTAGATGTTTGCGTTTGGATACTTATTAAACCATGAAGAGAGCGGCTTGGGACAATAAACGAGACCCAGACAGTTAGATGAGAAGATAAAGCGAGAACTACCAGGGGAGTTAGAAGACCCCGTTGTGGTTTGTCTGACAAACCCAAATTCCCCCTTCCTCTCAACCTTTTCCGCTTGCCCCGCTCTTCATATTTCCAGTGGTAACCACCGCTACCCATGAGACCGTGGCGGTAACTTTTCAATTTAGAGTCTGCGGACGAGCACAGAAGGAACTGAGCGAAATACACCATCCTTGGAAGACAAAACCAGGTGTGTTTTTGAGAGCTTGTGTTCCTCCCCCTTGCATTTATTTCCCGCCTCAAGGGAAAAAAAAAAAACTTTTCAACTGGTCCCGGTCTCGGCAGACTTGTCAACTTTCTCCTCCTCCTTCCTTCCTCCCTCCCTCCTTGGTTTCTCGACGCTCACCTGTCTCGCTCAGTGCTCCTCGCAGAAACTTTGCCAAAATGATGCAGGAAGTGTCGATATCGGTGGCTTACGACGCTCACGTTATTAATCAGATTAACGAAGAGGATTTCTTTGCCAGTCTGGTGGCCAACTCCAAACCTAAACCGGTGGTAAGTCTCACTCAAATGGCTTTTTACTGTTTTTCTTTTGTTTTCTTTAAAAAATATTGATTTGGCAGCAAGAATGCCGTCTTGTTTTGTTGTATAAGCCTTTTTCTTGTCTCAGGCGTTCCACTCTGAGAAATATCCTGTAATGAAATTACAAGGCTGTACAATTTCCCCCATTATCTTATTATTCCAAGGAATGCTAACTTGGAGTTGAAAATACTGTGTGTGTGTTGGTAATAAGAAGAACATGGCTGTGTTCGGGAGCAAGCGAATGTCTGTCGACCTAATGCAATTTTGCATGTTGTGACTTTTTTTTTGCTCTCAAGTAGATGTTTTGAATACTCCGATGAGCCTAGTGACCTGAATATTCAAAAACTGTCCGGGCGAATGCACTGGTTTAACAAATTCCAGTACACCAAAATTAAGCTTTGCAGTTCTTGCTTTGTTTGTAACAACAAGAACTTGTACTAAAAACTGCCACAGCAACTGTTTTACACTACACTCTTAGAAGAAATGGTTCTATTTAGAACCAGAAATGGTTCCATCCCCCGCTTCATATATGGAACTCCAAAATGGTTCTATATAGAGGTTCTATTGGCCAAGTATGGAACCCCAGGATTCTATATAGAGCCCAAAGGAACCCTTTTTTAAGAGTGTATAGAACCTTTTGGAACATGTGCTGTTAATGTCAACTTGAATGGAAAATGGAGATCAGCTACTCATTCATACTGTACCTGTGTAGGTGTCTTGGATGTATAAACTCGTCATTTACACGACCACTTGAGGCGAAACCTCCCTGACGAACTTTCCATATGTATAAGGCTTTGAGTGTTAACGTTTGTGCTGAAACTTGACTTCCATGTTGGTTGTGCCATTTTAACATGTCATTCTGTGGTCTGTGGCTGTACATAGCACATCCGGACTGCGTGTTCTTGTAACATCTCTTCATCTAGTGATGCCTGGTCTCTTATCTACACCGTTGAATGTCAGATTAATAGGCTTCTTCTCGTTCCTTTTTACTCCTCTCCGTCTCTGAGGCAAGCGTCACTAAGCCTAACCAGAAGTATTAAACGTTGGGACATACCTTGTGTGTTTCGAGAGAAAACGAGTTTATGAGATATCTAGACACCATAATATCATTGGGCTCTTTAGACTAGCAAAGCTCCCTATATTAGAAAACACATCCAAGCAACCACCCAGAATGCCCTAGTAATGGCCTTGCAATAACCCAATTCCCTAGAGCATCCACCCTAAAAACCCCTCCTTTCTCTTTTTCTGTCTCTTCTCCTTTTCTGTCCTGATATTATGAATCAATTGTTTGCTTATCCTCCTAGTTGACTCTGTTCTGAAGAGTTTGTATCATGTTCACATTCCTCCGAACAGTACAACGGACACTTTGTGCTGGAGTAGAAAGGCGAAGGTGGCTGTTTGTAACCCTTTTTTTTCCCAAAAGGAGAAGTCAGTTTACTCAAGCGCAAGCTTTTGACTTGTCATCGTTACAACTGCTTTCCCCAACAACAAAAAAAGCCTGTGGCTTCGTTGATAACACAAGTGGTGCAACAGTTTCTTGCTCCGGCGACCCTCATCCTGATGTCAGAGGTCAAATACACTGTATGGTATCACGGATGACGGTCAACAATGAGCTGCTGTTCAGAAGAAGTGATGCAGATAGAGATAAGAGAAAAAGAAGGCTCCTTTTGTGTTTTTTGGAAGTGAATAAAGCAGAAACATGGAGATTCAAAATGATATGATCCAGCAAATTTCTGTTCGTTTGCCCTCAAAGTGATGTTGGTGTGGCAGTACACATTTCTGCTTTGTGTGCGAGCAGAAATGAAGTACTCAAATGAAGTAGCCAATTATGACAGGCTTTATGAAAACTGATCCCAGACTTGCTGAATGAAGACTGTAATAAACAAAGTCCCCTGCAGTAAACCCGGATGAAGAGATCCCCTCAGGACTGGCTTCACTGAGCGCGCTCCACCCTCAGAGACTCCATGCTAACTCCGGCTAAGCTACCATAGCAACAGACAGGAGCGCTGCGCTTTTAAAGGCTCCTGAGATGCCTTTGCTTTTTAAAGGAAGTGTAGAAAGGGCATTTGAAGCTCATGCTGTTTGTCGATTAGTGTCTTACCAAATACTGTATGTGGAAAAATTCTATATTAGACATTACTCCTGACATATGTGTCGCATGATCCTTCAAAAATCATTCTAATATGCGGATTTGGTGCTCAATTATTAATAATTCTGATCTATTAATTAATGGTTCCTATTATCAGTGTTTTTGCTGCTTAGAATTCTTTGATTAGAAAGAACAAAAGGGAATCATTTATTTGAAAAAGAAATATTTTTTGTAACATCATAAATGCCTTTACTGTCACTTTTGACACATTTAATCCAATTAATTAACGAAACAAATATTTGTTGGTTTTAAAATCCGATATTCCGATATATCAGCCGATATTGTTTTATTTATTTTTTAATTTCAGAAACGCGCAACAAAAAACATTAACAGATTTCCCTAACATTAGTTAGTTATTTATGAGTTTTAACTAACTAAAATAATATGATAATGCACATGAGTGTTGCCAACAGGGACGGTGTAGAGTGCCCTCTGGTGGACAAACTATACGACTCCAACACTCATGACATGGTTCAAGCGTGTTTCATCCGTTTTTATTTTATTTTTGAAATATTAATTTATCGGCTATTATAACTGCCGATACCGATAGTTTGGAAAATGCCTAATATCGGTCTACCGATATATCGGTCTGGTTCTAATATATATAAATACTTTTTGTAAGTTTGACCTTCCTTCTCTTTTATTTTGTACTCTTGATATTTTAAGTAATGTCCTACCCTGGCAATAATAATAATATATCTATAATGATTTTTACTTGGAATTTTACCTTCTTTATAGTAGTGAACAGTCTTTATATATTTTGTACATTTTTACATATTATTTATATTTAAGTTTCATTATAACATTTCTTGAAATGTTAAAAAAGAATGTTTAATGCGGCCGCAAGACCGGCCTGCAAATTTAGCCGTGTCTTTCCCTGAAAATAAGTGCACGCCTTAAACGTTCAACCAATCAGAACCAAGCATTCAACAGTCCTGTAATATAGTTAATTAAAATGAAATTCAATGTAATTGATATAATATATTAAAGGCATTGTTCACCCAAAAATGAAACTTCTGTCATTAATTATTCATCCTCATGTCGTTCCAAACTTGTAAGACTTTCGTTCATCTTTGGAACACAAATTAAGATCTTTTTCATGAAATCTGAGAGACACACAACTACACCACTGTACCACTTTAGAAAGTTAAAGTCATTCTTTTTTATACATTCTTTGATGGAGGAAGCTTTGACGGTATTAAACAGCGTATTTATGGATGTTTTTTGCGAGATGTTGTACGTTTTACAAACCTAATCTCTAATTTCCTGTCTTCTTAGGTGCCGACAAAGAAGCTGAAGAAGTTTGAGAAGGAGTATCAGTCTCTGAAAGAGAGCCAGCTTCAGCAGGAAGACCCAATAGACAGATATCAGGTAAGCAGGAACCTGATTTAGCCTCCCCTCCTCCAGTCCTCATCCTCACCTCCTACGTTCATCTTCATCTTCATCTTCGTCTCACTCTGTCTCAGTTCAGGACTGTGTAGCGGGCTGCACTGGAAACCACAGACGCTGTACGTCGCAGGGAAAGAGCTAAACACTCGCCAAACATTCGCATTGTAGACTCTAGATTTTATACACCAAATATTTTAATTTATTTTTTGAGCATTTAAATGAAGGAAAAAGTGACATATTTTTTTTATTTAAGTGCCTTGTTTATTTTTTGTATCATACATTTAAAAAAAAAAAAAAAAAAAAGCTGTCACGTAGCTTTTGTGTTTTTGTTGGCACATTTAAGTCTCATGTTTACAGGAGCTGAAATGTTTAAAAGGCAAAAAAACATGCTTTTTTATTTAAAGTGATTTGAATGTATTACTTTTTAAAGCTTATATTTTTCAAACAAAATGTGTAACCCAAAGCTATATGTATAACTTTTTTTAATATTTGTTTGAATGTGTGCTTTCAAAAGCAACGTGCAGTGTTAAAAAGCCAAGCATGCTATTAAAGGAAGCTCCATTACTCAGTGGTTTCCTTGCTATCACTTCCTATTTACCCTCTCCCTCACTCACCCATCTAACCAATGAGATTCCCTCACTCACCCATTTAACCAATGATCTGTGGCGGGGGGTGGAGCATGGACAGCTGGTGTTGTATGTGTGGAGCGGTGCTGGATGGGGAAGGCCTCTGCGGTTGTTCTAGTGGGTGTTGTATTCACTGTGTTGGGGTCGACGGTGCAGGTAAGCCTTCAGCCCACCAGCGCTCATTGGCTACTAACGTCTGCCTGCATGTGTGTTTGTTTCTCTGATCCATTTAAAATGATGACCTCAAGCCTTACATGTTACATTAACTGCTGTGCACAAGCTAACCAGCAATGTGTGTGTTTGTAAATGGAAGTCAGATGACAGCTTTCCCCTTCCTGATAAGGAAATGTGTGTCATGTGAGGCAGTGGGAGACTCCCTGTGACAACGCCAGCTCTCTAATCAGGCAATGCAGAAGTCACACTGTGGTCATTTAGTGCGATTTCTAAAGACTGGATGTGAAAAACTGTTCCTAGATCAGCTTGTTGTCCAAGTCTCTTTACATATGGCTCTTAGTTTTTTAGTCAATGTGCAGCTTTTTGTGTGTTTCCTGCTTTTATTTGGGAGGGATAGTCTACTAAGTTATGAGTTATGTGGAATATACTTCAAATTAAATTATTTTTGGAATATTTAATATACAAACATGCATGAATGCATTAGATTTCTGACTAAATTACTATTGCCGGGTCTATGTGAGCCGTTTCATTTTCCGTTTTAGATGTTTAATTTAGGGCTGTCAAACGATTAATCGCAATTAATCGCATCAAAAATAAGAGTTTGTGTTTACACAATATATGTGGGTGCACTGTGTAATTATTTTATATATATATAAATACACACACATGCTTGTATATATTTAAGAAATATTTTCATGTATATACTGTATATAGATTTATATAATTTATATTATATATAAATATTTATATATAAATGATTTTTTTTTTCTTAAATATACAAGCATTAATCGCGATTAATCGTTTGACAGCCCTATATAGTTTAATTATAATTTTTGTAATCATGCTATTATTATCTTAATTAATTACTTGTTTACCATCTTTGTACTATTATTATTATTATACCACATTTTTTTTAATTATTATTTGCAGTTATCTCAACTTATTACAATTTCAATTTTTTTACTATTGTATCTTTATTTGCCATTATTATATTATTTGCCTGTCTATAATGCTTTATAATTATTATCTTCTTCTATTTTATGCACTTTTTTACTATTATTTATTTATTTATTTGACTATTAATTACTTGATTTATTACCATCTTGATTTTTTTTACTATTATTATATAGTCTTTTAGTAATTTATATATTTGAGCTATTATTTTTTTTGCTATTATTAATTTAACCTTTTTTAATAATAATATTTTATATACTTTTACTGTTTATTGTTACTTTTTTACTGAATTAAATATATATAAATATATATTTACTGTAATTACAATATTTTATTATTTTAGAAGACTTTTTAAATATCTTAATTTATTACCCATCTTTAATTTTGAATGATATTATAATATTTTACTACTGTATATTTGTTTACTATATATAAGATAATAATAGGAAATAAAGCAGTATAAAAACAGTGGAAAAAAAATAACATTTTATTAAAAAAATATATATAATAAAAAAATATGCTCTGCTGACAAAAAATAAGAAACGGTCAAAATATTGAAACAGTCATTGGAGTATTTTAGTGACAAAATTAGTATATGTCCTTTTATTTTGTTGCATTCATGTATTGCACAACGGTGCAGTTTACACAATCATGTACTTTTGTAATGCTTACATGTGAGTGCTTGGGAAATTTGAGTCTGTAGCTTGTGCAAAGATGGCCTCGCAGTCTTTTCAGTCTCCGTCTGTTAACCTGCCCGAGTTCTCCTCCATAAAGTAATGAATGAACCGCGTATGTGTCCCTGCAGAGAGAAAACCGGCGACTGCAGGAGGCCAGCATGCGTTTGGAGCAGGAGAACGATGATCTGGCCCATGAACTGGTGACCAGCAAGATAGCACTGAGGAATGACCTGGACCAGGTACTTCTACACTAGTTAACACACTATACATTGGCTTTTGTTTAGATCTTGTGTGTTTAAAAGATCTGCATTCTCAGGCCGAGGACAAAGCTGATGTTTTGAACAAGGAACTGCTCAACACTAAACAACGTCTGGTAGAGACCGAGGAGGAGAAGAGAAGACAAGAGGAGGAGACAGCACAGGTACGAGGATCGAGGACTCTATGGAGTATTAAACTTAACTGCTACAGACATGAACGAGACTGTTTTTGCTTTTCAGCTGAAGGAAGTGTTCAGGAGAGAGCTGGAGAAAGCAGAGTTTGAGATCAAGAAGACCACAGCTATCATAGCAGAGTATAAACAGGTATGCTTGAGTGTCCCATACATATCTAGAAATCCCATAATTCTCTAAATTCACCTCACACTATAAGATAAATGGTTACTGAATCAGGATTATTATAATTAACTGAAACTAGAAGAACCATTAAAAAAAACATTTGTTGCTTGAAATAAAATAAATGTTAACTGAGAAAGAAAAAATAATATTTTCATTTAGTTATAACTGAAACTAAATTTAACTAAAAATGTAATTAAAATAATAAAATGGGATCAAAATATTTTAAAATTATTAATAAAAATATACTAAAATAAATAAAATGTTTAAAAAATGTAAACTATTATTTCAGTTAGTTGCTAAGGGAACATTAATTTCCATTTCTAAAATAAGTAATCAATTTCATCTAACTGTTGGGGGGACAATAAACAGCAAAATTATCGAGCACATTTTTAAAGTGAACACAAATAATACAGCCAAAATTTGAATTGTAGCTTACACAAAGGTATAGTTTATAATAATTCAATTATCTTGTGTCCTCCACCTATTTTCTGAACTTAAAATAATTGTGTACGCAGTAAAACAATACAAACGATTTAAGTATATATCATTATATTATTTACAACACACAGTATGGTTTTAATGATATTTTTAGGGGGGCTACCCTCAGATGGGGTGGGTCCTCACCCAAAAATTACAAAAACTTAAATATTGAATGAAAACGGAATATATATTTAAAAAAAAAAAAATCAAACTAGTAAAATAAAAAATATAACATAAGTCTGAATAACATTAAAACAACATGACTGAAATAAAATGCTAAAATATAAACTTATGTTATTAAGCCAAGAAACATTTTTTTTTTATTTAACTTGATGTACTAAAATACCTAAACACTAGAACTGAAATAAAAACATTATAGAAATAGATAAAAATGATAAAAACGACAAAAATGGCTAAAACTTCAACTGAATCGAAATTGGAAAATATAACCAAAAACGAATTCAAGCTAGAAATGATATCAAAATAACATCTTCAGGACCTTACATCTCTTTTAGGAATTATTTGTGATGGATGGCGTATAATAAGATGTTTTTGTGATGTTAGATATGTTCCCAGTTGAGTACGAGGCTGGAGAAACAGCAGGCGTCCACAAAAGAAGAACTGGATATAGTTAAGGTGAGTAACTAGTCTTTGAGTGCTCTAATGTGGTCTGTTGAGTCTGTGGCGATCATATCTCTCGTTCCTCCAGGCTAAAGTGATGGCGTGCGAGCGCTGTAGAGAAGTGTTCAGCAAAGACGGACCCCTGCAGATCCCTGCGGTGAGTCAGGACAACCGGGACACGGACGTGGATGAGGAGAAGGACTCGCTCAAGGCCCAGCTGAGAGAGCTCGAGCTAGAGCTGGCGCAAACCAAACTCCAGCTGGTGGAGGCCAAGTGCAAGATCCAGGTCAGTCGTCACGCTGACTTTTATCTGTTTAAAGGGAGATATTTGTTCTAAACCACGGACTTAGTAGTTTACAATAAACACATTTGAAATCAGTGTTTTATAGATATTGTTGTATCGCAATACATTTTAGTGCCAGGTTAACAGTCGTAAAGTCTTAACATTTACTATTTGTAACATTTTGAGAATAGTTGTGTTTTCACTACGTCACTTTAGTATTGATTTTCTTATGACTTCTCAAATTCCAACTTTGTAGTTCTGACTTTATGCTCAAAATTTCAAAAGTATTACTACAATTTCAGTGTTGTGTCTTGATTCACATAATTTTGACTTTTATCGAATTTTACAATTTATTTTCTAAATTTTGACTAACCTGTGAATTTATTTTAAATTATTTTTATTTATTTTTACCTGTGAACTTTGTTCACGCAATTTTGATTTAAATCTCATAATGTTAAGATTTTATTCACGTAATTTTGACTTAAATCTCATAATGTTACAACTTTGTTCTTGTAATTTTGACCCAAATCTCGTTTTACATATTTCTGACTTAAATTTCATATTGTTACGACTTCCATGTAATTTTGCGTTACTTTCATAATTTTGACTATTCTCGTTGTTTACTTTATTCTTGTCATTTTTCTTAAATCTTTTATCGAATTTTACAACTTATTTTCTGAATTTTGAATAACCTGTGAATTTTTTTAAATTATTATTATTTTTATTTTTTTACCTGTGAATTTTGTTCACGCAATTTTGACTTAAATCTCAGTTACGAGTTTATTCACATGACTTTGACTTAAATCTCATAATGTTACAACTTTGTTCATGTAATTTTGTAATTTTGACCTAAATGTCATGTTTCACAGAATTTTGACTTAAATTTCATTATGTTAAGACTTTATTTACATAATTCTGACTTAAATCTCATTATGTTACGACTCTGTTCACATAATTTTGACTTAAATCTCATAATGTTACAACTTTTTTCATGTAATTTTGACCTAAATCTCATGTTTCACATAATTTTGGCTTAAATTTCATTGTTCAGACTTTATTCACATAATTCTGACTTAAATCTCATAATTTTATGAGTCTATTCACATAATTTTGACTTAAATCTCATAATTTTACAATTTTGTTCATGTAAGTTTGACCTAAATCTCATGTTTCACATAATTTTGACTTAAATTTCATTATGTTAAGACTTTATTCACATAATTCTGACTTAAATCTCATTATGTTACGACTCTGTTTACATAATTTTGACTTAAATCTCATAATGTTACAACTTTGTTCATGTAATTTTGACCTAAATCTCATGTTTCACATAATTTTGACTTAAATTTCATATTGTTACGACTTCCATGTAAGCTTTGCGTTACTTTCATAATTTTGACAATTCTCATTATGTTTACTTTATTCTTGTCATTTTTACTTAAATCTCAGAATTTTATGTGACTTTGCTCACAAACTTTTGCTTTAATCTCATAATTTTGACTTTATTTTAGTCTTTTTGACTTAATTTTCAAACGATTACACATGTACTCTTGTACTGTTAAGACTGTATTCTCAAAACTTTGACTTTATGCATGCCTACTTACATTTTTTTCTGGCACTAAAAATCTGCTGTCGTATCTTGCCAAAGAAACTCAGTTAACGCATGTTGTAAATATTACTTGGCAGTTTACAGCCATGTCAGTTTACAGTAACTTAAATATGATTTGTTAATGTCATGTACCAGGAGCTGGAGCATCAGAGGGGCGTTTTGATGACTGAGGTTCAAGCTGCCAAAAACTCCTGGTTCAGTAAAACACTGGGCAACCTCAAGACTTCCTCCGGTAACCAGTCACCCTCCTCACCCAAAGAGGGCCAGTAGGACTCGCCAAAGGTTAGAGGAGCGTGACCCTTCCGCTTGGCCAATCGGAGTAGAAAACAAGCTGTCTAATGAACACTACTAGCAACACAACATGGCAATGCAGTATTCCCTCACATGGACTAATGAAGGACTTGAACAACCCTCCATCCAGATGCACTTACTACTGTTACCATTTTCTTTGCTTGTGATGCCACCTAGTGGATATTAGCAAGTACCAGAGTAACAATTATTCCTTTTACCCATGTTCAACCCGTTATCCACTTCTGTGGATTGAAACTACCAGTTCTAGCATGCAAGTACATAAACTATGACCTTTAGACCATCAGTTGCTTTACTCAGAGGGAATACTGCATTCTGCTTACCATTAAAAGTAAAAAAAAAAAAAATTTCTATATAGAAATGATAAATGTAACAGTTTTGTCATATAAATATGTATAACTATATGTTGATTTTTATTTTAATCTTGTACAGTTCTGAAAGGAAAGTGTTCCATTATTTTTTACGATTTTGAATATGAATGTCCTCTTTATAAATGTCAAATACCGAAAAGCACAGAAAATATAGACCACGTATGGAAACAAGCATTCCCTTTCCGTCCACTCTCGTAGTTCTCCATTGCTGTAGACTGTTCGTAGACGAATTCGCAGTGAGCACGTAATTCGTCAGACGACGCGAAGCTTTCACGTTTGCGATGGCCACGCTGCACATATTGTTTATTTGATGTTATTTAACAAGTATGAGCGATTCAGTGACAAATGCCAGGCAGAAAGCACAAACTTGTCATGTCCGAGCATCTTAAAAGCCATATGGAGTCAAAGTGAACACCTGCAATCAATTTCATCTGCTATTTGTCAGGATGTCCATATTAATAGTTTTCCTATACGTGTTGTGTTTTACCAAGCGTGTTGCCTCTTATTCACGCTAACAAGTCACCGTATTAACACTGATATAAAAAAAGGTCTTGTCTTCTATTTTGTCATTTTTGAAATTGTGGTTTAAAAATGCCAAACTAATACTACAAATTAAGAAAGAGGTGTCAGTTTAATATGAACTGATAATGCTGTCCTGTGGGTTTCTACAGATGGTTACAGGAGATTTTTATATAGTAATCTACAGGACGGAAAACGTCTGTTCCAGCCTGCTGATGTCGTCTGTCTAGTAACTAGCCTATCTGACAGTAAACATATGGTTCTTGGTCCATGTTTCATTTGATTCACACCTTTCGTTATTTCAATAAACAGTAATGCTAATTCAGCTTTTGTCTGTATATCTTTTCTGGCAATATCTCAGCTTCGCTTACCTTTCTGCTTATTATTTTTTATACACTGTGTGATTTTTTTTTTACCCCCATCTAGTGGCGAAAAGATATATGACCATCCAGCGAATATTAGTTTCTGTTCCTCTCAATTCCGATTTCGTTTTAACTCCTACGGTGGCCAATGTAGTCCAAGATTAACATGGCTTCCAGTTCGACCTCGTCCATGAGTGTTAACTCAAAGGTAAACGCGAAAGGCGAAGCTTGAATTAACGGGTATGTCCCTCTTTGGCTAATGTACTTTCAAGATGGAGGGGCAACATGGCGACCGACATTAGAACCCCTTACCCGTATGGCGTATTATACACTCACGAGAATACTTTATTACTTGAACGAAGTAAATATACATTAATGAGCACATATATTTTTTAAAGAACTAAGTGTTTTTAGCTAAGAATAAACTAAAAGAGTTACACAGTGTAGCTTTAAGTTATATTTTAGACTCTTGCCTTTATTTTATAGGTAGACGTTATTAGTTTAAAGGTATAGCGGAGGATCTTTCCGAATTTTAGAGAAGACCCGCCCTCTCCAATTTAAAAAAAAATAAAAAAATGCACATGCACAAACAGCAAACACAACACTCCCGAGAAGGAACACCTACTATTACGCCTTGCACAATTATGTTGCAAATTGTAAACTAACTCAAAAATATTCATAAAAAAGACAACATGTCAAATGCCCTTCCGTGTTTTATTTACTTATTATACTGATCGATTGAGTGACCGAGGACTCAAGACATGATATGTCCAACCCTGTATCACACAAAATACGATCTGAGGAAACTATTTTGCAAATCGCAAGTTACGTTACAATTGTTTATTATTTTTGTAACACAATTGTATGTAAACATAAAGAAATACACTTCTTATGATGAAGCGTCCAATCTGTGGTATTCCACTAACATAACTTTTATTCATTATCTCTTATTTTAAATCCAAATGTTGTTACTGAAAATGTTTTTTCAGCATTGTTTTTCACAGTAAAGTTTGGTACAATCTTTCATAGACATATTCACTTTTAAACGCACTACATCACCATCACCATAAAGTGCCTTTGACACTTCAGTTTACATGATAAAAAGCTGGGATTTTCCATTTATATTCATGTGTGTTGTGTAAAGGAGAGACCTAGGCTGTTAGAAATGTATTTTGGTCAAGTTCCAGCACTTTTTATAAGTTAATTGTAAGCTGACAATGTATGAGCAAACCACTATATGTCCACCCTATCATGAACTATTTCACAATATATTTTCATTGCATTTTCAGAAACAATTAATTTTAGTTAATCGGAAAAGTCTTTGATAATAAACAGAGAATTCACAATGCTGATTTTTTAGTAACAACATTTCCAAATTTAAAACATAGAATACAGCAGTGGATCATTCGCTTTCTGTAAACGCTTCATATTTTGTGAAATATGTGTGAAGGCACCATCCAGTGTTTTTGTGTGATATCCCAAAATTCACAAAATATGGTGGATGGCAAAAGTGACTAAATGGTTATGTGACAGGAATACAGAACATTCACAGAATTGTACAGTAGGTTGTAACATCAGAACTCTTTGTGTTTTACATTAACTCAAATAATCTGTAATTGTGGTTATATTTGTTGCAGACAAATTCTACATTTTAGTCTCAAACACAAATCTGGCCTCAGAATAGTTGAGGAAATGAAATAACAGCAGCCCGTTATATGGGGTCGCTCTCTGTGTGACCAACATCATCCAGATAGTCGTCTGCAAAGTTGAGCATCTGCTGTATTGCATTGAGAAGCAGGACGTCACAGTTGAGCTCCAGCTCCAGCTCCTGACTGTAGTTCTTCACCGGTAACACACAAGACACCGGCACACCCAACCGAGAGCTCACCTCCTGCACCTGCACAGACAAAACCACATCTCAGTCACTCTGAGTCCTGTGGGAACAGCTCATGTGATCATGTGACCATGTCTCACCTTCGTCTTGATGTAGGAACTGACATAAAGGCTTTGAAGATCTTCCTCCACTAGAGGACATGCTTCATCTACTTTTGTCAGCAAGACGATCTGAGCAATCCCTGAAAATAATGAGGTGTGTGACATCTCAGTTAGCTCAATGTACAACCTACTTTGGATTAGCCACATGATTGGCATAAATATGGTCACCTTACCCAGTGAGTTCACTTTTTTGCGTATGGCAGCGAGTTTTTCCTCTAGTTTGCTGGACATGATGGAGATTTTGGTGGCGTCGATCACATACACCACACAGTGGATCTTCTCCTGCAGAGATGCAGGTCTGGAAGACTTTTTCTCATCCGGTTGAAACGCTGTTGTGGGGTTGAACTGAGGATAGAGCATGAAACAAACGTTTTATCATTCATACTTTAACCCTTATTCATTTTGGAGAACAGTGTACTTACTTTATAACGATCTGGTACGTGACCTTGAAGAATGCTGCTGATGTCATCAATATCCAGTCCTGCACCTGATTGCTCCTCGAGTCCCATGGTGTCACACAACACAAATGGCAACGGCTTTCCTTCACGACCGTCTTTCACTGGATATGTGCGAAACTACCAACCAAGAAGAGAAACACATCAAGACCTGAAGTCTGTTCTCGCCCTGAAGAGACACTTCTGTAGGAAACACTGAATCCTGTTGAATCTGAACCTGTGTGGTGAGACTAGTGCCGGCAGATCCTGACATGGCTTTGCTGGTTATGCGGCCCATGAAGACGGAGTTGATGGAGTTGAAGAAACTGGATTTTCCAGCACCTACAGGACCGATCATTAGGATTCTGACCCGACTCACAGACTTCATCAGGGGTTTATAATTCCTGATCGATTCCATGAGCTCGTCTTTTCGTCTACAGCATAAACACGTTTATAACCGTATATTAAATTACAATAGAAAAATATAGCTGCATGCATTGATGATGGGCCCAAACCCTGACGCCTCCACCACGTCCGTGGCTTTAGTACGTGCATGACAGACAATTTAAAGCAGGTAAAAGTAAAATAACTTTCAAAATTGTTTGAATATGCCACATTTACTGCAGCCAGCGCCACTATGACCATGAACCACAACAGCCACTTCCATAAGATCAGTAACATTTAGATGAATATCATGTGCTAGAATGTATTCACTTTCAAATGAGTGTGAATTTATCATTTGCAGCTCAAAATTTTTGAGTCCATAAGTATTTATACATTTTTTTATATTTGCTTTAATCTGATTATTAAACTAACTAAAACTATGTTGTCGGTCACACACAGAGGTAGAGTAAGATCAATGGATTAACTGTTTACCAGTTAGTTGAACCAGAAGATTCAACATTTTAAACCAAAAAATTTTAATCTAAAGTGTGACAGAAAGTAGATTCAAGTAGATGTCTAATATATATCCAAAAGCAATACCTAATAAAATAAGTCATTCTGGAAACACTGTTCTCAGCAACTTTTCAAAAGTGTGTGAAGTTATCATTTACTGCTCAAAATTAAGTATTTATCTTAAGGTCTTTTTAAAAGTTTATTAACATAATTTTTAAACTTACTCAGCTGTCCACAGAACGTTCCTCCATGGTTTCTCCTCAGCACTGATTTGAGAGCCTGCCACAATAAGTAAAACATTAACAATAAGTTATTTAAAAGGACTGAAACTTGTACATGACTACATGTGCATATTAAACTCTTTTTTTCTGATGATCGACTTACACTGCTCCACTTTGTACACCTCACATTCAGTCAATTGAGTGTCGTTCCCATACATTATTGCCGCATTAAAACTAAATATGCTCCCTCCTTGATTTAACAAAAGGGGTTGGTTGCTGTAACAAAAATACAACTGTTGGCCAAAGTTGGGTCCTCCAGTATCATCAAGGCGTGCATTACCTGTATATCCACTGGTAATTTTAATGCACACAGGGACATTGCCTTGAAAGCTGAACAGGAATATGTCTGGATCAGTAATTTGCTGCCCGCTTTGAGCATACTCTACACTAGTGTATCCACCAAAGATGTAGCCTGATCTGTTATAGGCTACAAGTAAAGTGGGACCCTGACGGTCACATCGCTGATGGAAGGCAGAAGCAGTATATCCATGAACAGAAGCTTTGTAGAGAAGAGTCAGGTCAACATTCCCCAGCAAACCACAGAGCTGCTTTCTTTGCTCTTCTGATAAATCAGAAGTGAGGGCGTCCGTGGGAACATTTCTGACTTGTCTTTTATACATCCTTGAAGACAAACACATGCAAATAATACAATATAAATTGAGCTTAATGAATTAAAGGGATAGTTCACCCAAAAATGAAAATTCTGTCAGTTTTTAGTTACTCACCCTCATGTTGTTCCAACCCCGTAAGACCTTCGTTCATCTTTGGAACACGAATGAAGATATTTTTCATTAAATCTGAGAGCTGGATCACTGCCACATAGGCTTCTAAGGGATTAAAACTTGCCGGCCCCAAAAAGTTATTAAAGACATCTTTAAAATAGTCCAAGTGACTACAGTGGCTCAATCTTAAGTTGACGAGAATACTTTTTGACCGGAAAAAAATAAAATAAAAAATAATGCCTTTATTTCAACCGTTCATTTTCTTCTCTTTGGGCCTCCAGTCAGTTAAACGTCACGCGTAGGCTCGCTATTGGCCGACGCTGGTCATGTGTGTGATGCATGTGACGTACAACAACAGATCATACGCTGTTAAACTAGTGAACTCACTCGAGGCCCACAGAGTCACTTCTCGTCGCTTGATAAACTTAAGATTGAGCCACTGTAGCAGGGGCGGAGTGGGACCAAAAAATCGACCGGGAAATTTCGTAGACCACCGGCCCTCGTCGCCGGCACGATTAGCCAATAGCATTTACAGTTTTACTGATTTAAAGGGAACTTTGTTGTACTAGTATGCTGGAGTAAAGTTCATAAATGGTCGTTCTTTCCCATAGTACTTTCTAAAAGTAGTTGGGTGGACTCTGTTCCTCTAGGGGGGTTCGGGGGCATGCTCCCCCGCAAGAAAATTTTGGACATTTTAAGGTTATAATGCATTAATCTCATGCTCTCTGAGAGATCGAAATTAAGACCCATGAACTGCTCGTTGAACAAAGAAAAAACATTAATTTGTACCAGGACAATAAAGAGGGCTCAAATATTTTTTTAGTTATGAGAGTCTCAGTCTGCATTACATTATCAATGGTGTTTTAGGATGCCAAACAATTATTATAATAATGTAATAATGATTTATAATTATTCCTATGACGTACTGTAAAATCCAAATAGCCTATAAATGTGTAAATGAAAATGAGTATTTGAAAAGTATATTTTAACCTACATTACACTATAATATAGGAAAATTAAAATACTTTTGTCCAAATTTCTTCACTTGCAAGAAATAAACCCTTGAGCTTTTATTTAGGAGAAAACACCAGATGATCGCGAGAGCAAAGTAATCACGCAGAACAAACTGGATGCTATTCTAATGTCAGTTATTATAATGGCGCAACGCCATATGGTTTCAATTTTAGTTCGTTGGCAAAATATAACATAAAATATAAAATTAGATTTTACATCTTTACATATCTGTGTTGGGAAAAGGGAGAAGAGAGAGTTCGGGAAGGCGGATTCGAACTCGTGTTCAGCGCATCAAAAAGCTGCATTCAAACACTTCACGCCCTACGACCTACGCCACTGAGGCTGTTCTATGGCTGGTGTCGTTTTGCTGTAAAGACAGGCATTTAGTGCAAATGTATGCTCCGTTATAAAAAATGTAAAAAAAAAATTGTTTTCTTCCCTTAGCTTGGGCCATGGCGAACTTCCAATAAATACATTTTATCAGACCGGGCCGGCTCTCGCGGCCTCGTAACACTACCGGCCCACCGGGAAAACTCCCGACTCTCCCGATTGCCACTCCGCTACTGCGCTGTAGTCACTTGGACTATTTTAACGATGTCTTTAATAACTTTTCGAGGCCGGCAAGTTTCAATCCCTCAAGAAGCCTATGGACTAGTATGGAGGAGTGATCCAGCTCTCAGATTTCAACAAAAATATCTTAATTTGTGTTCCGAAGATGAACGAAGGTCTTACGGGGTTGGAACAACATGAGGGTGAGTAAATACTGACAGAATTTTCATTTTTGGGTGAACTAACCCTTAAATATTTTCAGTCAGCAAATTCCACCTACAGGGTACATTTTGGGTCCTATTTTATTTTATTTTGTTTATATTACAACAGCTAAATAGATAAAATAGAAAATAGATAACAGCTCAGATTTAGTTTGATGTCCTGTTGATGATCCACATTTTTGGCCATTTGTTGAAAAAGTTGATAAGTCACTCTTCCCCTGTTTGTGGCTTTTGTATTTTTTGTTTTGTTTGTTTGACATAGGCCTAATGCACAATTGAATTTTATTCAATTTCATACTTACTTTCCTTTAATCTTGCTGTTCATTGTTTCTGTGAATTGCCACTGAACAAAGAGTTATATGAAAATAAGAGTTTATATCAAAAAAAATTAAAACCAATTTTGAATATATGTATGCAATATTTTATACTCTTATAATATGCATGTGTAACTTACCTTTCGTAGAGCGCTTCTGTGTGAAAAGAAACACTGAAATGCTTCAACTTGTTTTTAGGATGTTACACCCAAGTCAAACCTGTTCTGTTGTTTTATTTCTGTGATACAGGAAAGTTTTTTTGCATTGAAATGAAGATGAATGTGGAAATTACTAAGGTGTGGGAACTGCCAGATTCCTCACCTGGCTTTGTGTCTGAGCAAACAGGTTCTCATTGCTCAAGCATTATATATATTATACTGTATATATATTAAAATATAATTACAATTACACACATATATATATATATATATATATATATATATATATATATATATATAATTGTAATTATATTTTACAATATTACAGTTTTTACTGTATTTTATGTCACATAAATGCGTTTTTCATATTGTTTATTACAGTTTGTCTTTTGAAATCCACATTTCAAGAACATACCTGAACTCAGTCACCCCAGTGGTTAAGTTTACGATAAGATGTATGTATATATTATCTATGTAGATCACTCGGCCTATATTATCCAATCATCAATCAGGTAGCAGACTCAACGGAGGGGAGTGGCAGGCAGGGAATCGAAATTCGGCACAACACCAGAAACGAAACTGAAACTAATGATGGCAAATGTTTATTCCGTTTCATCACTGTGATTGAATAATAGTTCAAAGTTAAAGGCTAGTACAAAGCATTTCACGATTGACGTTTACGATTACGATAAAATGTTCTACTTTCAAAATTTTGAATAATTAGGCCAATATACAATATTTAATAGGCTCTTATAATATTTATATAGACAACGCTGCTTACCTTTTTCTTCGTGCAACAAAAACATGTAAATGTAAGCAGCAGCTCTTTCCTGACTCAAAATGCCAGAAGAACGTTACAAGTTTCCTGCATAGACAGGCAACCAGAGCTGTGAACTTAGAGATACACGCTGCAGTCTGTACTAGCACAATGACGTGGCTGGACGGTCATAGACGCATGCGCAGTACCGATCTCTGGGTTTTAATCATAGACAGTAAAAGGGTTTTAATTCGCATGCGCTGGTCCATAGACTGGTCTAACTGACATATATGCTCAATATTGTACTGAGATGATGTTATAACCTTTGTAGTAGTAGCGTACTGTTAAATAGTTATAAGTAATTATTGATGAATCAGTAATTATTTACATAAATGGGATGCTTAAGTTTTCCGAGTTGACTTGAATGCTAGATGTAATGCTCTTGCTATATGTATATATACATATATATATATATATATATACTTTATATATGACTAATCACCAACACAAATGATGGGGTGTGATGGGGCGCCAGGTAAAATCTTGCCTAGGGCAGCAAATTGGTCAGGGCCGGCACTGCTCTAAGCAAACAAACAGCAGTATTTTCAATTCAACTCAATAACGCACTGCGGCACTGGCAATTAATTAAGCGTCATTAAAATTGGATGTGTTTTCATTTATGGACCCTTGGGGAACACCACAGGGAAGTGTAGCTATGGATGAAACAGAGCCTCCAATGCCTACTGAAAGGGCCCTGTTACTAAGAAAAGATCTAAACCAGATAAGGGCACTTCCTCGGATACCCACACACTGTACAAGGCGTGACAATAGAATGCCATGGTCAACAGTGTCGAACGCTGCACTAAAACCTAAAAGCGCTAAAACTACTCCCAGTCCCCAGAGATAATATCCTATGTTGTAGTACTTTGACAATAATCATTGACCTTTTCATGTTACAGACTTAAAACTGAGAGTTGACAATGACTTAAATAACTGGAAGCGGAAGACACCAGATGCCTCTCACATTTTATTGACTAATCGCACATGTTTTTCTGTTAAAATTAAGGTGGGTAGGCATTTTGACTTTATTGTTTACTTTAGTAAACATTCATGATATATTTAACTGAATCAACTAGTTCTGTACTACATTTTTTGTCTCAACATATCTAGTAGACAATAATGCCAAATACATAGGCCAACAAAATAGTCAAACTTTACAGAGTGTAAAAGTCACAATAGCCCAAAAATCAAAATTTCATAGCTCAATGAAATCCCCCCCGAAAAAGATTTATCTATACGATTCACATAAATGCAAAAAAGCTTTCTTTAAGCTATGTAAATGATTCGCAGAGCTTTGAATTTAGCCATTTTCAACCCTCCACAGGACGTATATCATCAAAATAGTCGTCTGCAAGGCGAAGCATCTGCTGTAGCGCAGTGAGAAGCAGGACGTCACAGTTGAGATCCAGCTCCAGCTCCTGACTGTAGTTCTTCACCGGTAACACACAAGACACCGGCACACCCAACCGAGAGCTCACCTCCTGCACCTGCACAGACAAAACCACATCTCAGTCACCCTGAGTCCTGTGGGAACAGCTCATGTGATCATGTGACCATGTCTCACCTTCGTCTTGATGTAGGAACTGACATAAAGGCTTTGAAGATCTTCCTCCACTAGAGGACATGCTTCATCTACTTTTGTCAGCAAGACGATCTGCGGAATGCCTGAAAATATTGAGGTGTGTGACATCTCAGTTAGCTCAATGTACAACCTACTTTGGATCAGTCACATGATTGGCATAAATATGGTCACCTTACCCAGTGTGTTCACTTTTCTGCGTGTGGCAGCGAGTTTTTCCTCTAGTTTGCTGGACATGATGGAGATTTTGGTGGCGTCGATCACATACACCACACAGTGGATCTTCTCCTGCAGAGATGCAGGTCTGGAAGACTTTTTCTCATCCGGTTGAAATGGTGCCATGGGGTTGAACTGAATTGTAAGTAATAGAACTTAAAGAGACATTTTACTCCAGAATATAAATTTCCTAGCCCAGAAACATGAACCCATGCACTTACTTTATAGCGATCTGGTACGTGACCTTGAAGAATGCTGCTGATGTCATCAATATCCAGTCCTGCACCTGATTGCTCCTCGAGTCCCATGGTGTCACACAACACAAATGGCAACGGCTTTCCCTCACGACCGTCATTCACTGGGTATGTGCGAAACTACCAACAAACAAGAATTATTATTCGTTGTGGAACAATTGTTGTTTAATGTCACAAGCCAAGTCCTATTGAATCTGTACCTGTACGGTCAGACTAGTGCCGGCAGATCCTGACATGGCTTTATTAGTCACATGACCAGTGAAGATTGAGTTAATTGAGTTGAAGAAACTGGATTTTCCAGCACCTACAGGACCGATCATTAGCATTCTGACCCGACTCACAGACTTCATCAGGGGTTTATAATTCTTGATCAGTCCCATGAGCTCGTCTCTTCGTCTATAACAGATCGGTTTTATTATTTCAGATTTCCATAGGAAATGAGCAGAATAGAGATTAAGAAGAAACATACTCAGTTGTCCATAGAACATTCCTCCATGGTTTCTCCTCAACGCTGACCTCAGGCTCTGGGAATTGTTGAATAAAGATATAATTTTTTATTGGGGTAAAATTAAAAGACAACAAATAAGTTAATTATATTAAAGAGACAAAAATGAATTTGTACTTGATTATATGTGTAGAAGAATATAGGTTTGTAATAAAGCTGATGACTGACTGACTTACCCTGTTCCACTTTGTACACCTCACATTCACTCAGTTGAGTGTCATTCCCATACATTGATGAGGTATTAATGTTGAATGCATTCCCTCCTTGATGATAAACAACTGATTGGTTGTTGTAGCAAAAGTACAACTGTTGGCCGAAGCAGGGCCCTTTAGCATCATCATAACGTGCATACTGTCCACTGTTAACTTTGATGTAGCTACAGGCTCCACCTTGAAAGCTGAACAGGAAAGCTTCCCCATCTGTAATCTGCTGTCCACTTTGAGCATACTCTACACTAGTGTATCCACCAAAGATGTAGCCTGAACTGTTATAGGCTACAAGTACTGTGGGACCCTGACGGTCACATCGCTGATGGAAGGCAGAAGCAGTATATCCATGAACAGAAGCTTTGTAGAGAAGAGTCAGGTCAACATTCCCTAGTGAAGCACAGAGCTGTTCTTTTCGCTCTTTGGGTAACTTAGAAGTGAGGGGATCTGTGCTGACTTTTCTAACTTTGGCTTTTTGCATCTGTGACAAAAGGACATAATTAGTTACAATAATAATAATAATAGTAATAAAAAATCTCCTCACAATCTTTAAAACGCAGTCTCCGACCTTCTTAGGAGAAAGTGCCATTTGTGTCCACATATCTTAATACTGAACAGGAATTAAAGGATAATCCTTTGACGTAACTCTGTTTGTGTTAAGTAAACTAAATTTAAGCTATTTAATTTTTAAATGTTCATATTTGCTTTATTAAATGAGTTAGAACCAAGTTAGATTTTAACTTATGTTTGCTTTTATTAGTTTATACAAAATGTTGTATACATTTCAGAGAAATACAGAATTCTTGATTTGGTTATTCTTTCTGACATCATATACAGAATAGAAAATAATCGTCTGATTATATTGTTCAAAAAGAAGTCACTTCAAATTGAAAATAATATAACTTTATAAAAAAAATAATTAATGGTCTTGTCCGTCGACTGCATGTTTACACAGACAATATAATAACAGTGCAGTGGAACACACAAAAAATAACTGAAACTGAATATAAAGAATGAAAAGCTTCAAATTAAAGACAAACGATTCATTGATATTCAGTAACCGTTTGTTGGAAGATTAGATTGATTTAAATTAGATAAATAACTTAGTTTGAAACCTTAAGTAATTATCAGTTATTGCGTGCATATTAAGTGAAGCTGTCGATTAAAAAAAATAACTTACGTTTCGTACAAAACCTCGAAATGTTGCTTCTTTTGTGGACTTTAACCCGAGACGAGCAAAGCTATAACTGCACTGATATTGGCGCGTTTTGCAAGATGTAAACAACACTGGTCCAGAAACACTTCCTGTTTCAGTTTGTAACTGTTTTCTTTATTTCACATGTAAAGAAAACATCTTAAAGATGTTTGTTTAACTTTTTGATTCAGTTTTAAATGTTCTGTTGGATGAATTTTATCTCAGCTTTTATGTTGTGATAAAAACTGAAACAGGAAGTGCTTCTGGACCAGTGTTGTTTACATGTTTCAAAATGGTCTATTAATGTTATAAAAAGTCTCTATAAAACCATTCATCTCTTGGACTTTTTTTTTTCAACAGTGACTGACACGGAACCTCAAAGGATTTAAAGGTGCAGTACACATAAAGAAAGGAATAGTAGGGGAGAACAGGTATGGTTGTAGCACTTTGTGATTTACCATGATCAATTTAATAATCAACATCTTTCTGTAATATGATAATTATATTTAAGAAAAATCTCCAAATTAAATTATTTCAATGAATCTTGTTTGCATAGCAAAGGAAAACACTACAATGGAGCATCATACATGCCTTTGGTAAAAAGACAGTAACACGATCATTCATTAAAGCTGCAGTCCGCAGTTTTTCCTCTTTGTCGACATCTCTGTTCGAAATCTGCAATTGCAGTCATGAGTTGTGCCTCGGCATGACACTGCGCGGATGAACACAATGTTTGAGGAGAGTGTGTGTCTGTTGGGCGCTGGTGTGGATACTGGCATTCAGAATCACAGATTATTCTTTTTGGAAGTATGACTAACATAATAATTTTCACTAGAATTTGTCAACTGAACAAACTTAAGGAATATCGACTTTTGAACTGGTTGACAAACTAAGGGAAAGATCATTGCAGTAACTCACGCTGATTAAATCTAACAATGTCATATCAAATCACGTAAAACCATGCAAATGATACTTTGTTCTCAAATTGTTCAACATCAGCATTGCCTGACATTTATCCTAGTTTTCGCATGGGCAGTCTCTTTTTTTCTGTAGCCACTCCAATGTCTTTTGCATTTTACAATGGGTGAGCCTCTATTTGTACCGTTCTAATATTATCATACTGATGCTGGTTAAGTTCCATCCACTCAAAGAATATAATAAGCATCTTTTAATCCACCACATTATCTCTCATCATGTCGGATTCGGCCGTCGGATTCTGTTCCCCCCACGTTTCTTACACAATGAGGTTCTAATATTTATCAAACGGAAAGTAATTGTTAGTCAGATGTGTAGAATTAATTGTTGTTTATTTTAATCTTGAACAGAAAGAAACTTTTAAACAATTAAAGCAATAAGCACTTAATAGAATCACTTTTTTAAAATAATGTTAATACAGATTTTAGCATCTTGAATTAGCCCTAACATATTATTATATTATTATTCTATAAACCTGTCTACAAAAGCAACAATGTCAAATATATACAAAAACAAAATCATCATGAAATCTGCAGCTTAAGTGATATATGAACTTTGCATTTCCCATCATTTTCTTAAATGGATATTATGTATGATTATGAAGGATCTAAAATGGACAAACAGAAGAGAATAATCATCTGATTTAAGATGAATCCTTGTGCTGATCAAGAGGTAAACCCCTATATATCCAGCACTTTATATGGCCTAAATGGTATCAATATCATCAAAATAGTCGTCTGCAAGGCGAAGCATCTGCTGTATAGCATTGAGAAGCAGGACGTCACATTTTAGCTCCAGCTCCAGCTCCTGACTGTAGTTCTTCACCGGTAACACACAAGACACCGGCACACCCAACCGAGAGCTCACCTCCTGCATCTGCACAGACAAAAACACATCTCAGTCACTCTGAGTCCTGTGGGAACAGCTCATGTGATCATGTCTCACCTTCGTCTTGATGTAGGAACTGGCATAAATATTTTCAAGGTCATTCTGCACATGAGGACATGTTTCATCTACTTTCGTCATCAAGACCATCTGAGGAATCGCTGAAATTGTTTGAACAAACTTACAGCCGGTCATGGAACATTTCGAGTCGATGTAAAATGGTCTAAAAACGTTGTTATTTCACTTACCCTCTGAGTTCAATTGACTACGTACAGAACTGAGTTTTTCCTCTAGTTGGTCAGACATGAGGGAGATTTTGGTGGCGTCGATCACATACACCACACAGTGGATCTTCTCCTGCAGAGATGCAGGTCTGGAGGCCTTTTGCTCATCCGGTTGAAATGGTGATTTGGGGTTGAACTGAATCAAGATAATTTAACAGGAAGCATACTGAAGAACATCTTCAATCTGAATTTTCAATTCATTCTTCAACTTCATTCTGGAGATAAGTGAACCATCTTTATGGACTTACTTTATAGCGGTCTGGTATGAGACCTTGAAGAATGCTGCTGATGTCATCAGTATTCAGTCCAGCACCTGATGGCATGTACATATGATGTACTTAATAGGCACTAACCCTGAACCTAACCTTAAAGGGATACTCCACTTTTTTTGGAAATAGGCTCATTTTACCACTCCCACTCCAGAGTTGAACGGTCGAGTTTTACCGTTTTCGAATCCATTCAGCAGATTTTCTGATTTTTAGAAGAATATCAGTAAACAGACAGTCTCTGGTCTCATTGACTTTCATAGTAGGAAAAAAATATACTATGGAAGTCAATGAGACCAGAAACTGTCTGTTTACTGATATTCTTCTAAATATCAGAAAATCGGCTGAATGGATTCGAAAACGGTAAAACTGAGACTATTTCCAAAAAAAGTGGAGTATCCCTTTAACCTTTGTAGTTACCTTTTAATACCCAGTATTTTCTTGGGCAAGTACATTGTTCACGTACTGTAAAATAAAGTGCAACCCACCTGATTGCTCCTCGAGTCCCATGGTGTCACACAACACAAATGGCAACGGCTTTCTCTCACGACCGTCTTTCACTGGATATGTGCGAAACTACCAACCAAGAAGAGAAACACATCAAGATCTGAAGAGACACTTCTGTAGGAAACACTGAATCTGTTGAATCTGAACCTGTGTGGTGAGACTAGTGCCGGCAGATCCTGACATGGCTTTGCTGGTCACGTGACCCATGAAGACGGAGTTGATGGAGTTGAAGAAACTGGATTTTCCAGCACCTACAGGACCGATCATTAGAATTCTGACCCGACTCACAGACTTCATCAGGGGTTTATAATTCCTGATCAATTCCATGAGCTCGTCTCTTCGTCTACAACAGAGAGAGATTACAACGTTATTATTGAAAATTGCTGTAGGAAATCAGCAACAATGAAATAACTCTGAAAACATGGAGGGAAAACATACTTAGGTGTCCAAAGAATATTCCTCCATGGCTTCTCTTTGAAACTGACCTGAAGGGCTGGAACATTTTGACCAAAGATTATTATAGAACTTTTGTTGGATTACTTTTAACAACAGAAGTTAAATAAATGTAATTTAAGAGACTGGACTCAATATGATACTTTTTTTCTGATGATTGACTTACTTTGGTTGACTTTGTAGACCTCACATTCAGTCAGTTGAGTGACATTCCCATATAACTTTAGAGTATTGATTGGTTCATTTAAAAAAACACACAGATTTTCTGTATTGTGATATACAACTGGTTTATTTCTGTAGCAAAAGTACAACTGTTGGCCAAAGTTGGGTCCTCCAGTGTCATCAAGACGTGTGATATAACTGTTAACTTTAATGCGAACAGGGGTTCCATGTCGAAGGCTGAACAGGAAAGCTTCCTCATCTGTAATTTGCTCTCCACTTTGAGTATAATCTACACTAGTGTATCCACCAAAGATGTAGCCTGATCTGTTATAGGCTACAAGTACTGTGGGACCCTGACGGTCACATCGCTGATGAAAGGCAGAAGCAGTATATCCATGAACAGAAGCTTTGTAGAGAAGAGTCAGGTCAACATTCCCCAGCAAACCACAGAGCTGCTTTCTTTGCTCTTCAGGTAAATCAGAAGCGATGGGAGCCATGTCTTCCCCAAATCTATTTTGAATCTTTAAGACAACACAATATATATAATATAAATTGTACATTTTTATTTTATTTTATATCACATAAATGCAACCTTGGTGAGCTTAACAGATGTCTTTTTAAAAACATCTATTTCATATTGTTCCTTACGGTTTGTCTTTATGAATCCACATTTCAAGAACTTACCTCAACTTTGCCGCTCTCTGCACATTTGCCTTCTCCTTTAAAAAAAGACCTGGAATGGACATAAATGAACATGAAACATTACTGTGAACTTAGAGATATTCATTGTTAGTTTATCCCTAATGAATGAACAAATGTAAACGTACAGAACCTTGTAGTTTACCGTTTTGTAGCTTTTCCATTATGAAATAGGCCTAATGCTGTCTGTATGTAAAACTGTGGGAACCTTTTCAGCTAGCAAAGAATAAGACCCAAAATCTAATCTAACAATTCTGAATTTCAGTTTTGATTTTTGATTTTTGATTTTTTGAACAGCAAAAAATGCATTTCTAACTCTTTTGAGGCTTTTTTTTTTTTCGGGTAGCCCAATGCTTTTTAAGTAGAGGACTATGTGCAACGATACCCTCATGTCACGATTCAATACATATCACAATACTGAACTCATGATACAATGTTATTGCGATACTCCAAGGCATATGATAAAAGGTTAACAAAAAATGTACTGTTGATTAAAATGCTAAATTTGATATTACATTGTGGATGGAAATTAATAACGGCATGTTGGACTTGGTGCTGATAACCCAATGCACAGGACAATAGATATACCACAAAAGCAATATTCATGATTCTGAAGCTAAAAAATAAAGAATTACTATAGACGAATATGCTTGCACTCTGTCACTATATACAGTATATATATAAATAAAATAATGTAGGCCACTTACTTTACTTTACTTTACTTGGAACATCAGACATTTGGCATTATCAGGACCACATATTCCCCCATTGCATTATTATTATACAATCAACATTATATATATGGCAGCATAATATAGTACTCACACTAAAACTCTGAAAACGTGTTTTTTTGTTTTTTTTTCTCACACAGTAGTTTTTATTTTGGGTGAACTATTCACGATACATATTGTTCCGAAATATTGCGTCACAACATTGTTACACCCACATTTTTAAGTAATTTTATATTTATTTAATGTAAAGTTTCTTTGTTTCTATAAGTTTATTCAAATTAGAAAGTTTATCTAGAATTTTTGCCACTATTTTACCCAAAGTTTTTTTTTTTATATAATCAATAAAACTAAAAGCTGAAGATTTTTGTGGTGTATTCTTTCATCAGAGATTATTTTCCCACTCAAACGTTCCAATAATTCTTAAAATTTCCCACTAAAAGCTGCACGGATAAATGTGCTTATCCCACAAATAGGCCTAACGTTTTCTACGTAAACGATAAAAAAAGAAAAAGTTCCAACGATTCACACTTTATATCATCGCTATGATATGTATCACCCAGCCCTAACATGCAGTAATGCTTTAAACACATTTGACAAACTAGTTGATAAAAATCAACAACCGACCAAGACTGATAATGCTGTTTTCCCACTTGTCTGTGCTCTTTTATTCTTTCATGTTAACTGAAGACAAATCTGAATAACTTTATTTATTCAGGCCTCTAAATTTAACTTTAATCAACAAGTAGAATTGATCATGACGTCTTTAGGTCCTCACTTTATTCCAGAAAAATCATTGCAGCTCATTAAGTTGCGGTTGGGGGTGGGTCTGAACTAGTTTATGCATGCAAATTCTACCCTGATAAAGAGGTTGACTGGCAAGAAGTATTCTATGTACTTTGAAAATACAAAAATACTCCACTTAAATGTATTTAAATAGCCTACATATTCCATTTGATTTTTTTCCAAAGGCTTCAAAACACAAAATAGTATTTATATTTCAAATATGTATTTTAAATACATGTATCTGAAATACTGCCCCTGGATGTAGGATGTATATTATGTAAATAGATCATCATGTATATTATCCAATCATCAATCAGGTAGCAGACTCGAGGGTAGTGGCAGGCAAGGAATCGAAATTCGGCACAACACACCAGAATCGAAACAGAAACTAATGATAAGGGTTTTTTTTCTGTTTCATCACTGTGATTCAATAATAGTTCAAAGTTAAAGACTAGTTTCATATAAGAGAAAAAAAAAGCATTTCACGTTTAAACCCGATTGCGTTTACGATTACGATAAAATTGCCTACTTTCAAAATAATTAGGCCAACATATAATATCCTATTTAATAGGCTGTGTAGGTAGGCTATAAAGACTAGTTTCATATCAGAGAAAAAAAGCATTTCACGTTTAAACCCGATTGCGTTTACGATTACGATAAAATTGCCTACTTTCAAAATAATTAGGCCAACATATAATATCCTATTTAATAGGCTGTGTAGGTAGGCTATAAAGACTAGTTTCATATCAGAGAAAAAAAGCATTTCACGTTTGAACCCGATTGCGTTTACGATTACGATAAAATTGCCTACTTTCAAAATAATTAGGCCAACATATTTAATAGGCTTATATAGACAACGATGCTTACCTTTTTCTTCGTGCAATATAAAAGTTTGTATGCAATCGTGCAATATAAAAGTTTCCTGCATAGACAGGTTGCCTGCTCCCCATACATCTAGAGCCGTGAACTCCGCCCTCTGCAATAATGCGCGCGCACGCGGACCTCCCCAAACGGACGAGGTACTTGACGCGCTCGCTCGCCGTTGTACCACTCTTTGAAACTACAGGTCTGAAACTCTATGTGTCAATGTCCTCGGCCTAAACCACCACCAGGAATGAGCGGTGAGAAGAAAAGGTCAATAATAGCGCACAAGAATATAAAACCCAGTAAAACTTGAGATTATTAGGCTTGACTGTACAACAAAATATGTAGGCTATGTATGTAACTAAATTTAGCTGTATTAATGATCTCTTAAATGTCTAATTTCACTAAGCATTTTCATTTAGTTCCGTGAACATGTCTATTAAACATCGACCTTTATGTTCATTAAAAAGGCTTATTATGCTCATTATAAGCAATATTTTAAATGCGCAATGGGTACAAGTGTGGTGAAGAGTCCCAGCTTAGTACCCCACTAGTATGATGTATTATTATGTCTACATTTATTTATTTCCACGTTTATTTATTTCTACATTTAGCCTATTTATTTCTAGATTTCTTCCTCTGTATGTTAATGAGGGGGGTTTGTTTTACCTCAGACATCAGCAATCGAGCTCAGAGGGGCAGTGCAAAAGCTTTGAGGCCACAGTGACTGCTTGTGGTGTGACCAAACGAAATGGGTCTGTGTACTGTGTACTAGTTTGTTTTTCAATTTGAAATGAAATAAACAAAAACAAGAAATCGCGCCATTATTCGTTTTTCAAAAAATAAAATAAAAACGAGATTTCGGCTTGATTTTTCGTTTTTTTTTTTTTTTAGTTATTGTCATTTTTATCAGTTCTGCACTCTGCGTAGTAGTTACTGCCTTTTTGCTTTGTAGGGCAGCGTAGGTTTCTGAAGAGCGTTTTTGAAGCCTAAAGTGGGCGGGGCCAGCCGTTGCCATCTTGGCAGCGCGTCACCAATAAAATGGGCAAAGAGGTGTGACGTGGGTGGAGTTGAGGTGCTAATGCTATATGCTACTGGCGTCACGCTAAAGTAACAGCTGATTGAAGAATTAAAGCCAATAGTTAAAATTCTTGTTTTTGCCCTTCGAAATATAATTATAGTTAAAAGACGTAACTAAATGTGAGAATGTGTATCGTGATGTATTATTATTCAGCTATAAAAATGTAAATCATGCTGTAACTTACAATATTGCTCTGAGCTTGTGTGTGTGACACTGATTCATGCACGTAAAGAGCTTTATTCAGTCCATTTTAAAAATCTGATTTTGGCCGCCTCTCATATTTTTTCTACTTTAGTAAAGTTCATTAAGAATTTCCTGAATAAAGTTCTAATGTCATTTAACAGATTTCTTTAAGTGTAGGACACGAACATGAGCAAGAATGTTACACTACAAACAGAGCCCATGTCTTGCATCCGTCAGTTCTTGCATGCAGAGCACGTTGATCCTTTAGTAGGAGTGAAGGCAGATGAAGATGGAAAATAAACAATTAAAAAAGAGAAGCACCCTCCTGATAATGCTGATTATGCACAGACTTGTTGTGTAGACAACAAAATCACCTGACCTGGGACTTATAAAATTTGCGTCGCTTGATAAACTTGAGCCACTGTAGTCACATGGAATATTTCAACATTTTCTTCATTGACCTTCTTGGCCGTCAAGTTTCGATCCCTTAGGCAGCCTATGTAACAGTGATCATCCACCTCTCAAATTTATTCAAAAATATCTTCATCTGTGTTCCGAAGATGAACGAAGGTCTTACAGGGTTGGTACAGCATGGGGGTGAGTAATTAATTACTTAATTTTCATTTTTGGGTGAACTATCCCTTTAACGCCATTGATTTTGATTCATTAAGACTTCTGTTAAATAAAATATCTCGCTAGGCATTGAACTTTGAGCTTTATAATTTTACAGGTATTGTTTATGCTCTTTACGGCAACATTACACACTAACTTAAGTTTGAAAAATGGAATCGCAAGGAAGGGAACCTTTAATTTTTATTTTAATCTTTTTGAACAAAACTTTCAAACAGACTCATAAATGTCCTCAAAATGAAACATTTTTATGCTTACACAGTTGTTGGTGTGATTTCTCTTAATTCACACTACTAACATTCATTACTATTAAAAACTATATGGTGGTACAAAATTATAACAATCAACAGCAATAATGCAACATGCTTAAGTGATATAAGAACTTTGTTTGCACTTCCTATCATTACCTTGAATGTAAGATTCTTAAAGAAATAGAACAGACAGAAAGAACAGAATAATCTTAAGATGCCTTATTGTGGTTATCTAGAGATGTACATCGATAATATGTACTACAAGCTTACACACAAATATAATATTAAATCAGCTACAAAGGGAGATAAAACTCCACTATTAGCACTTTATAAGATTGTCCTAAATAGGACCAACATCATCCAGATAGTCGTCTGCAAAGTTGAGCATCTGCTGTATCGCCATGAGAAGCAGGACGTCACATTTTAGCTCCAGCTCCAGCTCCTGACTGTAGTTCTTCACCGGTAACACACAAGACACCGGCACACCCAACCGAGAGCTCACCTCCTGCACCTGTAGAGACAAAACCACATGTCATTTAAATCTATACATTTAGCAGGCATTTCAATTCAAAGTGACTATAGCGTGAGGAATTTGTCACAAAACCGACAATATTCGTAGTATACAATGCCAGGTTTAAGAGAGGTTGAAGGTTATGGAGGGTGACTGAGTCCTGAACGAAAAGTCCACGTGATCGGGTGATCATGCCTCACCTTCATCTTGATGTAAGAAGTGATATAAATATTTTGAAGATCTTCCATCACATCAGGACATGCTTCATCTACTTTTGTCATCAAAACCATCTGGGGAATGCCTTAAAAAATGTGTAAATAACCATTAGTTAGTCTTAGAACATTTGGCATAGGACAAGAATTATGCAAGTATTAGTGTTACTCACTAGATTACAATTAATCTTTGATATAACAATTATCTAAAAAATGTTAACTCACCCAGTGAGTTCACTTTTTTGCGTATGGCAGCGAGTTTTTCCTCTAGTTGGTCAGACATGAGGGAGATTTTGGTGGCGTCGATCACATACACCACACAGTGGATCTTCTCCTGCAGAGATGCAGATCTGGAGGCCTTTTGCTCATCCGGTTGAAATGGTGACATGGGGTTGAACTGAATTGAAAGTAATGGAAATTAAAGATAAATTTTACTCATAAATATGCATTTCCAAGCACAGAAACACGTACTTACTTTATAGCGGTCTGGTACGTGACCTTGAAGAATGCTGCTGATGTCATCAATATCCAGTCCTGCACCTGATTGCTCCTCGAGTCCCATGGTGTCACACAACACAAATGGCAACGGCTTTCCCTCACGACCGTCTTTCACTGGATATGTGCGAAACTACCAACCAAGAAGAGAAACACATCAAGACCTGAAGTCTGTTCTCGCCCTGAAGAGACACTTCTGTAGGAAACACTGAATCCTGTTGAATCTGAACCTGTGTGGTGAGACTAGTGCCTGCAGATCCTGACATGGCTTTGCTGGTCATGCGGCCCATGAAGACGGAGTTGATGGAGTTGAAGAAACTGGATTTTCCAGCACCTACAGGACCGATCATTAGGATTCTGACCCGACTCACAGACGTCATCAGGGGTTTATAATTCCTGATCATTTTCATGAGCTCGTCTCTTTGTCTACAACAGAGATCACAACTTTATTATAACAGAACTATATGAAATAAGCAGCAAAATATCACGTGAAAACTTACTTTGCTGTCCACAGAACATTTCTCCACGGCTTCACCTTGGCACTGATCTGAGGATCTTTTTCTGAGGAAGTTTTATTACACAACTTACTTGAGCCATAACATTTTAAGATACTGGACTCTGAATTTCTATAATTTACTCAACACAACTACTATACGTGTGTATATCAAATACAATAAACATTTATTTAAAAAAAATTCTGATAGTTGACTTACTCTGTTCCACTTTGTACACCTCACATTCATTCAGCTGAGTGTCATTCCCATACAGTGTGGCAGGATTAAAATCGAATGGATTAACCCTCACTCCATATCCACCATATACATTCTGTCCTTGATGATACACAGCTGGTTGGTTGTTGTAGCAAAAGTACAACTGTTCGCCAAAGTTGGGTCCTCCAGTGTCATCAAGACGGGCATCATATCCACTGTTAACTTTAATGCACACAGGGTTCTTTCCTTGAAAGTTGAACAGGAAAGCTTCCTCATCTATTATTTCTCGTCCGCTTTGAGTATAATCTACACTAGTGTATCCACCAAAGATGTAGCCTGATCTGTTATAGGCTACAAGTAAAGTGGGACCCTGACGGTCACATCGCTGATGGAAGGCAGAAGCAGTATATCCATGAACAGAAGCTTTGTAGAGAAGAGTCAGGTCAACGTTCCCCAGCAAACCACAGAGCTGCTTTCTTTGATTTTGTGTTAAATTAGAAGTGAAGGTGTCCAAGCTTTTGTTCATCTTTAAGAAAAGACGATATATGAAAAAAATAATGACATATCAGTCATTAATACCACTTCTATAAGTTTTTTTTATACCCATATAGAAGTAAACACTTTAGTTAACAAATTAGACTAACAGTAAACAATTGTTTATTTGATAAGCATAAACTAATACATTTTTGACATTGTATGATGTTTACTTTAACATTATTTTCTACCATGGTATTCCAGATGGAGCTCGATGGAAAAAAAAGGCTACCCTGCTAAGCAGTGTTTGCATACGGCCGGTCACAAGACCGTGAACTAGAAATAAACTGAAATCAGCTCGACAAAGAATGACTGAATGGACGAATTATTTTTATTTTAATCACTGCAATGTGATAACAGATTGTTAAAAGTGAAATACTTATACTTAGATCTGAGAAACTTTCGTGATGGAAAATAATAGATAGATAAACGACAAAAAACGATACTTAAGATAAATATGTGTTTTAGTCAACATGTCGACATCACAATTTTTGATATTCATGATTTATGATATTTTTTGTCTATGAAGCTTACCCTTTTAGCCGTAACTTTGAGCATCATGCACTGAAATGCTGTTCGTACAAGACCAGCATTTAAAAAGCACACAAGCTCCTCCTATAGGCCTAACACTGCTCTGCCCTTCCCTTTATCTATCCATCCATCCATCCATCCATCCATCCATCCACCTATCAAAGTACCACTATTTCAAAATGCAATTTACACATTATAATACATTAAATTATAATGTACAGATTAAATGTATACATTTCAAATGAGTGTATTCATTTACTTACAATGATCTAACTATCAATTGATACAACTGCTCAAAATGATAGTACTCTTAATGTAGTTGTATGGAAACAGACACACAATCTTCCATGTTAGCCTACTGTAACAGTAAATCATGAAAGTTTCAAGATAAGAGATTTATTGTCACCAATTAGCATGGAGCATGAACCAATTTGACTATAATATCCATGAATGTTGCCTAATATTTTATATTTTTGCTTTATGTAATTCCAATAAAACCTATGTTGTGATTGTATGTGTTTTGCATTACAAACTTTGTTCATTGATTCCACTATGTCTGTATTCTCTCTACTACTGCAGTACTTTTACAGAGATGTATATTTACTGTACATTATGCTACCTAATGAAACCTGTCACATTTTGTTCTACAATATTTAATGGTTGTATGAACAATGACAAAGGGAAACTATCGGTTGCTTGTATGTGGGTGATCTATGGTTATGTTTCAATGATATGTCACAGTAAATTTGTTTTTTGAACGAATGATTATGCAAGTGCAAGGTTTCTTTAAAGATGTGAATGAACAATGCATTGTTTTGAACATTAGCCTGTCTTACAAGTGATAACCGTTTTGAGTTTTGTGTCTAGAGTTTTGAAAAATTACATCAAGGTTCTGAAATAGTAGCAAATGATTGTAAAAAAAACTGTAAATAAGCTCTGTCCTAAATAGAATGTAATTTTCGGTTCGAATCCATCTGTTTTGTGAACCGGTTCAAACGGCCATTAAAAAGATTCGACTCAAAAGCGATTCGTTCACGAATCGGACATCGCTAATCAAGGGAGATCCGTCGCCAACAACAACACCATTTCAGTGCGGTAAACCAACCATGGGGACCCGTGACGACGAATACGATTATTTGTTTAAAGGTCAGTGATTAGTTTAGTATCAAAGAGAAGAATAGACGTATTTTGGTTTCCGTATTATCAAAGAAAACGGCAAGTTTCCTGATGACTGTGGCTAGCTGGTTTAGCTGGAATGCTAGGGTGCTGACATTAGTATAGAAATATTACCCGGTGACTTTCAAAGAATCAAAAGTTGAAAGTAGATTATTACATTTTAATGTTGATTTTCATGATTTGCATCGACACTATTCACTAAACCATAATGCAATTTGATTGATTTAGTTCTATTATGTTAGCTAAGCAGCTAACTTACATAGCTCTCAAACTCAACTGCAGTAAAGTGAACCTGTATAAAACTAACTTGTCTGTTTTAATATACGCAGTTCGTTCCTAAATGATAAACAAAATCTGTTCAATTCACTTCAGCGGAATATACGTCAAAAACGGGAAACTTTCTATTCGTTTAGTAACGTTAATGTGTTGCTTAATGTTTAGGGTGGTTGTGTTGCTAGGCCATATGAAACTTTTTGTCGTTTATTACTCAAGAGTCCCTTTTTCAACAGGCCAAATATGGTCATTAGTCTGCAATTGTAAGCATTTTTATAGCTGGGACGTATTCACAACTCGTAACTTAGTTAAATCGGTAAGTTTATAGATGAATTCTGTAATGTGAAGTTGACAACAGTAGATAATCATGACGTCATTCTAAAAAAATATTTGTGTGTGTTTTGCCCATTCAAATACGTCTTGTTCCTGTTGGGCTCCATTGGGTTCCTGTTTTTTACACTAAGCCTTTAAAAAGTTTGAGTGAGTGAGAAACCACAAATAACTGTCTGTAGAGGTTTCACAGATACGCCACAGATTTATTGTTGAAAGCTTTGACCTGTGTTTCTCTACAACCATTTTGTGAATTACTTCAGGTTTCATCTAGAAAAAGTGAAAGGTGGCCACGTTGCAACAGACACAGTATGAGCTGTTTGATATTTTCTATGCATTTCTCATTCTTTATGCAATTATTTGGCTAAGCCTATGTTTCAGTTTTTATGGTGTCAAATTGATGGAGCAAAAGAAAAAATGACAGTGGAAGTGTGTGGTTTTAGATAATGGCTTCTCTCTTATCTCTCTGGCCTTGTCATGTTGTATTAACCAGGATGACTGACTAATCTAGTGTTTCTGCTTTTCAAATTATTAAATTTGGGTGCACACTTTTGGTTTGTGGTTTAATTTCAAGGACTGTTCATTTTTTGGCCTTCATTTTAGGTTTTATTCATATGGTGATGGATGGCTATAATATCTTCACTATAAATATGTTTTTTATAAGAGCAGCTATGAAGTGTTATTAGATATCAGGTCTTGCTCGAAACAGCCTGATGTTTTCTTATGTTTTCTAGTCGTACTCATTGGAGACTCTGGTGTGGGGAAGAGTAACCTGTTGTCCCGTTTCACTCGGAATGAGTTCAACTTGGAGAGCAAGAGCACCATTGGTGTGGAATTCGCAACCCGCAGTATCCAGGTGGACGGCAAGACCATAAAGGCTCAGATCTGGGATACAGCAGGACAGGAGCGTTACAGAGCCATCACATCAGCGTGAGTACATGAGCACTGGTAGCACACACTGCAGGTCCCAAAATAAGGTTTAATAGGCTTTTTTTGTGATCTAATAATAAAAAATAAACAAATATTAAAACAACAACATGATTACATAAAAATTGTTCATTTTAAAAAACTCTATTTTAATTATATTTAATAAAAGGGTAGTTTTATTTATTTTATAGAAATATTATTGATGATATTATATAGATTTAAGATAAAATAGTTTATATATTTGTAATTTTATTTTAAATTTTTAAGTTTATTTTTAATATTTTATATATATATATATATATATATATATATATATAACATTAAAAAATATATAATATAAAAAAAGTATATATTATTTTCAGAATTATTATTGTTAAAATAGTTGTAATATTTGAAATTACTTATTATTAATAGAAATAAATAGAAATAATTTTTAAGATAAAATAGTTTATATATTTTTAATTTTATTTTTAATTTAAGTTTATTGTTAATATTATATATATATATATATATATACACACATACATATATATATATATATATAATATTAAAAATATATAATTTAAAAAATAAATATATATCATTTTCAGAATTATTATTGTTAAAATATTTTTATAGTAATAATTTTATAAAGTAATCTTATAGATATTGATACATTTTTAACTTTAAATTATTTTATTATTTGAATTCCATTTACAGTTTTTCTCAATCGCTTTCGATCATTTTTCGAAACAGATTCAGATCTCAATTGTCACAGCTGTTTGCTGGAACATCAGAACTCTATTGCATGTCTGCAAAATGTAATAACTCACCAAAAACTTTTAATTCATGCTTCAAAACCTAGTTTTTGTCAATAAATTGGCCAATGCCCTCAAAATAAAATATGTTTTTGTCATTGTGTGTGTCATAGTGGTCAAAATGTTTAGTTGTTTTTTCACTGTAAAATTATTTGTAATATACAGTGGGTGAAATAATTATTTGATCCCCTACTGATTTTGAAAGTTCACCCACTTAAAAAGAATGAAGGGTCTATAATTTTTGATTGAGACAGAATATCAACCAAAAAAATCCAGAAAAAAAACACATTTTAAAGGTTATTAATTGATTTGCAGTTCAGTGAGTGAAATAAGTATTTGATCCTAAAGCAAAAAAACATTTAGTACTTGGCAAGCACAGAGGTAAGACGTTTCTTGTTGTTGGTCACCAGGTTTGCACACATCTCAGGAGGGATTTTGGTTCTTTACAGATCTTCTCTAAATCCTTAACGTTTGTTCGCTTTTGCTTTGCAAACTCAAAGTTTCAGCTCCCTTCACAAATTTTCTATAGGATTAAGGTCTGGCGACTGGCTAGGCCACTCTAAGACCTTAATGTGCTGCTTTTTAAGCTCCCTCTGATGCTTGATCCTGTATGATCTAGATTTTCAGTATGTGTTTTGCGTGGATCTTGTTTCCAGGTACTACCGGGGTGCAGTTGGAGCTCTTCTGGTCTATGACATCGCAAAGCATCTGACTTACGAAAATGTGGAGCGCTGGCTAAAGGAGCTGCGGGATCACGCGGATAACAACATTGTCATCATGCTGGTGGGCAACAAGAGCGATTTGAGGCACCTGAGGGCCGTGCCCACCGACGAGGCCAGAGCTTTTGCGGGTGAGCATCTCCTCCGGCTTTTTTCTGGTGTTGGATAAGAACAGATCTACTTCAGGTGTGAAAATATCTCTCATCTTGTGTTATTTAGAAAAGAACAATCTCTCCTTCATCGAAACATCGGCTTTGGACTCCACAAATGTGGAGGAGGCGTTTAAAAACATACTAACAGGTGGGTCCTGGTTCTGATTAAAGGTGCGATCACAGTAGACAAATATTTTTGTTGGTCATCTGCTTGGGAAATCTTTCACCCTTGCGCAAAACTCAGTGGATTGCAATTAAAATGACTGGATTTTGCCCCAAAAATGTGCAATTAATGATAAATGTGACCAAATCGTAACACATTCCAATTGGGCATCTCAAATGAAATACCTCGTAACGTAACTCGGCTCTTTTTGTTGCAGAAATCTATCGGATCGTGTCACAGAAGCAGATCGCCGACAGGTCCATGCATGACGAGTCTCCTGGGAACAACGTAGTGGACATCAGTGTGCCGCCCACTACTGATGGGTTAAAGGGCAACAAATTTCAGTGCTGTCAGAACCTGTGACCCCACTTCCCCCGGCTCCACCCCGAACCCTTGAGCTTCAGTTCCCCTCTATTTATCTCGGCTTTGCTCCTGTGTGTTGTGCTATGGCTACGGCTCTTTCCTCTTTTTACCTTGTTGTGATTTCCGCGCAAATTCTAGATGTCCCTTAGATGCGTGAATCTCTAGGTAACATTCCTTGTCCTTTTTTGGGGGGGTTCTCGTTTGTTTGTCCCTGTTTTTTCCTTTTCTTTATTATTATTATTATTATTATCCACACTCTGAATTCATGTTTGCTCGGCAAAAAATGTTTTTCCTCGGAAGTGATTATTCGGGCGCTGATCGTGTGATCCGCTCCTACGGAAAAGGGATGGTGAGGGATCAGTGTGTCTTCGGCTTTTAGTCACTCTGATGGGTATCTCTGGGATCCACACTAAACAGAAACCGATGTCTGACTTGAGCTTAAATCGGCGAGTTCTTTGAAAAATAAAAATGCGAATTCGTCTTGTCTGGATCGCGGGGATCCCAAAGGAGGGCTGCTGTCATCTTTATTTCAATTCTTTAACATTTTCAAGCATCACACCCTTAGTCCTATTTTGCAATGTTTTACGCCAGGGCTGATGGGTGTGAATCAGTGCAATTTGATTGATGCGTTCAGATTGCCGTATATATAGCAGTAATGTGAATGTGTCTACTAAGCATTTCATGAGAAATTATTCAAATAACAGTTATATATATATATATATATATATATATATAACTATTCATTGCATTGCTGACGCTGAGGTATTGTATCTCTTCTGTGGGAAAATGCAATGTTCCGCAGTGTTTTAGATGGTCAGTTGTTTCACCGGTCTGTGAAAACGTCACTATATATTTGACTGTTTGACTTTAAGTGATATGGCTATTTTGGAAATGCCTTATGTTTTCCCATACTGTGATTAAGATGCCTTTTTCAAGTGTGGTTATGTGACATTTACACATTCATGAAGTCACAGCAGCTGTGTTGCCTTTTATCAGGTTACATAAAAATGGAAAATAAACCAAATTAATGTCACAATTGCAATCATGATTTTTTTTTTTTTGACTCCATATTGCACAACACGCCTGTCACAGCATGATGTCTGAATTAGTACTTAAAAAGTGTTACAGTATATGCACTGTTGTTGGCTTGACTCATGGGTCTATTAATGGTTAGGTACAAATGAGAAACGGTCTAAAAACGCTTTATTATTCATGGAAGGCGAGTCATTGGTGATTTCGACTTTGTGAAGAATCCACGCACTGACTGAACGTGTAAAGTGCATACGCATGATGTCACCGTTTTTACAAATTCGTGTTTTTACTATTAGGTGCCGCGTAAACGGCCTATTAGTTTCCATGTCACAAGAAATACACCAGGTTAAATACAAAGACCTCAGACTTGTTCGTTATCATGAACTAAGGGGCTGTTTACATTTCAACTAAAACCGTGAAACTTTTATGCGTTTCAGCTATATCTATTTACACGACAACAGTGTTTTGGGGGCCTGCCTGAAAATACAAACTTTTCAAAACGGGTTTCAAAGGATATGTTTTTGAAAACGTAAACTACAAAAACGTGTATTTGTGTTTAATGGTAACGTCATGCGCATGTATATTACGTGTTCAAGCTATAGACATCAGGGCAGCAAATATGTGACTTTAATTTCTCCTTAAAACATTTTATTTTATTTTTTTTGTATTTAAAGTGTGTAGTTTTCTCTGTTGTCATGTTTGCCTGTAAAGCGCTTTGAGAAAGCAATTTTTAAAGGCGCTATATAAAATAAATGTATTATTATTATTATTAGTCACGTAGTGTTTCTTGACATCGCCAACTACTGGCCTGGCATGAATGATACATGAGTTTTTAATCGTTTGATGAAAAAATGAAAAGATGAAAAAATGAGTTTTTAATCGTTTTTGCAGATCTGTGTGAACGAGTTGCTTTGACAATGATGTCGTCTGTATGCGAACAAACACGAAGGAAAAAGTTTTCCTTTTTTAGTACGTTGTTGTCGTGTAAATGTACGTGTACCCTAAAACTATTAAAACATTTCTCTTAATTAAAATAAAAATATACTCTAAATGAAAGTATAAATTAATTAGGTAATAAACTGAAATAAGTTTGTTGAAGCACTAAAATGATTAATTGGGAATAAATAACTAAAACTAAAATAAAAGTAAATCAAACTTAACTATTAATATATATATATATATATATATATATATATATATATATATATATATATATATATATATATAAACGTATAAAGAAGTCAAATAACAGTAGGCACTTCTCAATAATGGTTATTCACAAAGCTGTTTAGGTAAATTCTGAAGCAGCGCCTAAATTAAAATAAAATTTAATTTAATATTTAGCAATGTCATTATGTGCTTTTATCCTATTTAATATATATATATATATATATATATATATATATATATATATATATATATTAAAATATATAAAAAATACTTTTATATAGAACTAAAAATATATAAAAATAAAAGCTAATTTAAAATATTAATGGATCTATAATAAAATAACTAAAATAACAATGGTTTATCAATGTCACAATATGTCTTGATTTTTTTTTAAAATTATGCCTTTGTTAATAAGAAAACGCATTACACAGGTGCTATTTAGGATTTTAAACTAGTTTTATTTCAAGTATTTAAACCCAAGACTTGGTAAAAATGACATGAAAAAGGTAAAAATGTAATAATAATTGACCCAAGACAGACAAAAAACAACAAAAACAAAACAACAACAACAACAACAACAAAAAAAACATTAATTTTGTTGAAAAACAATGTGACCACAGCCTCATATCAAAGATGGACTTATCAGAGATGGAATTATCAAATTAAGTTTGATTTAATTGAATATTAAATTAAGTTTGTAAATAAATATTAAATTAAGTTTGTCAACATATTCAATTTGTTTAATTGCTAAGAAATAGACTGAAAAGACAAGTGTTTTAGGTTAAAGAATGATTGATGTGTGATTTTTTTGACACATTAAAAAATTGCAGAAAAAACATTTTTAGATTACATTTATTAAACAATTTGGTAAAAACTAAAAAGACAGGGAATAAAAGTGCACATTCTTATGCACAAAACTGAAATAATGAGGTTACTCAAGTAATGTACAGACACATTTTGTTCACTACTGCTAAAAAATAACGACAAAATTAAAGAATGATTATCAAATCAAACCATATTTCCATCACAACACATAAAAGCTCCCCGTGAGAAGTCAAATAACAATAGGCGCTTCTCGACAACGGTTATTCACAAAGCTGTTTACGTAAATTCCGAAGCAGCGCCGCGTACAGAAGCTCCTCCTCCTACGCTCTTATCGTACACACTACACACACAGCGCTAATCAGAGACGTCGGTAGGAGGCCGAGCCGAGTCGTTTGCTGAAAGGATCAAACCCAAACAAGACTTGTACTTTTACCTTATCGTTTGAAAACAAACGTCAGTTTCAAAAGGAATTCACATTTACAAACAACAGCTCAAAATGGAGAATCAGAAGGTAAGATTAGACAACAAATTTTGTTTTAACCTATAATCCCAGGCTTTGGTGAAATAGTTTGCTACATGGCTAATGTAACTAGCAGCCTATTACAGCTGCATTATTCCACATTCAACCAGACTGTGTCTTAATACGTAACGTTATTGAATCGTTTTAATTTCAATTGAAACGAATAGTCTGAAATCTATACAACATTCAGCGCTGTATCAGAGGACATTTATGTTTGATTTGCAGCTTGTGATGTGTGCCAAAGGCCCACCCAAGACCAGTGTCAGACAGATTAAACCAGATCACTGGTTTTCAATGTGGACTGACACAGTGGATTTGATATATTATGGATAAAAAATAAAAAAGACAGGCTATAAAAGTGCACGTTCTTACACAAAAATGAAATATTAGCCTACAGGAAGCAATGCATAAACACTATTGTTCACTATTGCTAAATTAAAGACAAGTGTTTCAATTAAAGTATGATTCTCAAATCAAACCATATTTTTTCCATCACACCACGTAAAGCTCCTTGGATAAAAATAACAACAGAATAGGCACTTCTCGGAAGACGGTTATTCACGAAGCTGTTGACGAAAATTCCGATGCAACGCTGCGTTTTCCATTTCTGTTTAAAATAAGTTAGTCTGAAATCTCTAAAACATTTAAAAGTTTTAAACGCTACATTGGAAGAAATTTGTGTTGAATTAGTATTTTGGGGAGCTTTTAATCTAAAATGGAAGTGAATTTATGCTGTCTCTTTTTCTGTCCATACAGTCCCATGTTATGATGTTGGTTTGATTTTAGATTTCATAGTCCAGCAAATTGCCATCTCACAAAAGATGTGTTAAATAATGCTGTCTAGGTAGACCGCTCACTAGGTTTTCTTTTGTCCCTTAATTTTTCAGTAATTTATGTGTTTTTTTAATGTAACCTTCTCTCTTTAAATAGTCAGTTCAAGAATAATTTCTGAAATTTAATATTATTTATGTGAAAGAATTAAAAGAGCAGTTTCATGTCTTTGTATTGTTTTGGGATTTAGAAAGTAATTTCGAGTAAGTAATGCATTAAATTTTTGAGAGAGTAGGCCTAATTAGTACAGTAATGTAATTACTTGGTTAAAGATGCAATTAGTAGCTTGTGACTTTTATTGGAATTATGACTTTTTTTGGGTGACTGATTATAATGACATGTGTTAAAATCTTCTGTGAATTTTTTCTGTGAAACTCAAAAGGAAATGTTATGAAGAATAAGCTGCACTTTTTTATATACAGAATGAAAGCATGTAGTGATTATGATTGTCATGCTGTGAAATCAATTAAAATGAGCTTTTTGGTTTTAAAATGCTTCTGACAATAAGTTTGGAATATAGTGGACAATTCATTCTTTTTGTGGGACTTTTATAGTGCACGTTTAAAAGGAAAATATGGACCTCTTAATAATAATAATAATAATAAAATAAATATAAGACCCGTCTCTTGTATTCCTAAAAAAATATATATATAAAAATGGTCAACATTCGGGCAGCTGTCACAGAAGAAGTCCCACATCTTTGGGATGTGGTGGAACAGGAGCTTCGTGTCCTGGATGTGCTTCGTGCCCACAAATCTCCATCAACTGCAAGATGCTATCTTATCAATATGGGCCAACATTTCTAAAGAATGCTTTCAGCACCTTGTTGAATCAATGCCACGTAGAATTAAGGCAGTTCTGAAGGTGAAAGGGGGTCAAACACAGTATTAGTATGTTCCTAATAATCCTTTAGGTGAGATATTTACTCATTGATTATTTATTATTTATTTTAGTCAGTCACATGGATTCACAGCATTGACTTCTGTGTGGGCTGTTGGCTTCATACATCATTCATACATTTTGCCAGAACTAGCCATTCCCCCTCAAAATTCTAGTGTAAATGTTACTTCTCCCTACAGTGGTAGGGTCTTTGTGACTTGAGGTGTGGGAGCGAGGCTGCTCCCTGATCCCCCCGGTGTTCCCCTGCCCCCCGCCCTCCTGGACGGCCCCGAAATGACCACAGGGGAGTGTTGCCACCTCCCAGGCTCCCTGTGTGACTGCACTGGCAACGCTGCCCTGTCCAAAACCGTGGAGGAGGCTGACAACCGCCGGGCACAATACGTCACCCAGGTCACGGCCAAGGATGGACGTCTACTATCTACTGTTATCAAAGCCCTGGGGACCCAGAGGTTAACAAATCAAAACAATATTTTGTGTAATATCCAATTTAATGTATTAGTTTTGACAAATACAGTCACGTGATGCTCATTTCCGTGACCTAGAGATAAACCTGTTAACTTCGTTCTCTGTTAGTGATCGGCCAATTTGTCGGATCTGCCACGAGGGTCAAGACGTGTGCAACAGCGAGGGGCTTCTCTCACCATGCGACTGCACAGGCACACTGGGCACGGTCCACAAGAGCTGCCTGGAGAAGTGGCTGTCCTCCTCCAACACCAGCTACTGTGAGCTGTGCCACACTGAATTCACCATTGAGCGCCGGCCCCGACCCCTCACAGAGGTAACTAAGGTTAATGCCTATAGGCACGTCTGCATGGCTCAGTTTTGGGTGAACTATACACGATACATATTGTTACATTTTTGTATCGCAATATATTGTGACACTATATTGTAACACCCTTACTGTGTTGATACATTATCAGTAAACCTCACATCATCTTTCAATAGTGGCTTAGGGACCCGGGCCCCCGGAATGAGAAGCGCACCCTCTTCTGTGACATGGTGTGCTTCCTGTTTATAACGCCCCTGGCGGCCATCTCTGGCTGGCTGTGTTTACGGGGCGCACAGGACCACCTGCACTTCAACAGTCGCCTGGAGGCGGTCGGCCTCATCGCCCTGACCATCGCACTCTTCACTATCTACGTCCTCTGGACTCTGGTAGTGTATTACAAACCATTCAAATGGATTTACATGTATTATTCAGAATGCTTAAATTCACTTGTCTGAACATGTCTGGGTCACGTTTCAAAAATCTTCCCAAAATCCATTGAAATGAAATAAGAAATAATCCTTTGTGTTAAATGTGTTTAAATTTTCCCATTACCTTAATGCAAAACAAATCTTGTACTCATGATTCATTACCATAATGTATTATAAAAAATCTGATTCTCATTACCGTAATGCAAAAAAAACCCTGTCTCAGTACTATATATATATATATTTTAATGCCTATATATAGAAATTAAGAAATTAAAGGCACTACAAAAAAAAAAAAAAAAAAATATATATATATATATATATATTATATACACACACACACACACACATATATATATATATATATATAATACACATACACGCATATATAAATATTTTTTGTAATTCAATTTTTTTATTCATTACCGTAATGCATAAAAAAATTCTGATTCTCATTACCGTAATGCAAAAAAACCCTGTCTCAGTATATATATATATATATTGTAATGCTTTTAATTTATGTTGATTTTAATACAAAAACATCTTTGTGTCCTTTGTGACATGATAATTGTCATACTCCAGAATGACAGTTGGAGGGAATGTTCCTATAATTTCTTTTTTCACTTTTTTTTTCCTTTTGATTTTGCATGAAATGTCACCCAGGCATGTTTTTCATAAGATTCATAATTTTAATCGCTTAAAGCAAAAAATGTCCTTGTTTTGCAGGTCTCATTCCGCTACCACTGTCAGTTGTACTCCGAGTGGAGACGAACCAATCAGAAAGTCCGCTTGCTCATTCCTGACACCAAGGGTGCACACTCTACCCAGCATTCCCTGCTTTCCACAAAGCTGCTGAAAAAGACAGCAGACGAGACCATAGTATGAGAGACGTGGTGCAGGGGAACGTGGCCCGATCGCGGTGGTATTAGCGTGCTTCAGGTTCTCGACGCAGCGTCGTCAACTAGAACCGCGGCACTTTTGGATGCATTCTTTTCTATTTAATCCTTTTTATCTAAACATGTGAGCACTTCATTTATTTTCATTTTTTTGTTCATCAGTCTCTTTTAATGTTTTTTGAGCCTTTTTGAGTGTGTTGTTTTAAAGAAACCTTTTATTTATTTTTCGGGCTTGAACAGCCAGGCTGAGGCCCAATACCGTTCAGTATGCATTGTATTTGAAACAATCAGAAATCTAACTTATGTGTATAGACGATTCCTTTGAGCACAGCGGCGAGGGATTACGACTTGAGTGCGCACGGCTGCTGAAGCTTAAAACCAAACCTTTCTTTCATTTTTAATGTATTGTTTTTCTACTCATCTACCTTCAAGTACTTTCCATCTTAACCCGACCGAGTCGCTCCCAAGCGATTCTCGCGAACGTAGTACTCGTGGCTCCTATACGATTTAGTCAATATAAAATCTATAAATATATACACACTAAGTGAACGAGTAAGCTCTAAGCTTCAATTGACATGAGTATTATTGGGTGCTTTGTTGGGTGGCCCGGGCAATGAATGTGGAGGCTGATGTATTTCTGCTGCGATGTAGTGGATGTTCATAATGTGGGCAGTCGATGAAAAAAAAGTGCAATAACACGTCACCATTGGCATGATTCTGCCGTGGACACGCGCAGGTTTTCATGCATGCCTAGTTCATTTTGCAAATCTCATCAAATTGGTGACTGTTCGTGTCAGTTTTGTGTACGAATCAAAGGCTGTTTTGTCCAAATCGAATGGTAAAACAGCACAACGATGATTCTGAAGTTGTAGCACTTTCTGACAACGTAGCCTAGATGTGAGCTGATAAAATGTAGATAGGTGTGCGCTTTTTTGGGATGCAAATGTGTTGCAACTTTATTTGTTGTTATGAGTTGTGGTAAGTGCAGATGCAAACAGACCTCTACAGTTCATTGTTCTGAATCACTTTCAAATGGCTCTAATAATTTTTTACATTCATTTTCAGTACGTATGAAGAAGAATGTGTATGTGTGTTTACAGTATGCATTTTGTTAGCTCTGGCTCTTTGTGCTGTTTAGTTAGTATAAAATGGCTGAGGTTAATGATGGCATACTTGGAATTTTGTAGCAGTTTATCTTGTGAAAGATGCAGGTCAAGCAACAGAGGAAGTCATTGTGAAGTTAAACATTATTGCCAGACCAGTTATAAAACCACCGTCTATCTTCCTGCGGTGTCAAGCAAAGGTGTCTTTTAGCTGTCATATTGGAATCTGCAGAACACCAACCATCAGAGCTTTTAGTTCCCTGCGGTAATGTAACGTGTAACCCGTGGGAATGGTTCTTTGGGATACGCAGTGTTGTTATAATTGCACATTTGCCACTCCTAAAGTAGACTTTTTACACCTTATGCTGTGGAAGATCTAGGTCTGAAAGTGTGCAAATTTTTGAGGCTTGAACTTTGGGCGGTAAAGTAATCGTTCACCTGAAAATGTTATTATTTACTCACCTTCATGTCGTTCCAATCTTGACTGCTGTTATTTTTATCGTCGAACAGTTTTGACGAATCATTACTGCGACATCCACCGAGACATGAACCATGTGTTTCCGAGAGAACCAGAACAAAATTATAGAGGTACTCTTTCCTGAAGCTCTGAAATGAGTTGTTGCCATGCCTAGTTTATTTTTGAAAGCTTTTCAGTGACTTACAGCTTAAAGGAGTAGTTCACTTTTAAAAAAAAACTTTTGCTGATAATTTACTCACCCCCATGTCATCCAAGATGTCCACGTCTTTCTTTCTTCAGTTGAAAAGAAATTAAGGTTTTTGATGAAAACAATACAGGATTTTCTCCATATAATGGACTTCATTGGGAACCAAACGGTTCAAGGTCCAAATGAGAGTTTCAGTGCGGCTTATAAATGACACCAGACGATGAATAAGAGTCTTATCTAGGTCATGACTCGAAAAACGATTGTCAAAAAAGATCGTAAAAAGAGTTTGAACAGGAGAGTCGCGAACGCTAATCACAGAAAAGAGCAAGGCGAGCGTTTGTGCTAATAAAACTTAAACTTTTTTATTTATTTTTTAAATGAGTGATCGTTTCGCTAGATAAGACCCGTATTCATCGTCTGGTGTCGTTTAAAGCCCTTTGAAGCTGCACTGAAACTCTCATTTGGACCTTGAACCGTTTGGTTCCCAATGAAGTCTATTATATGGAGAAAATCCTGGAATGCTTTCATCAAAAACCTTAATTTCTTTTCGACTGAAGAAAGAAAGACATGGATATCTTGGATGACATGGGGGTGAGTAAATTATCAGCAAAAGTTTTTTTTAAAAGTGAACTACTCCTTTAAGTCTTGGCCTTCGTGTGAATTTAGAAGAGTTGGAATATAGTGCGCAAGTTGAATGGACCACTTTTTTGTTTTTTAACCGTTCTGGAAAAATCATCTGTGGGTTTCATATTAAAAAGACTGGAACGTCATGAGGGGTGAGTAAATAATGACAGTGTTTCTAATAAAATGAGCTACCTAAAATATGTAGGTCCACGATTTCTTTTATTGTAAATTTGAGTGCGTCTCAATTGTAAATGTGTAGATAAACTGATGTCTCTGTTATTAAGAAGTGTTGTGTGCTGTAGGTCCAGGGTTGTGTGTGTGTGTGTGTGTGTGTGGAGCAGACAGGCCCATGAATGTCTGGATTATTTTTTGACCACTTTTTTTTTAAAGAACGCAGCTGATCGGCCTGCGGTTAGACACGTAGTTCACGCGGCGGAGCGGTGCTGACAAAGTTCAGTGCCAAAAACAAGCGAGTTTGAAATCAAAAGGTGCTTCTGTAGTTGGAAATTCAAACATGCAAATGTTTTCCCCTCAATGCATCCATCCCCCCATCTCCCGTGAGCTCATTTTGCTTTGGAGAATGGGAGAGATGTCACCAGAGGAATACAAACTTGTAAAAATGTAAAACCGCGTTCCTCTCTAAATGGATTTTTTTTTGTAAGGGAAAAAAGTTGTGCAATAGATACACAAAATATGATGGCATTATTTGTGGATAATTCTGTTTTTTTTTTTAAAGGGTTTTAGAAATCATACATCTTTATCATTGTCCTCTTTCCCATTATTTAGTGATTTCAGAAGGAAGTTGTCCTTTTGTGTTGATATGAACCATTATCTCAAACCAGAGAGGTTTAACTAGTGGTTTAACCAACGACAGGCAACTTTACATGTTAACTTGAGGAATGCCGCCTCATTGTTGTGCGTTGTTCCACAGGTGGAAACCTGCTTTCTTCACTTTTTGGGCCATCAAGAGTGCAATTTCCAAAATATTACAATGCAATTCTTACCTATAACCTTAACAATACATGTATGGTATAAACATAGATGTAGATGTTGTTGCATATGAAGGACTTTAGGAGGAGAGGGACAATGTTGAACTCATAATTTTATTTTTACTTTGTATTATTAACTTGCAGTGGATGCCAATGAGCTGGCCACAATATGCAACCCTGCAAGAGCAGTTCAGCAGCTCAAGTGATGTTAATGAAACCGAACTTATCTGTTCCTCCAATGCATGCTTTCTTATTTAAATACAATGTCACTTTCACTAATTTATAATGGAAATGCGGTTTCTGTTGTAAATTTCTGAGGTGGTTTTTAGCTTTTGTTGCTGTTTTAAAAGGGAGACATTTTCAAATCGGATCTGAACTTAATTGTAAACATGTTCACATGGTTTGTTGATTCAGTTGAAATCTCTCTAATTTTGCCAGTGTGTGTTTTTAATGTATTCATACTGTATCATATTTGCTTCCGTTTTGTTTTCATTTGTTCATGGAGCACATGGATTTTTTATCACTCTGAACTTTTGCAAACTACAATGTTTATGTTGTGCAGTGGTTAAAAGAAAGATGTCTGTAATGTCCTCACCAAAATATGTTGGTGCTTTAAATCAGCCAAGAAAAGTGTGCAAAGCAAATTAAAAATGATGCTCTGGATCTGATAACTGTGCGGTTGTTCTTTCTAGAGATTGCTAAATGGTAGCACAACCCATTTATTTTGATAGTACATTCTGTTTGATTGCAACAGTCCAAAAGTGTATCTATGTGCATTTGATAGTCAAGAAATTTCCCACCAAAGTGTCATTTCCACAACATCTATTGTTTAATAGCAATGACAATGAGATGGAAATGACATTTCAAACATTTATGGGGAAAAAGAAATTAACAGATGGGCTACTACTTGCATAATTTGAATTTTGTGTATCCTAAATACAAAGAAATATTTTCCACGTGCATAATTTGACAAAATAACAACTTGAATTCTTTATTTATTTTATTTATTTCCACAGATCTTCAGATAACAAAAAGAAGAGGTTGAAACTTGTAAATATAAACCACAAAAGGATAGTGGGAACACCTTACAATAGGGTTCATTAGTTAATGTATTAACATACATTTGTTGCAGTATTCGTATTTGTTAATATTAGTTAATAAAAATACAGCTGTTCATTGTTTGTTCATGTTAGGTCACAGTGCATTGACTAATGTTAAATACAACCTTTGATTTCAATAATTAGTAAATGTTTAAATTAATATTAACTAATATTAATAAATGCTGTAGACGTATTATTCTTTCTGAGTTCATGTTAACTAGGTAGGCTAGTTAACTAACGAACCTGGGATAGTAAACTCAAAAATGAAAATTCTGTCATTTTACAAACCCTCAAGTTGTACAAAACCTGTATAAAGAGTGTCTTTATTCTGTTGAACACAAAAGAAGGTATTTTGAAGAATGACTGTTGGTAACAGTTGTTGTTCCCCATATGGAAAAAAAATACTATGGAAGTCAATGGGGTTGATTGTTCCATCAACTGTTCAGTTCAAAATATCTTCTTTTGTGTTCAGCAGAAGAAAGAAACTCATACGGGTGATTTTTGGGTGAACTACATTTAATGTCATAAAATAATAGTTATAACACAACACCTAATTACGGGTCGCGTTCCTGTGAGTTTTAAACGAGAACGCGCGTCACACATTGTTTCCCATCATGCCTTTCTTCACCCCCGATATCAGCTTCGCTCCCTCTTTATCGCCGCCATTTCACCAGACGAAGGACTCAGTGGCTGGACATTCATTTCCAGAGAGAAACATCACCTCACCGATACAGCAACACGCCCGAGCATTGTTTTTACAACTTTAAATTCGTGTTTATCTTTATCTAGACCTAGTCTGTTGGTTTAGAGCAGCTTAATCTGAAAGAGGAGGAAAACAGCAAACATCTGAAGGCAAAATGTCGACTGAGGCTTCGCCAGAGAAACCAGGCCAAGGGTAACGCGACAACTCGCTGCTTGTTTTTTTTTTCTACACGTTTAGCTTCTTATATGCTTAAAATAGTATTAGATGCCGTGTGCATTTTTAATGATAATTATCGTAATAGCTAAGCTGCAGTAAAATATCATGGTTTTTTGCTTAAGGACAAAATCGTTTGGTTGGTTCATACCCTGCTGAAACAAAGAGTCGTTGGATTCACAACGGCAGAAAACAAGCTAAGGAAACATCATGCATTAAATGTGTTTTATACACGAAATGAAGCATATAGATAGACGACATATGAAACACTTCTTTGATATGTAACACGCACAAGACGAGTGTCCTTTGTTTGCTGCTTGGCCTAAGTTAGTTGCATGTCTGTTCAGTTTGTGGCCCTCGTTAGACGTTAATGCGTATAAAAAAATCAATTCATTAATATCGAACAAACCCTTCATTTAAAAATATTATTGTATATATATTTTATTTAAAAAAATCAATCAATTTATGATAAATTTGATAACTAAAATCTCTATAATTGCAATCTCAACCCTGTTGCCAGGTTATTGTTTGGCAAAATATAAACATATTATCCTTAGATTAATGGCAAGTTATAATTTCAGATATTACAAAATCATTTGATCTCAAACTAATTAGAGTGATGGTTTAAAATTACACAATGTTCAACCCTGTTGGGTCTTATTTTAATACATTTTATTGCAATAAGACCAAAAACGTGTCAAATCGAGTCTTTTATCTTAGGGGTGTAACAATTTAAACTCTGTACATGAACAAAGAAACACAACTGCTCACACAAAATGTCGTTTTGTCTCCTGAGTTTGTTGATTTTGCATGTTTTCTTTTCCATTCAGAAATTCAGTGAATGGCAAGTCCAACCATGAGTCGAGAAAGGAGAGGCCCCAAAAGCGTGGCGGCGGGGGACGATTTGAACCTTACGGAAACCCCAACAAGAGATACCGTGTGTTTGTCAGCAACATTCCCTATGATGTTAAATGGCAAACGCTGAAAGATCTCATGAAGGAAAAAGGTAAGGTTTTGTGCTGCTTGGTTGTGTATCCCAGGTTAGGTTAGGACCTTTTTTTAGTTTTGGGGGTTTTGAAGGTGGCCAACTACACAGTTGGTTTAGGTCAGAGGATAAACATCCCATCATGGGGAAGTGGTCTTGGAAAAAAAAAGGCTGTTCGAAAAGTGTCTTGTGGGGAAAAAGGCTGTTGTGGAAAAGTTAAATTATTCAAGATTCCTAATGTGGCTTGATGGCACTTTAAACTTTTGTGAACTGCACATACATCTAGAACAGAGTTTAATCCATTCATATGAATCTGATGCCATCAATCGGTCTCTTTGGCTTTGGAGAAAGTGTGTAGATTTCACCCTAACCTGTTGGATAGTATTTCAGAACAACCCATGAGTGGTCACATTTTTCCCAATCCATGTGTAGCACCCCCTCCATGCCTTATGAATCTTACGCATGGGGAATTTCATGTGGAAATTGTTGCCTGTAGAATTAAATTGCATTTTCTTTTTTAGGTTTGCCAGAGTGAATGTTTTTGCAGCAGATCTTCATTATTGTCCCCATAAAAAAAAAAATGGATGTGTGATTGATTTCTGGGGGTACAGGTCTACAGAGTAAAGCAGCTTCTTAAGCTGGTCCTTGTTTTATCTTATGGACAGATGTTCTTGCTGGAGAAATGCCAGGTGGTTCGATGTAGTTTTTGACAAACAGACTAGACCTTGTTTTGGTTTGCAGTCTCATCGGATGCAAAGTCAGCATCTAATCCTATTCTTGAGTGTTCATCCAACGGGACTTGTTGGAGCTGGTTTGGCTAATCGTTAAATTCAAGAGTCTCAATGCCAATTGTTTAGTTGGGAAGCCAAGTTGGTTCCAGGTGGATGAGGTTTCAGTTTCTGTAATTTCTAAACATTTTATAACATAGGTTTAGCTATTTCTATTTAGCTACTTTTTTTTTTTTTTTTGCCTTATCGACACGGTTTAGGTGTGTTGAATGTTTCGGAGGTAGCCGAAGACGTGTTAACCTTAACTTGACGTTTTCATTGACGTCCAACAAAGGCCTTAGTTGGCAATCCATCCAATTTTCAATGGCTCGGGAGGTAAAATCCTTTTGGTCAGACTTGGATGTTGAGGATCCCAGCAAGGACCGCTTAAGAAGTTTTCCATAACCATTTACAGCTTGCTTCTTGTAGACCTGTACCAGAATTTGTGCTGCTGAGGTGCTGGGGGAGGAGGCTCTGGACTCGCAGGCCGAGCTCACTCTCACCGTCCCCCCGTTTGTGTCTGCTCTAAACCCCAATTGTTCTCTCGGCTTCTCTCCCCTTGGTGTGTGTCGTCTGGAATCTGATTTGTAGTGGGTGAGGTAACGTACGTGGAACACTTAATGGACGGAGAAGGCAAATCAAGGGTAAGTGCAAGAGACGAACCTCCCTTTGTCCGCTTGAGTTCTTACATGTACTCTTAGATTTTAATGTGGGATGTTCAGGACTGGGTTGAGAGTTCAAAATGTGTTGTCTTGGGTGGCATTCGAACAAAAATGGACGCCGACTGCGGTTCTGAGTGGAACCAGTTATATAGTAATTCTGGTTTTTGTTTGATTTAAGAGGTAGCTTTATTGCACTGCGAGTCTCATTTCGGACTTAAGGTGGTGTTCAGTAACTAAACAAGGATAATATGGCGTCAATGATTTGTTGAGCGATTCTAGTGGGATAACAACAGAAATGGAGTTTGAATGCGTAATTGGAACTGAAGGCCGGTTGTGTATTCTGGTCAATTAATCCTGTCAGCCATTTTGAGTTTGGATGTAATTATGCACTAATTGTAACTGTTTTGCACTAAGTGAACACCACAGAGAAGTATTATATGAATATATATATTTTTATTAATTTAGTGTGAAGTATTTTTTTTAAAGGTTTCCTGAGTCAGTTGTCATTAATGTCCTGTGGCCTTTTTTTTAATTGTCTCTTTCCTTCATGTTTTATTTGTTTGTTCATCCTGGCTGGTGTGCTGACTGAACAAAGGGTTGTGCGTAAGTATCATTCAGCCCATCGATCATGATTTCTCATATTTGTCTGTTCTGCACTTCTCTTGCTAACAATTTTTTTTTCTCTTAAAGTGTGGTTGAGTTCAGAACTGAAGAACTCATGAAAAAGGCTGTGGAAAAAGTCAACAAACATGTCATGAATGGCCGTCCTCTTAAGGTCAAGGAGGTGAGTGCATCTTGTAGAGTAGATGAGAAAAAAACATGAACAAAAACATCTCACGTGAATATAGTTAAAGGATCTGTTTCTAGTCTTTCTCGGTGCATTATTTTGGTCTATTGTTCATCCCAATTATTAACTGTATTGCTCTTACAGGATCCAGATGGAGTGATTGCGCAGCGTGAATCTAATCGGGCTCATGGGGGTGGTGGCGGCGGCGGTGGTGGACCACCAGGCATGGGTGGAGGAATGGGAGGAGGAATGGGAGGAGGCATGGGAGGAGGCATGGGAGGAGGCATGGGAGGCGGCATGGGAGGCGGCATGGGGATGGGTCCAGGGCCTGGCGCTCCTCCACTGGTCAACATCCCTCCCAGTCTCATGAACAACCCCAACATTCCCAATGAGATCATCCATGGACTCCAGTCTGGAAAAATCGGAAGCACCATTTTTGTGGCCAATGTAAGAGTTGGAGTTTTAATTCACTCTAACCAAACGTTGAGTTTTAAAACGTGAACCCTGACTGTTCATATGGTATCTCTCTGCACAGCTGGACTACAAGGTTGGTTGGAAGAAGCTCAAAGAGGTGTTCGGAATGGCTGGAGTGGTTGTGCGTGCTGATATCCTGGAGGATAAGGATGGGAAAAGCAGAGGCATGGGAACGGTGACGTTTGAGATGCCCATTGAGGCCGTTCAAGCAGTCTGTATCCTTTACAATTGCTTTTGATATGTGGAATTGGATGGAATAAGGTTATTTAATGTGCAATACTTGAAGTTTTCCTTAATGGATGTTAGCCATGTTCAACGGACAGCTCCTCTTCAACAGGGTCATGCATGTCAAACTGGTAAGTTATCATGTAGGTTACGCCAAATGATTGTATGCTCATTCAAATCTGCCTCTTAACATCGGTCATTGTCTTTTCAGGATGAGAAATCCCTTCCCAAAGGTGACTTTGCACCCCCAGATCGTCCTCCAGCACTCCCTCGTAAGTGTTAACTTCATCTTCACGTTTGTCATGTGAACCGTCTCTTGCAATTGGCTTGTTTTGTTCCCCTAAACCAATTCTCACAATCTCATGCAGGTGGTCTTAGCGGTATCGGTCTTGGCCTGGGACCTGGCGGTCAACCCATCGATGCCACCCAGCTCAACCGGGGTGGAATGGGCAACATGGGACCAGGAGGTAAAAGCATGTCGCCTGTTGAACCTTTTTGGATTGTTTGTGCATGTTCACTGACCATCATTCTCCACCCCTCTCCATGAATGAATTTTCTTTATAGGAATGGATGGTATGGGATTTGGTGGCATGGGTAGAGTGGGAGGTATGTTTTTCAGGACATCTCATCAGCCATTTTTTTTTTTTTTTTTTGCCTGTTTTGGACTCTTTTTTTTTTTTTTTTAGATCTTGAAGCAACCTGCAGGGTTATGATTTGCATGCCATAGTTCAAATGGCGGTTAGTCTGTTTGAATTGGTGATATCCAAACTGCATTACATTCTAGCTGCAGTAACTCTTGAGCAGGAGAGTTATCTTCAGCGCTTTTATTTTATCTTCAAGAATTTTAAAGGGATACTCCACTTTGTTTTGGAAATGGGCTCATTTTACCACTCCCCCAGAGTTAAACAGTTGAGTTTTACCGTTTTCAAATCCATTCAACCGATTTTTTTGAAATTTAGAAGAATATCAGTAACATAGTATATTTTTTTCCTACTATGGAAGTCAATGAGACCAGAAACTGTCTGGTTACTGATATTCTTCTAAATATAAAAAAAATCGGTTGAATGGATTTGAAAACGGTAAAACTCAACTGTTTAACTCTGGGGGAGTGGGTAAAATGAGCCTATTTCCAAAAAAAAAGAAGTGGAGTATCGCTTTAAGTTGCTGCTTATTTTATGTGCTTTTTTTGCGTAGTTTTAGTGTGAATTACATGTATTTGAAAAGTATATAGTATGTAATTATCATTTTATGATATCTCAGGGATGGATAATTTTGGAGGAGGTATGAACAACATGGATCGTTTTGGACCCTCTGGAATGGGAAGAATGAATGGTAAATGCATTTACAGTTGTTTATTTAAATCTTATTTGCTCTTCGGTTTTAAGTTTGAAACCTTTTTTTATTATTGCAGATATGGATCGTGGAATTGGAGGTGGCTTTGATAGAGAATTTGGTGGTCGTAATGACATGGGAATGTCCCGTAGCAACTTCGGAGACTCTTTTGACCGAGGAATGGGTTAGTGATTGTTTAATCTCTTTAACATTTATAAAATTATCATTTTATTTGCATGTTTTTATTTTAAATTTTGCTTTTTGATTGATTGCTAGGAAACACCATGGGAATGGATCGCATGAATTCTGGCATGGACCGGCTTGGTGGTGGCGGCATGGACCGCATGGGAGGACTAGACCGAATGGGAATGGATCGCATGGACCGCATGTCTGATCTGGACCGGTTAGGAACTGGCTTTGACAGAATGGGTTCAGGGCTCGACCGGCTAGGGCCCAGTATGGATCGGCTGGGATCAGGCATCGACCGCATGAGCTCCACTGTGGACCGCATGGGCCCTGCAGGGTTCGACCGCTTGGGCCCGTCCAGCATGGATCGTATGAGTGGCGGAATGGACTTTGCCTCTCCTATGGGTATGGATAGGATGAACACAGGCCTCGACCGAATGGGTACAAACTTCGACCGCATGGGCTCCGGTGGCATGGACCGCTTCCCCACCTCGGGTCTTGACCGCATGGGTACCAGCATGGATCGGATGGGCTCTGGTGGCGTTGGTGGTCAGTTTGATAGGCCTGCTGATATGGACCGCGGAAACTTCGGCACTCCTTTCAGTGGGTCTGGACAAGGAGGTCCAGGGATTGGCGGTGCCAATGCCAGGAAGGGCTGCCAGATTTTTGTCAGAAATGTAAGTATTATCTTTAAAAGAAGATCAGATTAAACAAAAATGCAGGAAAGCATGTATGACCAAAAACTGTTATTCTGATGTTTATACATTAGGATTTGATTGGAAAGTAAAAATTTGATAGTATTTGTTCCGGCCCACACAGCCTTTATATCAGTAGACAAGAAACGTTTTTTAAAGACTAAAAATGTTTTTCCATATATAACTTTTCCTTCATTTGTAATATAAATGTCTATATTTTTCAGCTGCCCTTTGACTTCACATGGAAGATGTTGAAGGACACTTTCAATTCATGTGGTGAGACTTTTTTCCATGTATAGCAAACCCATCCATGTTGTGTATTGATATTTCTTGTTTAACTAATCCATTCTGATGTGCATTTTTCTACCAGGCATGGTGCAGTATGCGGACATAAAGATGGAGAATGGCAAATCCAAGGGCTGTGGTGTGGTGCGCTTCGATAATCCGGATACTGCCGAGCGAGCCTGTCGTACCATGAACGGCTACCGGCTCAGTGGGCGAGAGATTGACGTCAGGATTGACAGAAATGCATAATTGTCATCTTTTGCTTTCTGCATATGATTCCCTCCACCCCACTCATTATGCTTTCCAATTAATTTGTCAAGTTACATATTTGTATTTGTGCCGAATGGTACACTTTTAGTTTAGCTTATGACTTTTAGAGACCAAATGTTTTTTGTTTTTTTTCCCCCCACTTTTTATTGTGATGCTTTCAAAGAAATTGCCTTTGTTAAAGGTTTGCTAATAAATCTCAACATTGAGAACTTACACAGTGATGTGTGGTCCTTTTTAGTCATTATCTCTGCAAATTTGGTGCGCCTGTGCAAACCTGGCTACCTTGGATTTATGGATTTGGCAGATGCTTTTATTTAAAGTGTTTAAAAGGGAATGGAAAATTTTTAGTGTATTTTTTTCCTAATACATGTGCAGTATTCATTTTAAAGTTTGCTGCTTTTTAAAAAAACCTGTTTAATTGGTTTAGAACCTGATGCGGCATTAAAGCTACACCGTGTAACTCTTTTAGTTTATTCTTAGCTGAAAACACTTAGTTCTTTCAAAAATATATGTGCTCATTAAAGTATATTTACTTCGTTCAAGTAATAAAGTATTCTCGTGAGTATAATATGCCATTGAAAATACATACGGGTAAGAGGTTCTAATGTCGGTCGCCATGTTGCCCCTCCATCTTGAAAGTACATTAGCTAAAGGGGGACATACCCCTTTCTCGTTTACGTTTGAGTTAACAATCATGGACGAGGTCGAACTGGAAGCCATGTTAATCTTGGATTACATTGGCCACCGTAGGAGTTAAAATGAAATCGGAACTGAGAGAAACAAACTAGTATTCACTGGATGGTCCTATACCTTTTCACTGCTAGATGGAGGTAAAATCACACAGTGTAGCTTTAAAATAATGCTTGTTTTATATGCTGATTACTTCAGTTAATGTAAATTAAGAATACACTGAACACTAATTCAAATTTTGTAGGTAGGCCTACAACCATAACAGTGAAAACAATGCTGTTGGAAATATATTATAGTGATTCACCAACAGAGAGCAGCAGCAGCAGCCTCATCAAAACAACTCCGAAGCTCCTGTGGGGAAGTCCGATTCATTCTTGCGAATCGATTCATTCAATTCGCGTCAATGGACTAGTTCACACAATCAACAATGTGTTTAAAATGAATCAAATAACCGTGTTTCCCTACTGTTTATCGCTAAGATTTTGTTCAATCAGAGGTGTCAAAAGTTGTCTGGCAAAATGTGAAATTTTTTGTCAAACTACCACATTAGTCACTGCAAAACTCTAATAATCAGTGTAAAAGGCATTCACAATATATGTCGTAATTTCTTTCAGATTTACTTTATTTTCAATACCAAGTTAGCATAGGCTGAAAGACAAACAGCAAAACCAGCCCAAAAAATTATTTGTCCGTGGTTTACCAAATCGGTTCAATTGAACCATTCAGTCTGTTCAAACGAACGATTCGTTTGTGAATCGGACATCCCAACCGTGTGCTTGACAGCTCAGAGGAGAGGTCTGAAGGACCACGACGCGCAGGAACAGTCCTCAATCTCTCTCATTATTTTTTGTTAGCTATTCAGATTCATATTTAATCATAAAGGCCACAGAAAGCTGTGTGTAGTTTAAAATATTCGCTATCATCCGTTGCCAGCGCTCTCGCTCAGAGTATTCATCCCGGGATTTTGAATGGAAGTGGAGGCTGAAGGGGCGGCCAGCCTGTGTGAGGCCAGGGAAGGGAGTCCGTTATCCGGGGCAGCATCATCCGATGACGGGGGGACGACAGACGACGGGGACGCGGGTAACTAACCATTCGGGCTTTGATTCGATGGAGGGCTTTAAAAATACTTCGGTTCATGCAATTTCATCTGATTGATTCAGGTGGCTGGGATGCACTCTGGGATAGAGCTAGCAAGACTAGCATTCATGCATGGAGAAGGGACACTGATGCATGTGATATATCATTCCTGCATCAGATTGTTGGGATTCTCATGCAGCCATAGAGAGAAAGAGAGAGAGTGTGTACTGTGCGATTATAAAAGGCTATTTAGTTTTATGGGCATGTTGTTGGTTTGATATGACGGGTTAGAACCAGAATCAGCTCGCTAGCCGTCAGCATAGCAGGGACACTGGGTAGATGACAGATGGGATGATGGGGGTTTCAGGTGAGAAATGGGGTAAAGGCTTGTATTGCATTTGTTGAGAATAAATGCCATACAATGTTTATTAAACATGCAAATTTGAATGCATAAAATGTATTTTGTAGACTAGATGGCATTTTACAGCAATGTTTTGTTTTCAGAATGATTTTTTATGATTTTTTTTCAGAATGCCCTTTTTCCTAATGTATTTCAGTGTGTACAACAGCTTATGTGTCTTAGAAACATTTTATGTCACTTCGATTTAGCATTTTTGTTATTTTATTCATTATAAATCATTTTTAAAACCATTATATAGCTTATGTTGTATACACACACACACACACACACACACACATATATAAATATTGTTGGTTTAACTTAAAAAAATAAGTAACCTGGTTGCCTTAACATTTTAAGTTCATTGAAATTGAAAAACTGAGTTAATACAATGAAGAATATTTATTTAATCACCAGAAACTCAAAATATTATGTTATCTGAACTACATAAATGATCTAAGTTGACTTGACAGTGTACAATACAAATCTTATTGACCTAGAAATTGTGCAGTCTAAAATTTTTCTTAATTTATGTCTTAATATATATTTTGTAATTTTTTTTTTCAAATTTATTTTTTTTATCCCACTGTATGCCATGGTATGTTAACAAACACACAAACAAATCCTTCTTGAGCCTTGCACTTGATTCAATCTGATCATTTTTATTTTTTTGCTTTCATAACAATTACTTTATTTATCAAATACACTCTTGTTTCTAAGGGAATTTGCTATTATCTTCTCGGTTCCCCATTTGCGTTTTTTTTCCTGCTTTAAATAAGTCACGTATCTGTGTGTGAGGTGTCAATGAGTGTGTTCACATGCACACTACGCAGATAACCATCAAAAATCGCCTCATTCTGTAAACCCAGAACACAGTAAAAATAAAAAAGGAAATATGTTTTAACACTGCTTTAACTTAACTTTAAAATAATTTAAGCAATGGTCTACTTTTTTTTATAATTTATGCAAGATTCAACTCAGTTTTTAAGTCAGTTTAATGTAATTTAAGTTGAAACGACTTAAACAACCAAGTTGATTGTACTTACAAATTTAAGGCAGCAACCTTTTTTACAATAAAAGGATTGAAAGCTATGTTTCAAATGATAATTAATTTCAGTTTTTCCTCTGCTTTTAACATGAGTATGTAAACGGTTATACACAAAAAACAAAACAATATATCAGTTTAAGATAGTTCTTGTGAACAAATGTGATCCGTTCCAAAAAGAGCCCATGTTCAGTAGTATGCACTTAAGATTGACCTTTATCCAGCTAATTGTTGACAAGGTTTGTTCTTTTGCGTATGTGTTGAAGCTTTGCAAACTCGATTGTGGTTACTGTTGTTCAAAGACATAAATGTCAACGCAATTGGCTCGTAGTAAATGTCACATACTCTCTTGTAGTCCCATCATCTTCTCTTTAATTGCTAAAAGTGCATCCAAACACTCCCTGAACTCCCCCGGCGTCTCCTGCCTCGGCATCCTCCTGTTTTCATTGGTTTTCTCCGTGTAGATACTGGAAAAACATGCTGACTGACTGTTGAGCATGCTATCACGTGACATGGCCTGTCAGTCATTTTCTCACCTGAAGGGACATGGACACAGTCCACAGACCCTTGTTTTTTTGGGGTTTTTATGTTTTTTTCCTAAAATTATATACAATTTTAGTGAGTCACATGTTTAATTGAGTTCTTTAGCTGTGTTTATATGTCCAAAAAGGTTGCTAAGAAATTAAATGTTTACATTTGTGCTTAAAATTATTCGTTTTTTTCTGTTTTCGAGTGTTAGATGATGGCATATTTAATCTAAATGTTCAAATAGGGGATATAATGCACAGCTGAATATCCCATTTTGATGGATACGATAAATGAAGAAAAAACTATTATCGGCCGATGGCCAATATATGATAAAAACATATTGCTATTGTTCGCCTTGTGCAAAACTCACCGCCACAACACTAGGATGTTGGTAGCCGCATACTTTTTTTTTTGCAAATTTCCAAAAAAATTTGCAAAAAAGTTGCAAATTTAATTTCTGCGAAAAAATTGGAACATCGCGAAACAATTTTCTAATAAACCGTTCTTGCTCTGCTGTGTTACAAGTAAATTTGTTTCTGACATAGTTTATGTTCATGTCTTTCGAGATGAGATGATTTTGTTGTGTATTTATTTGCATCTTAGGCCGTGTGTCCACCAAAGCGTTTTTATCCAGCTGAAAACGCCAGACGCTCTGCTAAAGACGCCGTCCTTTGGGCGCTTGAGAGCGTTTTGGCAGCGCAGCGTTTTTTCCGTTGAGACGTTTCGTTGCTATGATACAGAATATCCGCAGCAGTTTGAATGTTGTGACAGTTGAAAACAAAAAAAAACGCTCAGCGCCTCGGTACGCTCATGGCGTTTAAAAAACGTGGCGCTCCCATTGAAAACAATTGAAAACATACGCCAGGCGCGTGGAAAAACGATTTGGTTTCCATCCAGTTTTTTTATGCAGTATCACAAAATTTTTATAAATTCTTAAGTGTGAAGAAATGTGTGATTTATTTGTTTATTTTATTTGTTGTTTTATTGCCTCGAAAAATTGTAAGTTACAATGTATAGAAAAGTTGAAAACATTAGGCAGTTTAAACTTATATGCTATTTACTGTTGGTGATCATGTTATTTTACATATGCACATGATTACATATGACGCCTGTGCTTTGATCAGCACTCTTTCAGAAGATGTGTCATAGCGCCCCCTACAGTACAACAGTGAAAACACGGAAAGCTGGAAATGTCCGTCAATGGCGAGGAATTTACTGCAATAGGTCTATAATTAGAAAAATAACAGTGCAGTAAACAGTAAAACTATTTGTTTAGTGTGTTTATAATTATGATAATACATTAAAAGAATGATTATAATAAAAAAATTATAAAGTTCAAAGCTGTGAGTAGGGCTGTCAAACAATTATTCGCGATTAATCGCATCCAAAATAAAAGTTTGTGTTTACATACTATATGTGGGTGCACTGTGTATAATTATTTTGTACATATATATATATATATATACACAAATGCATGTATATTTAAGAAAAAAAATATTCTTTTTATATTAATTCTTATTATTAGTTATATATAAATCTATATACAGTATATACATGAAAATATTCATATTTATATATACAAAATAATTATACACAGAGCACCCACATATATTATGTAAACACAAACTTTTATTTTGGATGCGATTAATCGTGATTAATCGTTTGACAGCCCTAACTGTGAGCAATAATATTACTCTTTACAGATGATTGCTCCTGTATCGACCCGTCCGAATGATAAATACCTGGATTGTTGTTCTATTCAGAGGCCGTCTCGCTCGGCTCATAAGAACAAAATTGAACAGATGAAGGCCGAGATAGGAAAAGATCTATATTGTAGATGAATTGTAAAACAATTTCATTACCGCCAAATGGACCATCTCAAGCACCACTTCGGTATGATCATGTGGTGGTGGTGGTTAATGTACACAATTAAAGCATCTGTGAAATGCAGACATGGCTTTCTCGGTTTATACACATAACATCCCATGAGATGCATATATAATCAAACCCTAGGCGATACTCAAAGCTGTTATAGTGTTCTATAGCTCGCTGATATTGCTTTGCAAAACAGGGCAGGTCTGTCTGCACACTCTGCGCACTCCATCTATTTCCTCAACCCGTGTTATTCTAAGAGCTCAGACTGATGGGAGTTTTCAAGCTCTGGTGGGAAATGGAAAACAAGCAAGAATTGCATAATGGTGTCTCTCTGTATTCCTTGCCCTCCTCGCTCATGTCCCGAAGAGGATGGAGCTTTTTATAGGCCCTGCAGAGCTGACCAGGGCACTGGAAGACACTCAATCCCATCGGCACCTCAGAGGGAGTAGAGTGTCTTATGGGACGCAGACTCCCCGATTGACATATTTGTGTTTAATGCATTGTAACCAACTGTTGTTTATGAAGAGTTACCGGAACAGCTATTTTGAAATGGTTCCCAGAACGTTGTCAAATAGTTGCTAAAGTGACGTGTATTGTTGTGTTGTGCAAGTGTGTCTATTGTTGTTGCATCTCCAGTAGTTTGTTGTTGTTTTGTCTCATCCGTAGGCATAAAAATGAAGTATACTTCGGGCTTAAGTCTGATAACTAAGAATGAACTTTGAATAAAAGCGTCTGTTGAACGGGGTGTAACTTAAATTAAATTAGCAAGAGGAACTTGTTTTTGTTTTCATCTCTCAGATCAGAAGTGAGCCATGAAAATGGTTTTGTGGGCTTAATGGTAGGTTTATAATCTCTCGTTTCCTTTGGTTTTCTTTATACGGTTCTGTTTTGCGAGGTTATGAGAAGTTGTTCATATGTATTGTCATTTTACTTCAAGTATTTAGATTTTTGCCATCATATATGTGATATCGTCATTCACCCAAAGTAGCATATACATGCTAAGTCTTTGGTAAATTTAGTCTCATATAATGAATGTTAGTTTGAGGTGTCAGGTGACACCTCAAAGATTATGTCGTCAAGTTTTTCATTTCAAGTCCATTTTGAGCTGGCTGTGATCACACCTACCCAAAGCATATGGAATATCAGGAGGTGTTATGCTAATTCATTAGCACTGGAGATGTTATGTGCTCTTACCCGTGTTTTAAAAGTTTGTTAAGTTCATTATGGCTTGACATAGAAGTGTCTGAACATCATTTCATAATAGAATCAATATATAAAAGTGTAGTCTTGAGTAACTCAACACTAGGCTAACTCAAGGCTAGGCTAACTTTAGGCTAGTTTAAGGTAATGTTTATAGTGCTTTAGCTTAAAATAATATTCCCCACAGCTCTATTTAACACAATTTCCCTTCCACAAATTCAGTTTCTGAACCTTTGTATGTTTTGTAACAACTTTCAACAGTTTATTATACATTTTGTGTCACATATGTAGCTAGCTTAGATGATCGCACATATGCTCAGGCACTGTCTCAAGTAGGCAGTTAAAATCTTTTTTCCTCTGTACCTATAAATAAAAAGCACATTTTTGCTGGTCTTTATTAGATGTGTGGTTGACCCTGGCTAGTGAAGTATAGCAGAAAATCCTACAGCATGTTTGCCCTTCAGCTTGAACTGAGGCCAAACCTAACATCAACGAACAAGGTCTAGGAAAAAGCTCTTTTATGGAGAACCATAATGTTGCCCAAACAGTCCAAACCAGTTTCAGGAGCCCACATTTACAGCTGGATCCAGAAATAACAGGAACTATTGGTCATGAGGCTTGTTGGTGTGGATGTGCTATTTCAGAGGTGAAAAGAGACATTACAGCCTTTATGTTTTTACTGACTTTGAGCTTCCAACTTCACAACAACAAATTGAGCTAAAGTGGGAAGATTTCAGGTGGAAAATCCAGCTTGTAATGAATATCTCGCTAGCCAAGTTAGCCAGCACTGGTAATTGGTAGAACATCGAGCTAGCAACAAACCAGCTTACAGTTGGTAAATGTCATTTTAGCTGGTCTACCAGTCCAGCCATCTGCACTAGATGGTGGACCACCTGCCATGTTTCAAAACACAGTTACCAGCTTAAACGTATAGTTAGTTCACCAAAAAAATATTATTTACTAATAATCTTCCAAGTTAGCTGGTAACTGTTGCAAATGTATCAATGAGTTAAAATGTCAAGAACTGATTCAGATCAACTGAGTGGTTTCCAATGATTCATTGAAGATCGAACTTGTTAAAGGAGTAGTTCACTTTTAATAAAAACTTTTGCTGATAATTTACTCACCCCCATGTCATCCAAGATGTCCATGTCTTTCTTTCTTCAGTCGAACAGAAATTAAGGTTTTTGATGAAAACATTCCAGGATTTTTCTCCATATAATGGACTCCAATGGGAACCAAACGGTTCAAGGTCCAAAAGACAGTTTCAGTGCAAACTGCAAACTATTCAAAGGGCTTTAAACTATTTCAGACGATGAATAAGGGTCTTATCAAGCGAAACGATCTGTCATTTCAAAAATAAATAACAAAGTTTTATAAGCACAAATGGTCGCCTTGCTCTGTTCTGTGATGAGCTCGTTCATCAAACTCGTTCATCAAAATCTTTTTTCGAGTCATGACTCGAAGGGTCCTAGATAAGACCCTTATTCATCGTCTGGTGTCGTTTAAAGCCCTTTGAAGCTGCACTGAAACTCTTATTTGGACCTTGAACCGTTTGGTTCCCATTGAAGTCCATTATATGGAGAAAAATCCTGAAATGTTTTCATCAAAAACTTTAATTTCTTTTCGACTGAAGAAAGAAAGACATGGACATCTTGGATGACATGGGGGTGAGTAAATTATATCAGCAAAAGTTTTTTTAAAAGTGAACTACTCCTTTAACGATCACAAGAGTAGATTTTCTGCTAATAATCATTTTAACTGGGCAGAAAGTCAAGAACTAATTCAGTCTGATTTGTTAGCAAATTGATCTGATTTTGTGAACCATTTCAATCTTACAAAATAAATAAAAAAATTCTGTCAAAATAAAAGTATGATGGTTAACGGTCACAATAACCATACATTTTAAGAACTGTAATTTTACAGTTGCAAGAGAAGATAAAGTATTTTAATTATTTTATTTTATATTACAACAGTAATATTATCTTGTTTTTTTGTAATTATTGTATTTTTATTTACTAATGATAATATTGTTGTATTATTTTATTGCCAATTTATATAACTTTATTTTATAGCCATATTGAGAGATATTCACATATTTTATCTCCATATTGTGCAGCACTACAAACAAGCACAGCAATTTTTTAATCACGTTTTAATCACAATTATTTTCGTGCAGCCCTAAAATTATGCTTTTATGTCTTTAAAGTTTAAAACCTCCAGAATAATTCGTTGTAAAGGCATTGAATAGAGTAACCAGCACATTTCTCAAAATTTCTCCTTTTCTGTTCTACAAACAAAAGAAACTCCTACAGGTTTGGAACGACATGAGGCTGAGTAAATGGGGACAGAATTAACATTTTTGGGTTGAGTTTTCCTCAAAGCTGTTTTTAGCTGTAATTTCCAGCATGTCCGTCGTCTTGGTTTTGCTGTTTCTTTCTCGCTGCATGGCTATGAGCTGCTCTGTCTAGCGGCCAATGCCCTATTTAGAGCAGCATGTGTCTGTTGATGCCACATGCATATGCAAACTCCGAGAAAGCTTGTTGACCTTGATTGGGATGCCATGGAAACCGAGGAAGTGAATGGGAGCGTGTGCAGACGCGTCTGGGACGACCGTGGGGTGTGAAGCACAGCCCAAGGAATCCAGCCGTCAGCTTCACATGGTGTATTTTCATCAAATCGTCTTTGTCCACAAACATCCCAGTCGCCATTGACAGCTGCTGCTGATGCTCGAGGGGCAGCGATGGAATATAAATGGAGGCTGAAGAATAATGAAGCTGGCTGATGATGTCTGTGCTTTAGCGGGTGACCTGTTGACCCTTGAAGTCTGGTTATAATTTCAGATGAACATGTCTCAAATAATCATAGGCACACAAATCTGGATTTAAATCCCGACTGTCTGAATTTTTAATTTTGCAATCAATGAAATGTAATCCTTTAATTGAGATAGTGTCGTCGTCAATACCCGGTTAATCACTGTTCTTTTTCTTTCCTAGACACGATATCAAAAAAGGCTTTCATCACAGAGGTACTTTCCTTTACCACATATCAAGAATATCTACTATTAGATTGCAAGGAAACCTGTTCATGATGTAGGCATTACAGGTTGGTGGTATCTTATATTTTTGCTCTTTTTACACCAGATGCCTTCATCATCAGGCCAGCCGGCTCATGGGAAGAAGATCGGTCACAGAGGAGTGGATGCTTCAGGAGAAACCACATATAAGAAGGTGCATTGCTTCGAATCAATATCAACAACTTTTTCTAAATTCGTAACTGGTTCCATTTTAATTATTTTAGTTACTTCTTGTACCAAATCAGCTCATGTTATTTATTTTAAATGTTCAGTGTTTTATTTAAAAAATAAATAAAAATAAATAAATAAATAAATAAAAAATAAATAAATATACATATATATATATATATATATAGTTTCTGAAATAATAATAATAACGGCCGATATATCGGAATATCGGATATTAAAACCAACAAATATTTGTATCGGTATCTGCCTTCAAAATCCTTTATATATACTTTGTATATATATATATATATATTGGTCAAAATTGTATTTTTAATTGTACATGCTCATTTTCTCTCTTTTTACATTTAGATTGTTTGCCGTTTTCTAACGCTAACCTAAAAACCTTTTCTAGATTCGATTTTAATTTCATTCAGATTCAGTTTGATATCGGTTGACATTGTATATTTAATTGTAGATGCTTATTTTCTCTTTTGTTACATTTAGATAACCCTTGCCATCTAACACTAGCCTTAAATGAATCTATAAAAACACTAATAATTTAATAACAGTAAAATGTAATATTTAGTAAATCTCAAAATAAATATCCCTTTTCATACTGTATATTTTAAAAATGTAATGCCTAACATTTAAACCATTTTATTTTAGGTTCATTTTATTTATTTATTTATTTTTTTTTAGAAAAAAATAGTGTTTATTTTTAAAATGTACAAACATACAAATTATTGTATGGTATTATAATATTAATAAAAAAATTATCGGTTTATCTGTATCGACCAGATTTGCAATATTGCTTATAAGCTCGATCCACAGAAATGTGGCACTAGATATCGGAACAAAAAAAAAAAACGTAGATTAAATGATCAATCTCTGGGTTAATATTTAAGAAAATGAATCTCTGGGTTAATATTTAAGAAAATGTATCTCAAGTCATTTATATCTGTGTTTTTTTTTTTTCAGACCACATCTTCAGCACTCAAGGGGGCCATTCAGCTTGGGATTGGCTACACGGTTGGCAACTTGAGTTCCAAGCCGGAGCGGGACGTCCTGATGCAGGATTTCTATGTGGTGGAGAGCATCTTCTTCCCCAGGTGAGCTATCCGTCTGAGATTGATGTTGTGTGTATCATTTCACATGCAATAAATGTTCTTCTCCTTGTTCTTCCAGTGAAGGGAGCAACCTGACACCAGCTCATCATTTCCCAGACTTCCGCTTCAAAACCTACGCTCCCGTGGCCTTCCGTTACTTCAGAGAGCTCTTCGGGATACGACCGGATGACTATTTGGTGAGAGATATAAGCTAAAGTCTAGTTTTTGTAATAAATGCTTGCATTTATTCAGGACCACTGAAGAATCGCTCAACCTGAATTTATCTATATTTGTGTTGGCCTTTAGTATTCGCTCTGTAACGAACCACTGATTGAGCTGTCCAATCCGGGAGCCAGTGGTTCAGTCTTCTATGTCACCAAGGACGATGAGTTCATCATCAAGACAGTTATGCACAAGGAGGCGGAGTTTTTGCAGAAGCTCCTTCCTGGATATTACATGGTGAGTTGCTGTACTTTGACTGATGCATTTTAAATTGGGTTTTTAATGTCCAATCCCGATATCTAGAGAACAGGGTGTATATATTATGCAAGACATTAATACTGCATTATATCGCACAGTTTATTGACAGAAATTTATATGTAGCCTACATAAAATTAGTTAAAAACTCAATACACAATATTTAATTTATTTTGAAACAGACACAGTGGTGAACTAATATTTATGTGCAAATATTAACCGATTATCTGCCTGTAAAATATTTATTGGTGTATCACTAATGCAGCCTGTTACTTTTTAAGAAGCTACATATCGGTAGGATATCGGTTGGATATCGGTTATTTACGATATTAGAATTTATTCAAATTTATTGGGCAAAATGGGTGTGCAAATTTATCGGGGGTGATAAAGTGTTATTCTGACAATAAATGATCAACTATTATCAGCCAGAATTTTAATAGTGTGCATCTTTATTTAAAACTAATGGTCAACTAATGTATATTTTCAATGTCCTATGCCGATATCTATAGAGCAGGACAGTAAATACGGCATGATATAATAGTTTGATGATAGCAAACTAGATGTAGCCTATATAAAATTACTAAAAGTAATTATTTTGACACAATTTTGAAATACATTTTAGAACTGAAACAATCGTGAGCTAGTATTTATTGCCAAATATCGGCTAATTATCGGTATTTTTTTGTTGACTTACTATTTAAATTTTTGAGCTACAATAATTTCACAGTAAATACAGAGGTTATGATCCTATTTTTTGGTATGTTGTTACTTTGTGAGAAACAATATATCTGTAACATATCGATTATTGACTGTTTTTCTTTAATTATCGGTGAAATGTTTACATTTTATTTTTAATTAACTTTGACAATAAATTATTGTTATTGGCCATAACATGAAAATAGTTATTGGCTCATCAGTATCAGACAGAGTTGTATTATCATTTCATGTTTTTTTTTTTTTTAATTAATGGTTGATATTGGTTTTCAATGTCCAATAAAATATCTAGACTAGAGTGGCTGATGGTTAATATAATACTGATAATTATGATACAGTACGTTATATAATACAATATAATGATAGAAAATGAGATGTAGCCTTAATAAAATAACATTATTTTCAATATATTGAACTATTATCAGCCTGTGCGGTCAATCGTGAAGATCTAGTTTTTCAGTTACAATAAGCTAGGCTAAAATACACAGTGTATGTTGTTATTCAGTACTTTTCGAGAAAGATGCTTTCCAGCCTATTATCACATGCTGTCACAAATCAACCACCTGGTTAAACAACAACACTGTTGATTACCCAACAAGCTATTTTGAGGCGATTTGTCGGCTATTTTCCTGAATAATAAAATAAATGACACAATTAGCATATAAACTGTGCTTGTTCCAGCTTTATGTCTCCACTGGACCAATCCAATTCACAATGTAAGTACAAAAGGGTTTGGTTTCCAAGAGAACATGGGTTTTTCTTTCAGTAGACGATGCCTAAATGGGTTCTCAGTGTCAGCAGAGTCAGACCAGTGACTGGCTTGGCTTGTTCCATCCATTCAGCTGGAGCTAATGAGCCCATGAATAGTGACGGATCAGTTGTTGTTCAGCAACAATGCTGACCTTGGCCGGTTTGCCTACAGAAATCTGTCTTTAGCTGTTTTCCTCTTTCTGTTTCTCCTCTTTGATCATATCTTGTAGGACAGGTCACCTTTGGGAAGGTGATGGTTGTTCCACAAAGCTCCTCTAGGTTGGACATCTGCTTCATTGCTTTGCCTTTGTGTGGTGCTTTTTAAGAGGATGTAAAGTCCAATTTAATTGGAATCAGTTGTTTTTACAACGCAAACTAAATGCCTTTGGCGTTTTTTGTGTGTGTGTGGTTGAAATCGTGTGTTTTGAATCTGGAATGTGGGAAAACAAATAATGATTACTTCAAGGTAATGCATAAATGCTGTTATTGAACTAGTATTAACATTAAGAAGTGGTCATCAGCAAAAGTGTGGTTTGCATGCGATTTTAAGGAATAGTATCAAAAAACTAAAATTCTTCTATCATTTATTCATCATGCCGGTCTAAATCCGCGCGACTTTCTTTCTTCGTGGAACACAAAAGAAGCTGCTCTTTTCCATACGGTGACTGTGAACTTGGCTCAGAGGCTCGAAAAAATGACAAAAAAGCTATATAAAAGTATCATACAAGTACTTCTTTTTGTGTGGGGAAAAGGCTGAAAAGATGAGATTCTTTTCTGTTCTTCCGTGGAACACAAAAGAAGAGGTTTTGAAGAATATTCATGCTGCTCTTTTCCACATGTGACCATTAAGGTTAAAATATGACAAAATAGCTCAATTAAAGCACTCTTTTTGTGTAAGGAAAAGGCAGACGAGTTATTGTTTGTTGAATATCTCATTTGAATTTCCTCATATTTAAACTGGCAAGTTCGTCAAACATGGCGGAACACATTTTGCCTCACAACATTTTAGTATCGGGTTAATAAATGGTGACAGAATTGTAACTATTCCTTTCAAGATGAAATCTATTAATTACACAATGCATGTAACCAACAAATACTAATACAAACGTTTTTCCACAGATGTGTAGCACTGCATGGACGACCTGGATTTGAATTAGAGCCCGACCGATAAAGGATTTTGAAGGCCGATACCGATACAAATATTTTTGGGTTTTAAAATCCGATATATCGGCCGATATTATTATTATTTTTATTTCAGAAACGCGCAACAAAACATTAACAGATTTCCCTAACATAGTTATTTGTAGTTATTTTTGAGTTTTAACTAAAATAATATGATAAAGCATTTTACAAAGAAACTTGTTTCTTTTATTGTCACAACAGAACAGAGAAACATCAAAATATATTAAAGTTCTGATAAATAAAATAATAATTAGTCCCTACATTGCCTTCCTGCTTTCTAAAACCTACGTAGATAGCACAAGATACGTTTGATACTTTTTCTATCAACTCTATGTCAAAATGTTCACTCCTCGCAAGTCGAACTTACATTTTACAATGCGGAGACGGTAACTAGAGATAGGCTAGTTATAAATACAGTAATCATTACTTTATTTAGGCAGAAAAAGTTCATTGTGGTTTCCAAGCTCATTAATGTTAACGTTAGCGGTCTTCCACTGATGATAGTGGCATTAGCTAGCTTTGTGGTTAGCTAGTCTATGATGAGCCATAATTTAGCAATGGATAACGTCATACTGCAAATTGTAAAACATACATTTTCAATATAACAGGCCAAAGAGAGATGATTGAAGCGTGTTTCGTCCGTTTTTATTTCATTTTTGAAATATTCATTTATCGGCCATTATAACTGCCGATACCGATAGTTTGGAAAATGCCTAATATCGGCCGATAATATCGGCAGGCTGATATATCGGTCTGGCTCTAACTTGAATATTCTTTTACTCTGATTCGTTTACTCTGGGCATTTTGATTTTTCCTGCAGAACTTGAATCAGAATCCTCGCACCTTATTGCCCAAATTCTTCGGGTTGTACTGCGTACAATCGGGCGGCAAGAACATTCGAATGGTGGTGATGAACAACGTTTTGCCCAGGGTGGTGCGCATGCACCTCAAATACGACCTGAAGGGATCCACCTACAAGCGACGAGCCTCTAAGAAAGAGCGGGAAAAGGCGAAGCCCACTTTCAAAGACCTCGATTTCATGCAGGACGTTCAAGACGGTCTCCTGCTTGATACTGACACGCACAGCGCCCTGGTCAAGACGTTGCAGAGGGACTGTTTGGTACGTTTTGTACAGTGTGCTGGTGCCTAGAGAGCATGTCTGATTAGGAGCTAAATTGATGTGTTTTTGATGTTTAGGTCTTGGAAAGCTTTAAGATTATGGATTACAGTTTGCTGCTGGGAGTACACAACATCGACCAGGCGGAGAAAGAGCAGCAGATAGAGGGATCTCAGGGCAACAGTGACGAAAAGAGGCCGCTGGCACAGAAGGCGCTTTACTCCACTGCCATGGAGTCCATACAGGGAGCGTCGGCCTGTGGAGAGGAGATCGACACTGACGACACGTGAGCAGCCCAAATATATTTAGGATATTTAAAAAGATATGTGACGCATTTTCAAGTATTCAAAATTCTAGCTGATACCAATAGCCTGGTAATTAATTTTCATGATTATAGGGATGTTATTGCCTATAATCACTACATTGAATTCTCTACTAATTTGATACTATTTTTTAAAGATTAATTTTACAGTTAAAAAAAAAAAAACCAAACATTTCTGGATAAAATCAAGCCCTGTCCTGTTAGATATCATGTTTCATCTGGAATAGCATTTATTATGGATGGTAATGGATTGCAAACAACAAATTCATGTTTACTAACCCAAAAATGCAACTTTTTAAAAGCGAACAGACATTTTTATTTTGTCTTTTGTTTTTGTGGTGTTTAAATCCTATTTATTTTTCGTATTTTATTTGTTTGAATTTTTTTCCTTTTTTGCTCCCAAAACTATAGCTACTAATTTTTCATTTTTTTTCCAAAACAAATAAATTTTTTTGTTTTTTTCCTAAAATCTAAAATCGAGTCCTGTCTGTTAGATATCTTGTTTCATCTTGAAATGTGTCACATTATGGAAGTAAATGGATTGCAAGAAACATATTCATGTTGACTAAAGGGGCGTTCACTACACGTTTCATTGACTTTGCATTTCAAGTTTAGTGAACTCTGACCTGCAAATTTGTGACATATGAAGCCGTGTGACCAATAGAAGATCGATGAGCCACGGCTTGAACTCTTAGCTAAATTAAAAGTGGAGAACATTGTGTATTTGAACTTTTTTGTGATTATTTGTGACCGTTGCAGTGTGCGTAGACATTTTGGTCTAATGTGACTGTGGGTTACCCAAAAAAAAATTAGTTTTTAGAAATGAAATTTTGTGTTCTATGTTTTTATCTTATTTATTTATTTAAAAAAAAAAAAATTATTTAAGATTTTGCCAACTTTGGCAAACACTTTTCAGTACTATTGCAAATTTGTTCCCAAATGTATAGTTAAGCGCTTCATTTCAGATTATCAAGGTTTAGACTTTTGAGTTGGCCATAAAAACTTTAATATCCATATCCATATTTCTCATGTTTTTTCCCTGCCAGGATGGGCGGCATTCCTGCAGTCAATGGAAGAGGAGAGCGGCTTTTACTGTACATCGGAATAATCGACATCTTGCAGTCTTACAGGTGCTTGCGTCAACCTCCCCGACTCACGTCACTTATGATTTACATCATGAGGCGTGTGATTCATCGCTTGCCAGTATGATTTAAAAGCACCATGGAGTGATTTTTTTTCTTTTTTTCTGTTTAGGTTAATAAAGAAATTGGAGCATACGTGGAAGGCTCTAGTCCATGATGGGGTGAGGATTTTCTTGCATTTCAATGGCTTTTATCTAGAAAAGACCTTTTCTAATATATGAACACCATTGTTCCATGAAAGTCGCTCTGAATGAATAGCTTTAAGTTAACATCCAGCTGTGTTTTGAGACTCTGTGGTCTTTGACCTTCACTATAATTCTTCCTTCTTCCTACATTTTCATGTTAATAAAGCAGGGTCTTCTGCTGTACGTTAGCACAAACGGTGTTTACTGAGAATTATGGGGTTTTGGAGGAAATGCTTGTAAAATGTGCACTAATTTGGGACCATTTTTTTAGAGGATGTGCTAATTGGGCTATTGCTGGATATGAAACGCACATGCACATACCCCACACACACACACACACACACACACACAGACACTAATTTTCTCCTCAGCTCAGCTGTGAATAGAGGAAATTTCTCCAACCCTGCCTGTGACGTGTCAGTCTACGTCATACTGTGAATGGCTCGAGATTCATTTGCATGCTAATTAAGATATTTATAGAATTAGAGCTGGTATATCTTGATCAAGTCAGCTTGAAGTGTTGTCTGGTGTCTCCATGAATAATGTTTCACTGGAAACCTTAAGTTTGACTTAAAGCCTCCATGAAAATTATTAGTATTGAACTCAGTATTTAACTGTAATTTTCCATTTGGTCAACTGGAACTGCAGCTATTCAGATGGTTTACTTATTCGCTGTCTCTTTCACTCTTCAGGACACAGTGTCTGTTCACAGACCATCTTTCTATGCGGACAGGTTCTTCAGATTCATGAGCACTACTGTATTCAGAAAGACTTCATGTGAGTTGAATTTATATTACTGAATCACATAGAATAATTTCATGGTCCGCATGAAGATTTAATGATAAAGTAATAGGGATGCACCAGTTTGAAAATTCGACCACAATTGGGCTACATAAAGGAAAAATAAAACACAGAATTGTAGTGTGTAGTATGAAATAGGATATTTATTTTGGGATTTCCTATAGATTACATATAATATTTTATTAAATATTTTTTTATTTAAATAATATTTTTAAAAGATGAACTTAAAATGACAGCAAAAGTAATTTTAATATTCTGTACCAATACATTTTTCTAAAATCTGTCATATCGGCTGATAACTGATAAGGTACGTTGCATTCCTAAAATGTACTTTCAAATTTATATCTAAAATGTATGTGAAAAAAACCAAAGATGTTTATTATCAATATAATTTACAAGATTTTTATTTTTAGATAATAATGAAAGTAAAAGTCGTAACCGTAACCCTTCTAATGAAGCTTCGCCTTCTTTCATTATGATAATCAAAGATATCGAAACTATTTTAACTGTTTCTTTCAGCGTTAAAATCCTCTCCGTCAAAAAGGGGTCGTGGGGGTCTAGCCGTGGGCAAATACGGCGGGCCCGGAGCGGCCTGGTCGGCCAGTCAGCTGCCCTTTGTGAGAGACGAAAACATCTACGACTTGAGAGGAGCCCGTAGCTTTCCCACACTGGACGATGATGGTAAACAATATACGAAATACATTCTTCATTCTCAACTAGGTGGACTTAAAGGGTTAGTTCACTTTGAAATTCATTTTTGATATGTTTTAGCTTACCTCAAGGGCATCCAAGATGTAGGTGTTTTTGTTTCCACAGTAGTTTCAATTTTGATATTTTTAGGTCAAACCGTTCTTGTATGTCAGTCATATAATGGAGGTCTATGGTCACCACCTCAAAGAGCATGCACAGAGAAGTCCAAATTAAACATGATTTAATGACTCGTAAATGGCCTAAGACACGAAACGAGCGGTTTGTGTGAGAAAACGAACAGTATTTATATCGTTTTTACCTCTTGTAACTACAGCCACATCCAAGTGATCTGAGGGTGCGGGCATTTTGTGGCTGTGATTACAAGAGGTAAAAACGATATAAATACTGTTCGTTTTCTCACACAAACCGCTCGTTTCGTGTCTTAGGCCATTTACGAGTCATTAAATCATGTTTAATTTGGACTTCTCTGTGCATGCTCTTTGAGGTGGTGACCATAGACCTCAATTATATGACTGATGGACAACAACGGTTTGACCTAAAAATATCAAAATTGAAACTTCTGCGGAATCAAAGACGCCTACATCTTGGATGCCCTTGAGGTAAGCTAAAACATATCAAAAAATTAATTTCAAAGTGAACTATCCCTTTAATGGTTACAGTTTCAGGTCGGACAGATGTGCTTCCCTGCACCCCTCCTTCATTCGAGGAAGCCACCACAGCCTCCATCGCCACCACGCTGTCCTCCACCACCTCTCTGTCTATCCCAGAACGCTCCCCCTCGGACACCTCCGAACAACCGCGCTACAGGTACGAGTAAGACCCCGTCTGTCGCTCTGTAATGTTCCAGCACCATGGCTGTAGCGGGTACAATTAACTCTCTGTCCTCTTCCGTACAGGAGACACACCCAGTCCAGTCAGGAAGAAACGTAAGTAAAACGGAGACTGGGCTGCAATATGGGTCCGTGTATCATCCGATCATTTGATTTCCAATTTGAAATGAAATAAGCAGAAATGAGAAAACGGCTCCTTTGTTTGTTGTTTTTGTTTTTTCATGACTTCAAAATTAGTTTTCCACATGTGGGCGTTCATGAGACGCCCCCTTCTACTGATTGGTCAAGTTCATGTAAAAAATTCAAATCAAAAATTAAAATTCTGTCCGTATTTTCTAACCCTCATGTTGTACCAACCCAGTAAGACCTTCGTTCATCTTCAGAACACAAATTAAGATATTTTTGATGAATCTGAGAGCTGGATCACTCCTCCATACTAGTCCATAAGCTTCTTGAGGGATTGAAACTTGCCGGGCTCGAAAAGTTATTAAAGACATCGTTAAAATAGTCCAAGTGACTTCAGTGGCTCAATCTTGAGTTTATCAAGCGACGAGAACACTTTTTGTGTGCAAAAAACAAACAAAAATAACAACTTTATTTCAACTAACTAACTTCTGATAACAAACAAAAAAAAATGTTTAATATAAGTGACTTTGTGAACGGTTGACCACAAACCGAGCCTTCATTTTAAAGGGCAATTTCCAAATATCTTTTATTTATTTGTTATAATATGGGTATTTTGGGTCACCCGTCTTATTAATAGTATATTTGGTAATAAAGTTGTTGTTTTTATTGTGTTTTCATTAAAAATAAAGGCCATCATAAAAACTTATAAAGATCAAATGAGTTGGGTCAACATAATTTAATTGAGTTGGGTCAGCTTAATTTTGTACAATTTAATTCTACAAATTAAATCAATAATAAATGTATAATTTTAGAAATTAAGTTGCCTAAACTCAATAAAATTAAGTTGGCCCTAAGTTGTTATGATGGCCTTTATTTTTAATGAAAACAATAAAGATAAAATAAAATAAAGAATAAAAATAATGCCATCATAACAACTTAGGGCCAACTTAATTTTATCGAGTTTAGGCATCTTAATTTATAAAATTATAAACTTATTATTAATTTTAATTAATTTTCCAAAATTAAGTTGGCCCAACTCAATTAAATTGTTGGCCCAACTCATTTTGATCTTTATAAATTGTTATGATGGCCTTTATTTTTAATGAAAACAATAAAGATAAAATAAAATAAAGAATAAAAATAATGCCATCATAACAACTTAGGGCCAACTTAATTTTATTGAGTTTAGGCATCTTAATTTATAAAATTATAAATTTATTATTAATTTTAATTAATTTTCCAAAATTAAGTTGGTCCAACTCAATTAAATTGTTGGCCCAACTCATTTTGATCTTTATAAATTGTTATGATGGCCTTTATTTTTATATTAAAATATTTTTATATATATCTTCATTTTTTTTTTTTTTTTTTTTATCTGCGTTGTACAGTGTCCTTGCGTGTCCTGATAAGGCGCTTTAAATAAAATGTATTATTATTATTATTATTATTATTATGATGGCCTTTATTTTTAATGAAAACACAATAAAAAAACATCAACTTTATTACCAAATATACTATTAATAAGACGAATGACCCAAAATACCCATATTATAACAAATAAATAAAAGATATTTGGAAATTGCCCTTTAAAATGACGTCTCAGTTTGTGGTCAACCGTTCACTATTATTTTATTGAAAACAATAAAACAAAGACAAAGTCACTTATATTAAACACTTTTATTTGTTGTTTGTTATCAGAAGTTCTCTTACCCCTTTAATTGCGTTCGCTATCATTCTGTCAATCATCTGTCTTATTCTCGCAAAATTATTCTGAAAGTTTATGATTCATAACACTTGTTATAAATTACATACTACATAAAATACAATGTTTATTGCCCTCTTGGGCTTGATTTTCTTCTTAATGGAAGGGTTTGCTCTTGGTGATGTCGTTGGCTGAGCCCTCTGCTGGTGTTGTTGTAGAATGCAGGATGAGGACCAGCAGACCATCACAGTGGAGGTGGAAGTGGAGGGGCGATACGACAGCGAGCTCACCCTCGTGGCTCCCCAGGTATCGCCGGAAAACAGGTACGAACTAAAAACTGAGAAACTACCTGTGCACTTATTATATATTTATTTTTGAACACCAGATGTTGTTGAACGTGTTGGAAAAAAAAAAGATCTTATTGAAGTTTCATGGAATTAAGGGCGATGATTTAAATGCAAATGCACTGTGTGGATGTGAGATCAAGGGTATCATGGGAATAAGGAATTAGACATGCTTCATTCAGCTGAGCTCACCTGCTGAAGCTTCTCATTGTAATGGCAAAACTACACCATGGAAACTCCCTCAGAGGAACATAACCAAACAGGAAGCGCTTAATCAGCCAAACCCAAATGTTTTTGTGCTTGCCAGGCACATTATATATATATATATATATATATATATATATAATTTTTACATTTTGAAGAAGTAGAAAAAAATAGAAATTTTGAAGAAAGTTCATGCTGCACTTGTCCATACAAAGTTGCATAAACTCAGTAATTGAAATAAGGCTGAATTGAAATAATATGCAAATATTAGATAGTTTGCTATGATAACCATCAAATAAATAAGTTAACTAAAACTGAATTTTTTTTAAAAAAAATATATAGAAATATTTTTAAAAACAAAAACTTAATAAAAATGGCAAAAGCACATAACTAAAATGAAAAGCCAATTCAGTATATTAATAAATAATATAATAGTATATAAAAGATACTTGAATAACACTGCATACAACAAAAAAATCTCTAAATTGTTATATTTTTTCCTTTTCCACATGCAGTGAAGCTCCAGAGACGTTTCTAGAAGCTTCGTCCTCCTCCGTCCCAGCGAGCCCCAGGATAGTCGTGGAATCTGACAGCGCCAGTCAGGCCTCGGGCTGTACGAGCCGTGCCTCTGTGGACGAGGATGATGATGTGCCAATTACAGACATTTATTTTGTAAGCCCTTCACTCATTTGAACTACAAATATGTATTGTTTTTATAAAGAAATGCATCCGAGGAGAGCTTGAACCACCTGATGACCTAATGTCAAAGCATTAAAAACATAATATATAATATTTTTGTGTTTCGTACAAATAAAAGTATCTAAACATTCTTAAAACGCAATAAATTTACTTAAAAAGGAAAACAGCTATTGCATTAAGATAGACTATATGAGAATAAATCTTGAGAGTTTTTTGTAGCACAGTCTAATATTTTTCTTATATCTAATATTAAGCATAAATCTAACAATATTTAGGTTTATGGTTAAAAATAAGAAAATATAAGATTAAAATACATGATATATTCTAAGACAAAAATTGTATTATTATTTTTTTATTAGTTATTTATTTTTGATTAATTGAAGGATGTTTAAATATTTTTACTCGAATGAAAGAAAAAAAAATTATGATGATGTGTTAAATTTAATTTTTGAAACTATAATGTTCCACAAAGAAAAATTAAGCATATTTTAGAACCAATTACTAATTTTGCAATTTTTTTTATGACAATTAAAAACATTTTCGCCCTGATTTTGACAATACTATTAAATGTTTTTGTTGCAATAAAAACAAACAAGAATGTATTATTTTAATTGTATGTATGTTTAAATTATGATACTATTTTAGGCGTTTTTTGTTTTTATTCAATTTGTTATTTATTAAGAAAAATCATGTGTTCAGACCTCAGAAAACATTATAATATTATGATACTGACAATGAGAATTATGAGAATTTATCATTAATAAATGCATATTTAATTGTCATGGAAATAATACCAAAAAACCCCACCTTTTTTCTTTTAAATATTTTCTTCAAGTAAAAATACATTCATTTAGGGGTTAAACATGACTGTGACGTGTTCTTGATAGACTTTGTGAGATTCTCCCAAGTAGTAAACAGTGCTAATGTGACCATTGTTGAATTAATGGTGACTAAAGGAAACGTCTCCAATACGGGACAGAAGACAGAATCTCACAGAGGGTCTCTGTTGGCACGTGGGTGGGTGGGTATTTATGTCCGGAGGTGTTAGGACCTCCTATTTTTATCTTCAGTCTCTGTATGACTAGATAAGACCCATTTAAATGATGTTTGAGTCCTTTTGTTTATTTCTGAATGCTGATGATAACATTATATGTGTGGTAGCTTTGAAGAACACTCACACAATAGACGCATTCTGGCCCATGAATGACAAAATAAATGGACGTGCCAATGAATCCACAGGGATGTGTCTGAGAACAGCCAAGAAAACTGAGAAATAGCATTTGTTAGACACATTGAGGCCCTTCGGATGCCTAATGAACTCAGTTGAATGCTGAAAAGAGGCTTAGAGACACTCAAGCGCCATCTATTGAATTATTCATCCATTAACACCCTGCACCAGCTGCTCCGTCGTTCTTTCCTCTTATTAATGGAGCTGTCAATTTTTTCATTTATCGACTGCTAAACTGCACTCCATCTCCTTGGCATTTTCATTACCATCCTGCTATCTTTCTTTATGTGTCTGCTGTCTCTGTCCATCTCTCTTTCTCTGCCTCTTGTAAGTTCTCTGATGGCGGCGTCTGTGTTTGTCAGCCCATCACACACAGAAAAAGGCACAATGTAAGTTTTAGAGGAAACTAGTTTTAGAATGAATTAGCCTTTGATGTTCATAGTTTTTTTTTAGACTATTTTAGCTTTTTTCCCACCCTTTGACTATTAAATACTATTCAATTAAACAGGCAGTTTTTGTTACTGTACCTTTAAGACTTTTATATGCAAATTAACTCACTATAATACCTTTGCAATTGTTTTAGATGAAAATAGTAATTTTTTTACAGTGTAGTCTTTGATCAAGGTATAACCTTCTCTACAAGTGAAATGACTTTTCTTGTTTGCTGATGTAATGAATGCCTTGTGGGCGGGGGGAAATAAAAGTAGCCAACAATATCAATGTTAGTTTATCGTTATCCAATCAAATCCTGATGGATAAAATGTCCTGTCCTACTGTATTTTCCATTTATTTATTCTGTTTGAAAATACTTGCGTTATATAGTGCTAAAATAAAACGTGTTGCGTTTCGTAATTTGATTAAGATTTGTTATTAACGTTAATACGGTTGGAAAAGTAGTCTACATTTTTTGATACACGATGCAAATTTATGAGTGAAAATGCGAACTAATTCGTACCCTCGTATTAAGTAAATCTTGCGCACAGTAAAAATTTGTTCCATTGTTTTACTAAATCGTGGCCATGTTGTAATAATTCGATCCCTTTTTTTAAAGCTACACTGTGTGATTTTTACCCCCATCTAGCAGTGAAAAGGTAGATGACCATCCAGTGAATATTAGTTTCTGTTCCTCTCAATTCCGATTTCGTTTTAATTCCTACGGTGGCCAGTGTAGTCCAAGATTAACATGGCTTCCAGTTCGACCTCGTCCATGAGCGTTAACTCAAACATAAACGAGAAAGGCGAAGCTTGAATTAACAGGTCTGTCCCTCTTTGGCTAACGTACTTTCAAGATGGAGGGGAACCACTCACCCGTATGTATTTTCAATGGCATATTATACACTCACGAGAATACTTTATTACTTGAACAAAGTAAATATACATTAATGAGCACATATATTTTTGAAAGAACTAAGTGTTTTTTGCTAAGAATAAACTAAAAGAGTTACACAGTGTAGCTTTAATTAGTTCCCTCGTTTTAGCAAATCGTAGCCACGTTGAGCTAATACGTTCCCTTGTTTTGATTTTATTGAATTTTTATTAAAAAAAGGGAACGAATTATTACAACGTGGTCACGATTTAGTAAAACAAGGGAACACATTTTTACTGTGCGCAAGATTTACTTAATACGAGGGTACGAATTAGTTCGCATTTTCACTCATAAATTTGCATGGTGTATCAAAAAATATAGACTACTTTTCCAACCGTATTAACGTTAATAAGGAATCTTTTACTTGTCTATCTGCAGGGCTGCACATGACATGCAGAATATATATATATATATCATGGTGACAAAATAAGAATTTGTTTCCACAAACTAAGTATTCGTTCTATCGCTTTAGTAGTAGATCATGGCTACGATTGACTAATTTGTTCACTCGTTTAAGTTAAATAGTATCCACGAATTAAAGAATTCGTTCCCCCGTTTTAGTAAATCGTGGCCACGTTGAACTAATTCATTCCCTTGTTTTGATTGAACTAAATCAAGGGAATTTATCATAACATGGCCACGATTTACTTAAAGCTACACCGTATGATTTTTACCCCCATCTAGTGGTGAAAAGGTATATGTCCATTCAGTGAATATTAGTTTCTGTTCCTCTCAATTCCGATTTCGTTTTAACTCCTACGGTGGCCAAGGTAGTCCAAGATTAACATGGCTTCCAGTTCGACCTCGTCCATGAGCGTTAACTCAAACGTAAACGCGAAAGGCGAAGCTTGAATTAACGGGTATGTCCCTCTTTGGCTAATGTACTTTCAAGATGGAGGGGCAACATGGCGACCAACCTTAGAACCCCTTACCCGTATGGCATATTATACACTCACGAGAATACTTTATTACTTGAATGAAGTAAATATACATTAATGAGCACATATATTTTTGAAAGAACTAAGTGTTTTTAGCTAAGAATAAACTAAAAGAGTTACACAGTGTAGCTTTAAAACGACATTTTTTTTTTACAGGTTCCGTATCTGTCTCTTCCCACTGCATTTCTAATCTCCCTCTCTGCCACTCTTGTTTCATATCTGTCTTCCTCTCTGCATATCTCTGCTGGCTGCTTCTGTGTGTCTCCACCCCTTCTGGCTCCCTCTGCTGTCTTGGTTGTGTACCAGCAGCCTCCAGAAGACAAAAGCTGGGTGTATTCTCCTCTGCACTTCAGCACAGGGTCAAAGACCCTTCCAGAGGACGAAGAGGAGAGTGAAACAGTAAGTGCGTGCCGTGTCGTGTCGTGTTCGACCTGGGTTTGTAATTCTAGATGTTGACGATTATTCCTCGCACATTCTTTAATTTACACTTAAGCCACAGTATTCAAACGCTATTAATGTGTCCCAACAGTAATCAGACCTCAGGAGAGAGGAGCAGCTCCAAGGTTTGGACTCCTCAGACTCGTCTCGTCCGGAAGCTTTACTGGTCGGATGCTACATTAACTCAAGCTTCATTTTCATCGTTTTCATCACCCACTTCACAAACAACACCAATGTCCAGACGTATTTATGAGGAAAAATTTATATATTTGTTTAATTATTTTATTTTGTTGACATGTTTTATTTTTTCGTTCACTGTCTAATTTACATACTGTGAACGTGTTCTCCGATTTGAGCTCTGGGGTGCAAGACTCCTAAGAGTAGGCTGTATGCTATATTTTAACTGAATTATTATAATTTTGTATTCTTTTGGGCTATAGGCTATGTGAGCTTAATTTAAAAAAGAAAGACATTGTTTATAGTTATTTATGCTACTCTGGTTGTCAATGCACGTTGGTTATGAGTAGCGTTTGAAAAAATGCAAATTTATTTGTTTTATTTCTCATTAATCTGCATTCAAATGATAGTTCATATTGTGTTCTATTTCTGTTGCAGTTCTTTAATCCTAATTTTTTTTTTTTTTTAATTTTTGGATATCCCCTCCCCCGTCATCGGGTCTATTAAGAAGATGGGACCAAATTATTGTGTGGGAGGCCAAATATGTAAACCAAATTGTTAGCATATCACAATCATTTCACTATCAGAAATATTTCAGTTAAAAATGTTTTAAATTGTAAATCCATATGTATAGAATTTGTGTGTGTGCCTATGCAGTGAGCGTGTTTGTGGTTTTGAGTAAGCGAGTGTATCATTTTACAATGGAAGTGTGTGACACTGATTCTTATGACGTGGCCAGTTGCTATTGCAGTTGTATCTAAAATAAAAAGGACTACTGCAGCAATATTTGTAAAGTGTAGCACACACAAATTTTGGTTGCCTTAATTTGTTTTGCCAACCTCAATCCTATTGTAGTTATAAAATATTCACTGATTCAGTCTTTTTTTCTGTCTTAGAGAATTTGTATATAGATCTTTAAATACATATAAAATATATTTTAAATGTTATTTGAACTTTTATTTTGTAATTTATTTTGCAAAAGATGTCCAAGCTTAGGGCCACACAAAACCCACGCGTTCTTCCAGTGTTGAGGACATGCACCATTTCTTGTGTTGTCTTTCTTTGTATCATATGTATAAACTTTACAGTTCAGATTGTAAAGTCTATATGTGCTCAGACATACAACTGTATCAATCGCTTACTCTTCCAACAGTTGAGCTGTGTTTGTGTGTGTGGTCAAAAAGCTGTGTGCCCCCTCAATATCAAGAGCATGAGTCTACTTACATCGATGTACAGCATAGACATTTATCCTACAAAAAACAAAACAAAACAAAAAACCTACCACAACCAATGGACCCATGTGTGTACATTTGTTAAAACCCTTAAAATAAATTCAACTCTTGATTCACAGGTTTCTTGTTGATTTTTATATTTTAATATCTCGTTTCTTATACCATTCTGAATTTCCTAAGTATTACAAAAAGGTTTGTAACGTGGAAAGCTACAATGTGTGATTTTTACCCCCATCTAGTGGTGAAAAGGTATATGACCATCCAGTGAATATTAGTTTCTGTTCCTCTCAATTTTGATTTCGTTTTAACTCCTACGGTGGCCAATGTAGACCAAGATTAACATGGCTTCCAGTTCGACTTCGTCCGTGAGTGTTAACTCAAAGGTAAACGCGAATGGCGAAGCTTAAATTAACGGGTATGTCCCTCTTTGGATAACGTACTTTCAAGATGGAGGGGCAACATGGCGATCGACGTTAGAACATGCGTTAGAACCACTCACCCGTATGTATTTTCAATGGCATATTATACACTCACGAGAATACTTTATTACTTGAACGGAGTAAATATACATTAATGAGCACATATATTTTTGAAACAACTAAGTGTTTTCAGCTAAGAATAAACTAAAAGAGATACACAGTGTATCTTAAGGACACGACTTCCTTACTGGAGACTTTAGTGAAAGTAAATACTGGTCAAATATTCCTCCATTACAAGTAGCTAATTTATAAAGACCGTAAAAGTAAAGAAGTACTTGTTTTTAAAAGTATCAAAAGTAAAAACTAAATTTCAATGCATTGTAAAATTCAAGCTGATAGAAGCAGCTGATTTTCATTTCGTTTAATAAACTCTCACTGACACCAACAAATCACCACATTCACAAATTTTAAAATTAATTTCTTTGCATTTATTAAGAAATGTCATGACAACATGTTTAGTGCTGAAGAAATGTACATATTTTCGTGTAAAAGCCCTGGGGCAGTTTAAGGACAAGAGTCTCTCTCCAGACTGACGGCTGGCCACTGATGATGCTCTCAGGAGGGGTTGCACGCCAATGCATCAGGTCTGTTTTTTCCTCAAGACGGGGTTTCGAAACAAACCATCATTATTCCATGAGACATCACTGATTCCCAGCTGTCAGTCGGGGAGAATGAAGAGGGGCGTCAGGGCAGGGTAGGGTCATGTGACACTCAGCTAATGGTTCTTCTTAGAGATATTTGGGCAGATCCTTCTCCACCACCTGGAAGAGAAATATCTCATAAAACTTGCAAATTTTGAGCCAATATCACGGTGACAATTAGATACTGTAGCTAATCGCAAACACAACCTAGTTTATGACTAAAATACAATCAAAGATTAGTAGAAACTGAACAACGTACGCTTGGATCCTGCATGGGAGAATATCTCTTCACAACCTGGCCTTCACGGTCAATAAGGAACTGAAAATAAAACAAAAACATATTGATTTTAAGGATTTATTTTAATGAAGCCACAAAATATACAAGATTTAGCAACTCGTAAAACGCTTTGCATTGGCATAATTCAAAGGAAAAATGTATACCTTTGTGAAATTCCATTTGATGGAACTATAATGGAATAAAAACAACAGTCAATAGACATTTAAATATAATTTTTAGAATGCATCAGGTTTTTTAAAGGTATAGTTCACCCAAAAATGAAAACTCTGTCATTAATTATTCTTCCTCATGCCGTTCCAAACCTGTAAGAATTTTGTTCATCTTCCGAACACAAATAAAGATATTTTACATGAAATCTGAGAGATTTCTGTCCCTCTATTGATAGTCTACGCAACTACGACTTTTACTCTTCAAAAATTCATAAATAGATCGTAATACTATTCCATATGAATCGAGCGGGTTAGTCCCAATTTTCTGAAGAGACTTGATTGCTTTATATGATGAACAGATTGAATTTACCAGTCCAAAACCATTGACTTCTACTGTATGCACAAAAACAAACAACAACAACAATGGAAGTTAATAGGAACCAAAACTGTTTATTACCGGCATTCTTCAGAACATTTTCTTTGAAATTCCACAGAAGAAAGACAGTCAAACAGGTTTGAAACGACATGAGGGCGAGTAAATATGACATCATTTTCAGTTTTGGCAGGACTATCCCTTGAATGATATCAAATTTACACATAATTTACAAGTCAACTCACTTTCCAAAGTATCCTTTTCCATTGGGTTGTTCCTTCAGCCACTTCCACAGAGGATGCGCGGTGTCGCCGTTCACGTCAATCTTACTGAACATGTCAAACTCTGCGCCGTAAGACTTGGCGAATTCCTTGATTTGGGAATTGGTTCCTGGTTCCTGAACAAAAGCATATTATTTGGATCATGGTATTAATTTTGATTTAAGAGCGTTAAAAAGATTTTTGCTTTCCGTACCTGCCGTCCAAACTGGTTGGATGGGAAGGCCAGGATGCGTAAACCTTTCTCAGCATAGTTGGCGTGCATCTTTGCAAACTGAGAGTAGTTTACCGGGGTTTTGCCTCACTTTGAGGCAACGTTAGTGATGATGACAACATTTCCCCTAAAATATACAGTAGATTAGATTTTGTTAGTGTTACAAAACAGTGACTCTTAAAGGAGTAGTTCACTTTAAAAAACATATTTGCTGATAATTTACTCACCCCATGTCATCCAAGATGTCAATTCATCTTATATTAATTAATTCGATTTCGCATCCTCTGTGTTTACATAATATATCTGTGTATAATTTTGTATATATAAATACCTATGCATGCATGTATATTTTAAGAATTATTTGCGCTTATCTGTATATATTTATAAATAAATAATCTATATTATATATATCATATTTATATTGAATAACACATTTTCTTAAATATATACATGCATGTGTGTGTATTTATATATACAATAATTATATACAGAACACACAAATATTTATGTAAACACAGACTTTTTTTGGATGCAATAACTGCCCTACTTTTTCATCTTTCGACTCAATTCATCTTATAATTTTTTTACTTTTTTATATCATAATTTTGACTTTATATATCATAATTTAAACTTTTCATCTCATAATTTTGACCTTTTTGTCATAACTGTGACTTTTTATGTCATATTTATGACTTAATGTCATACTTGTGACTTTTGTCAATTTCTACTCAATTAATCTCATAATTTACATTTTTCTTCTCATGTTTTCAATTTCATAACTGTGACTATTTGTGTCGTATATGACTTAGGATGTCATACTGTGACTTATTTCAATTTCCACAGTCAATTCATCTAATAATCTCATTTTATGATTTACCAAAACATGTGTTTTTCTTCTATGGTGGAAATGGGCTTCAATAGAAATCTGTCAATTCCAATTGCCCAAAAACTGAAGACTGACTCTGACTTTCATCAATTAGCGTCGACTCCTCCAGAACTAATTTATTTGAAAATGAAATATAATGAAATAATGAAAAAGCTGACACGCTCATTTCTATCTCTCACCTGTATTTCTCCAGAGAAACTTCATTGCCTTCTATATCTGTGACTGTGAAGTCGTAAATGGATTTGGCCATCTGCCAGTCCTCTAGCTGTCCAGACTGAGATGGAAAACAAGTAGGACATATTTGAATACATTTGAAAACATACAAATACAAGTATTTTAAGTCCAACTGCAACTGAAAACCTGTTAATCCAGTGTTCACATTCATACATATTAAAATCATTCTCACCACAGTCTGCAACACTAGGGAGAAAACGACAGCAGAGCCTAAGAAACGCATGGCTGCTTTTCAGTACTATCTACTGAAACAGCAGGCAGCGTGTCCGATCAAATCCTCTTGCTAAGCACCTTATACTCGAGAAACATCCAGAACACTGAAAACTCCTCATATATATATAGGGATCCTGATAAATATTAACTTGTGACGGTTTCTTTCTTAATAGGTTGAATTTTTGCTGACTTCATGCTTGTAACTGGTCCACGTGCAAGGGATTTGATGGTAAATAATTTGAGGTCAAAAGTCACTGGGTGACGATCTTACACAACCTGATAAAGCTGATAGCTTGATGTGTGTGTTGGCACTTGGTCCACATGTCAGATAAGACTCTTATGTGCACATTATATAAATTATACTGTTTTGTAAATGTAGAAGAATATGATATTTCATATGAATAGTGATTTAGACATTGCCGGATGGATCCATGCAACAACAAAAAATATAACAATAATAATAGGATAATAATACATAAAATAATGTTTGACACATTAATTGCAATAAGACACCCATGAATATACCATTGTATGCCAAAAAGAAACATGATTAAACAAATAGATTGTTATTGCGCATCATTTAAATAACAGACCAGATAACTACACAAAGGCTGAACACATACAGCGAAGCTAGATCTTGCACAATAGGACTGATTATACTCATGTATCTGTATACTGATGATAAACATTTAACGTTACAAAAGCCGTTATTACGCAGCACTAGATCGTATTTACCAGATTACGTAATATGATTAAAATTGGCAAATGTCAGTTAAAGAAGTATTTAACTTTTCGATACCATTGCACCAATGATCCCACTGCTCGATAAAGCCCCGAACAGCAAAACACGATTGATAAAACTCATGTTTTGTTCTTTACGCTTCGCAAAGTCCAGTAGTGATCGATCGGTAGTGATGCCCAAATGAATCGTTCCTTTAAGTCGATTCTTTTCAGAGAATTAGTTGTTCATAAGACACAGAACGATTTGTTCATAAAGTATGATCCGGATCCGACTTACGAGAACTCATGAAATTACAATAATGTCCCGTACTAATAAAATGTCATTAATCAACAATACTTACCCTTATATTTGAGCGTTTTAGTGAATGTAATATATCTAATGCTAGGATGTAAGGGACGACAAAGGAATCAACGAATCACTTTATAAACCGGTTCTTTGAACTGTTCGTGTTGAACGAACCTATTTGCAGAAAACACACGCACTTTCCACATGAAATTCCAGATACTCAGAACTGTTTCTGGATAGTTATAAAACCTCCTCCCTTTTAATATTTGTTTTTAGGATAAATCGATAACGATAAAATAATGAAGATTAGCTGTAATGTATGCGTTATAAAAAAATCGAATTTAATATTGCATTTATTTGCTATTATTGACATTATATCATACACTTTTATAATAAAAGCTTATTTATTTACAAAAAAAATGTAGTACGTATTGTTTTTGTATATACCTAATCAAAGTGCGCGTTCTGTTCAGTCTGACGTCATATACACGCGCCATCAGCAGGACGCAAACGTGCAGTACACTGCTCGAATCAGCTGTCTGTTTTAAACGAAATATTTTGTATTAATCATCTGTTTTAACGCGATATGGATGACGAGGAAGAGACTTACAGACTATGGAAAATTAGGAAAACTATAATGCAGGTAAATGAACAGCAACACAACTTGTTTAGTAACGTTATAAGCCATGTTGCGTAGACCGTTATTGTGACTCTTATTCCGATCCGTAGGAGTTTAATGCTTTATTAGTACAATACACATCAAAATATGTAATGTTATTATTGTGTATATCGTCTCGGTGTAGCTTTGCCACGACCGTGGTTATTTGGTGACGCAAGATGAGCTGGATCAGACTCTTGATGAGTTCAGAAGCCAGTTTGGAGACAAACCCAGTGAGGGTCGACCTCGACGAACCGACCTCACTGTCCTGGTCGCCCACAACGACGATCCAACCGACCAGATGTTTGTGTTCTTCCCTGGTATGTTCTATCTTCCATCCCTGTTTAACACTTACGAACTATTGATGGATGTTTGATATATTTCGGATGTCCAGGACTGATTATACATATTTATCTTGCTTTCAGAGGAACCAAAGGTTGGAATCAAAACCATAAAGATGTATTGTCAGCGTATGCAGGAAGAAAACATCACTCGGGCCATTATTGTAGTGCAGATGGGCATGACGCCCTCCGCCAAACAGGTGAGTGAGCCACAATCATATTCACTGCGATATCGATGGTTAGATGGTGGTGCAGGAATGTCTGACGTCACTTTGTAGGCCAGTTAGCATCACACTGATTCCCTCGACAAAATCCCAATAGTGATTTCCCATAGACTTTTGGACTTTTCTCAGGTTTTATCTTAAAACATTTTCCCAGAACGTTTAAATTTAATTAGAATAGTTTATATTCACAATTATAAGCATACCAAGGCTGTAAAAGCAGCCTGAGTTTAGCTTTTCAGTGTCCCATGTCCCATTTTGCACATTGTTAGCAAGGCCCACAAAGTGATGTCATACCTGCACCAATGGAAGGTTATTCGAAGGTGCAGTGATGTGTTTTTGTAGGCCAACCGGAAGTTAGCGTCAGCCTGTCTCCCTCAACAAATAGCTAACTGTTTTACATTGGCTTTTGGATTATTGCTGAAAAGAAGCTATGCGACCAACAGAAGTTTATGATTCTTGTATGTTTTGTTTATTAACATAATCTTCACAAATGAACAATTTTAAAGAATTTAAAAGCCTAATTATTGTTGCCAGAAGTAAATGTAGGCTAAAGATAGCAATTGTTGGGTTCTGAAACTAAAACCTCCCTTTATTTTCTTCATAGGTCAATTTGGTTTCAACAGTAATTTATAAATCATTTAAGACAGTCCTACTTTGATGTCTGAGGTTGTTAAGATTATTTCAACAATTATTTTTTAAAAAGAATCGTGTTTAACAACAGAGAGTCAGAGTATTGATGTATGACGTGAAAGTACAGCGAGAGAGATTAAAGACTTAAATTGTCCATTATTTAGTTCTAAAGATATACAACAATGTATAAAATGCTCCATTATTTTGTATCTTACCTTACGGCCCCTGTAGAAGCCGTTTTTGTAAAAATAGGCTAAAGGTTGCGTCATAACCATGGGACTTTCTGTCGCACAATTGAGACATTACCGTATAGACACGAGCAGAAGCTCGCAAGCAATCTTTTACTGTCTATGAGGCAATCGGGGGGACATGGAGCCACAAAGTCAAGGGAGAAGCCCATAGATAGAGAATCCATAAAAGCAACGGGACAAAATATGTCAACAACGTTTTTGAGGAATTAGGCGATTCAGATTTGTGTTGGCACAGCTACTAGAATATTTACAACTGTCAGACTGTTGTCGCGCTAAGTTTGAGCCCGCGGAGTCAATGGGGTTGCTTTGTCCATTTCTTTTACTGTCTATGGGTCTAACTCACCTAATCACATAATTTGTGGTAATTTATGGGAGTGGCTGCAATTTGCTCATGTGACTGATTGGTGGAATTTCAAGTCAAACACAACTACTGTCTTAAGGCGAGACATGGCAGGCAAAAACTGTTTTGTTTTTTCATTGGTCTATTTTGAGATTTTGGAATATTTGTCTTCAATAACATGTCGTATTTCAGACTTGTGGTGAAAAAAAAGTCAGAAAAACACATTTAGGTCTTTATTTTACTAAACTTTGTCTGTTTGTGTCTGTAGATTTCTCATAAATTCTTCAAATTCTTCTGTCGCTATAAATCATCCTGCTGCTCGATCGTGATCTGCACCCTGTCATCACACACACCGTTAGAAAGCTCTCTTTCTCCTGTCCAACGCTGTTGGGTCCAAATATAGTAATTTCCTTTTTATCAGCAACCAATTGTGAAAGTAAAAGGGGGGATTTAACTCTAAATACGCGATCTCATTGGCTGATGCTAAATCTTTAAAGCCCATTTTCTCAAAATGACTTTTCTCTCACACTCCAAGTCCCAAATCTCCACTTCAGTAGCACCTATATACACCAAACTTTCCATCATGAAGACATTTACAGAGGGATTTGTAAATATATTATTCCTAGCCTGATTTATATAACATTTTATTCCAAAAAAATGGTGCAAATCTTTTTTTAAGGCAATTGGCAGTATATTCTGATTTACAGGATAACAAAAGTAGATATATCCATATAGTAGCTAAGATATCCAAGTAGATAATCCCTCTGTAATTTTGTTCACATGCAAATTAGTGCTTATTTAATTAGATAACACCTCATCTGTATATTTAAACATTAAATTACAGAAATTTGTAATGTATTTTTTCTCATCTTAGTGTAGGTAATCAACTGGGAAAGTTTCATGGTGATATCTGCTAGTTAAAAAAATTACCCTATTCACCTGTAGTGTCTCGCCTTGCAATGCTTCATGGGATTGTAGTTCTCTCCCTCACAAAAGATTTAAAGTACGCAGTCTTGTCCGATTATCTAGCTGTGAAACTGGACTAGAGTAGTTGGGTTTAGCTGTTCGGCTGATGACGGTTAATGCCCCCGGCAAATAATGTAGTCTCCTTATGACACTTGTTAGCAACCATACATTTTTGAGACAGCTAAAAGCTTTAATTAAATCATAAGCAGGTATTACTGATGTATTTTGTGTCAGAATAAAACACAAAAATATTTAGAGCTTGTGTCAACCACAGACATCATTTCAAGCATTTAACCCATTGACTTCAAACGATGGACCGAAAGTGCTCAAACCGTTTGAGTTTTGGCCGACGAAAATGTGATTCCTGCAGACTGCAGCTGCTGTATCGCGCAAGATATTTAACTTGGTTTGTCTTTCATATTTCAGTCTCTGGTAGACATGGCACCAAAGTACATCCTTGAGCAGTTTCTTCAGCAGGAGCTTCTAATCAACATTACTGAACACGAGGTGAGAAGAAACCTGCATTTTAACATGGACTTTCAGCACGTTTTAGATTTTTTGCCAGTTTTTGTGCAATGAAAATGTGATAATTCTTTTCAGCTTGTTCCAGAGCACATAGTGATGACTAAAGAGGAAGTAACCGAGTTGCTAGCACGATAGTATCCTTTTGTACCTGGAAGCATGTAGTCACTTTATCTGCTCACACTCAATTGAATGGTTTTCTGTAGAACTTATCTGTAGTTATAGCTTTAGGTTGGAGACTTCTGGTTAGCCTTAACCAGCTCCTCTCCAGTAAACTAAAGGAAAGCCAGCTTCCCAGAATTCAAGCTGGGGATCCCGTCGCCCGTTACTTTGGCTTAAAAAGAGGCCAGGTGGGAAATTAATCTAAAGTGCAGCTTTCTTATTTTCACATCTCTGAAAATATTTGGTGTAAGTAACTTGTGTCGTGTTTTTCAGGTTGTTAAGATCATCAGACCGAGTGAAACTGCTGGACGGTACATCACATACAGATTGGTCCAGTAATGCTCTAGTAAGTCAGTATTTCTGTTGTATTTCAGTTCATTAGTATAGGGTTGGGAATCAAATCAATTCCAATTCTGGAATCCTCCTAAACGCATTTGGTGACCCAAAAATGAAAATTCTGTCAGTATTTACTCACCCTCATGTTGTTCCAACCCCGTAAGACCTTCGTTCATCTTCGGATCACGAATTAAGATATTTAAGATATTAAGATCACTCCTGCATACAGTCCATAGGCTTCTTGAGGGAATGACTTGCTGTCCTCGAAAAGTCATTAAAGACATCGTTAAAATAGTCCAAGTGACTACAGTGGCTCAATCTTAAGTTTATCAAATGACGAAAACACTTTTGTGCGCAAAAAAACAACAAAAATAACGACTTTATTTCAACTATTAGTTTATTTCTCCCTCTGCGCGAGTGAGGTTACTAGTTTAATAGCGTAAGCTTCTGTTATTGTACGTCACACGCATCACACACATGACCAGCGTCGGCCAGTAGTGAGCCTACGTGTGACGTAGCTCTACGCAATCACACTACGTTAACTGACTACAGGCCCACAGAGAAGGAAGTGAATAGTTGAAATAAAGTCGTTATTTTTGTTTGTTTTTGCGCACAAAGTTTTCTCGTCGTTTGATAAATTAAGATTGAGCCACTGTTGTCACTTGGACTATTTTAACAATGTCTTTAATGACTTTTCGATGCCAGCAAGAGTCATTCCCTCAAGAAGCCTATGGACTAGTATGCAGGAGTGATATTAATATCTTAATTTGTGTTCCGAAGATGAACGAAGGTCTTAAGGGGTTGGAACAACATGAGGGTGAGTAAATACTGACAGAATTTTCATTTTGGGGTGAACTAACCCTTTAAGTGAACTAGGGCTGCAACAACTAATCGATAAAATCGATTATAATCGATTATGAAAATCGTTGTCAACGAATGTCATTATCGATTAGTTGGTCTGATTACGTCACGGGGATTGTTTACATGCTACATGCGCTTCTTACATGCGTTTCTTACGTGCGCTTCATGAGGCACACACGCAGTCTCTCTCCCTCGCCGGTCTGTGCGCAACACAGACGGTTTGGAGCACATTATCTTCTGTCTCGCATGCGCATTCTTGATTCCGTGAGTTTGAACTAATTTGCGGGCATCAGGAAACCGCTATCAATATGCAGCATACACGAAAATCATTCACCTTTCGGCAAATTCGCCGTTTTGAAACCAAAATAGGTGACCTGCGTTAATCGTGTATACTTTATGAAGCCATACTGTAGGCTAGTATAATGTGAGATAGAAATGTATATTTAAGTCATTAAATTCAAGTTAACGTAAGCTTTTCCCTCCACTGCGGCTGTCAGTCATTCTCTATTCGGTCTTCAAACAGCGCGTCACGTTACAACAGTTAACATGATGAAACTCTTTCCAAGATGATTCAATGTTATTATTATAATTGATCCGTAGATAAAGGTCTATGGTTTCGTAATATAATGACTATCTTGCTAGACTTTTATTGCTGTAACTTTAACACACAAAAGAGTGTGGTTTTTAGGGTTTTATTTAGTTATAAAAAAAACAAAAAAAATGAAATAAATTTTTTATCCGATTAATCGAAAAAATAATCGTCCGATTAATCGATTATCAAAATAATCGTTAGTTGCAGCCCTAAAGTGAACATAAACAGTTGAGAAAGAAAACGCATGTGTAACAGTATATTGGATCGGAAGTAGGGTTGGACAATTTTGGCAAAAATCATAATCGCGATTAATCGAACAAGTCACCTCGATTACGATTATTGAACGATTATTTTAACTTTTTTTTCTCTCATGTATGATTTTTTTTTCTAATGAAAGAGTGCATAATCCTCTCTTTGAGATTCTAAAATAAGGAAACACACAGATAGCATTTAATGCTTATTAAATATTTAAAAATATTTTTTAAAAATTTAGAAAATTTTTCTTTTTGTAAACAAAATAAATTATTGTAAATATTGTCATCTTAAAAGTAAAATATAACTTGTATAAAACAAAAAACGAATCCTTTTCACATTATAGCAATTGTAAATGCTTTTTTTTCTCTGAATCGATCATAAACTAGCGCATTATGTACCGTTTCACGTTGGCGAAAGATCCCGGCTTAAACGGCATCGCAACACGGCATTGATTACGGCTTTTGTTCACACAGCGCGTGCGCCGTGACTGAACCATGGACTGAACACAGCAATGTTACTCTGTCCCCAAAGTTTTTGAAAACTATACCATCATTATCATCATTAGGTGTTCAGTCCTTAGGTTGCATAGTTTCTTTACGAAGTGACATCGCCACCTACTGGCCTGGCAGCGTAATAGTTTTGTCGTTTTCGCAGATCTGTGTGAACGGGATCGTTTTGACAATGTTGTCATCTGTACATGAAAAATGCAATGGAAAAACTTTACCGTTTTTAGTATTGTCGTCATGTAAACATACCCTCGATGTTTGACCCAACCCTACTAGAGTGCTAAGTTAATTTTGCTGTTATTGTCTTTCCTCTTATTTCCCTGTAATACTTTATTTTTTTAGTATTTTGATAATCCAAATTCAAGTTGCTATTCTGTAAATCAATGTTATTTTAGTCTCATTAACTTAAACTTTTACTAACTAATGATTTGTCTTTTAAATTTCACATTGTTAGTTGATAATGCTGTAAGTTATTGATATTTTTTCATCTTTCCTTTGTCAGGCTCAACAGTTTCTCCAACTGCTGAAAGTGGTCTGATTTCCCTTTTTTTAAATTCTTTTTTAACTAATAAATATGGTTCTGTAAGTCAGTCTCTCCTTGTATCATTTCTTTTTACAGCTTGTCATATAACTCCGAGCAGTGCAAAGTGGAGAAAAGAAAGTTCTCACCTTCTTTTTTCTGAAAGGCATCATCACAAAGCAAATGTCCTCAAGTTTAATGAAAAAAAAAGATGTGTGCACATTGTTCACTACCAACCAAGCATTGCATACTGCAACACAATGACACCTCTTCCTCACTGGGTTTATAATTTGCATGCAACCATGATGTCAAGTTGGAATTGGTTATGAACAGAAAATGATTTACATTTTTTTGTTTATTAAAAGAGGAGCACAAACACAAAATTTAACAGATATTCAACGATGAGTATAAAGTGATCTCATAGGATAGAATGCATGATAGATTGTTGCCTGATGACACCGGAGGCGTAGTGCTGTTTGTAAAATAAAGCTGAAAACCAATAAAAAAGGTCTTTAAGGTGAAGTTGAAGTATTTTAAATATTAAAACGCATCTTTAAAAATACATTGGAACGTTATAAAACAAACCCCAGCAATCTTGTGTGTGGGAGAAACTCAGAGATTGAGTGTTTTGCCGCTATTGTTACTCTGATTGTTACACCTGGCACTATGTTGAGATTTTGGCTTCTGGAATTGTCAATTTTGATATCGGAGTAAAGAGACAAATATTTCTGGGTTCTACAGATCCTCAGCTACAATTTGGAGACATTGAAAAAAATTATTATTTTTTTATATAAAAATATGAAAAATAAATAAACAAGGGATTTAACAAATATTTATTCCTCAAAGGCTTTAGAACACCTGCAAAAAAATTGGATGAAAAAACATAAAGAAACAAAACAGATATTTACATTTCTGTAACTAGTCAGTAGTCACCATACTTTTTTTGAGAAAAACACTGAAAGAAGAATATAAAGGGAACGAAATGTTCATTAGAATGGAAAATTCTCAATGGTCTCAATTTACAAAATATACAAAACCACCCCTAGATGACACTGTGCACTGCATTTGAAAGACTTGAAATATTGACGTTTCAATATTTGATGTTTGATTGTAAAAAAAATGTTCTTCCAATAGTCACTTACTGCTGGGAGCTTTAGAACTCCCATGTACAAAACCAAGCCAATGAATTTGAACATCTCTGCAGGGTTGATAGTGGTCCACTTGTACCTTTTCCCAGCAGCAATATTTCTCTCTGCCAGCTTGTTTGTGTTGGCACACACTGTCCTGATTGAATCAGCACTAAAAAAAGTATTTGAAAAGGCCGATGGGCCTTTGCTCTACGGATGTGTCCAATGGACTTTATGCACAGCTACACTACTTCCTGAACTTAAGCCAGCTCCTTGTTTCCTGTCTGCCATTATTGGCCAAATTGATTAATCCAGGTGTGCCTGACCTCAGTAGTCACGGCAACAATAATCAGACACACCTGAATTAATCAATTTCGGCCAATAATGGCAGACAGGAAACAAGGAGCTGGCTTAAGTTCAGGAGTGCAGCTGTGCATAAGGTCAATTGCACTCCAGGTTCCAGTCTGGGGCAAAACCTGTGCCCAGACTGGATCATTTTCGGTCTCCAATCCTTGTTCCAACTGGTCTGGTGGTGCTGAACGTCTGACAGGTGAAAGTGACAAAATTATTACTGGAGCCTTTATCATAGTATATGCACAGAGTTAATAAAATGTCGGAAACCCCCTCCCATTTAGACAAATAGTACAGGCCTTAGATAAGGCATACTGCATTATTATTTCTGAAAAACTACAATAATATTTTCCTTAAAAATCATTTCAATAAAATAGACAAGCGAAGTAAGCGAATTAGCTTATAAATACATTCGGGCAAAACGCGCACATTGTTTGATGCGCACATGGCGTGTTTGATTACAGCTCCGTTACTTCCGAAAAGCTATAATAAATTAAAATATCTGACTAAAAACTATACAATTAGACAATATATTGTCAGTAATCTATCATTCGTACTTACTCCTCAAATGCATCGAGTCCGTGGAATATTTGATCTTCTTCCTCCGAATCAAATCCGATTCCACTCTCATCACTGTCGGCCCCCTGTCCTTATGTCTTAAATTACACTTTTCGTTATTTTAAGGCCGTCATATAGTGTAATAAATGTCTTAATTTTAGTTTGAATGGGTCTGAAGGTTCACCCTGCTTATGGAGTAATCAAAGCATGGACTAAAGTGCAAAATCACTTTCCTCTCTCCACTCTTACCGTTCTGTTGTCACTCCGAAATCTCAACTCTCCAAATCCACTCCTGGTTTTCCATTCCCGGTCACGGGAAAAACTGCTTTTGTTCACACAACTTTAAAAGTTATTCTAATATGTTTTTTTTTTTATATCACAAACGTCAGAATTTATAAGACTAAATGTAACGGATTGGAAAGTATTCTACACTTTTAATAAATGTTCCAGCCCTTGCTTGCACGCATATGTAAACAGCCTGGCAAAGCGCACCCATGGTAAAAGGAAAGAAAGTTACAGAAAACATCTTCTACAAACAATTTTAATTTGCCAATACTTATTAATAATACATAAAAGTGCATGACGTGCAAATCGGATAATAAAGTGCATGTTTTTTTCAAAGCATCGGTCCCGAACCGGCGGCATCAACACGCGTCTGCCGTGATTAAACTTCTCCACAGTTGTTCTATGAAAACCCCCAAAAGCTGTGAAGTGATCCATATGGTTGTTTCTTCTTTGGTTTGAAAGATTAAAAGGTAAGCAACGGGAGGGTTTTAGTCTCGGCATATTTGTCCTCCGACTGCAACTGCTAGTGCCGTGGAGAATTAAACAAGACAGGGCAAACGTGTGAATGTTCAGGCTATTGTATGCAAACAAATAAAATCTTAGTTGTAACCCTATATTTACAGAAGGCATAATTCTCATTGTGTAGAAGCATGAGACCAAGACAATCTTCTGTTCGTGAACAGTTGTATTTCATTCATTAACCTGACGTTGCATCCATGCATTTAATTGCCATTTGCTGGCGTGATGGTAATATATATTTCAGTAGTATTTTAAATGATATAGTGATTCTATAAACAACTATAAGAGATAATTTTCGTCTTTCTCCAGCTCCCTGCACCGGCGTAAAGCGTAACCGGAAGTGTCCAGCCGCACACATCAGAAATCCAAAATGGCGGCCACGTGCAACCGCGTGTAACTAGCCGCGATCAAGTAAGTCTTAAATACTCATTACACAGTTTAAAAACACATTTTACGCGGTCGTTTCTAAATGGCTTCTTTCATGTTCAGCGCTCTTCGTGTGTGTTAACTGAAACACTTAAATAAGACCTGTATGTTACTCGCATACAAAACGGTAATGCTAGCAAACGGCTTTGTTAAGAATGTAGTTATTAGAATATTAACTATTCATATCGGCGAATTACAATGTTTGATAAAGATGGGTTTCATTAGTCTTTATGTTCCTGCAATTTTACTGTATCACTTGAGAAATAATATTTTAATATTAGACCACTTTTATTCTTTCAGTATACAGTCTGTAACAATCTGTTTCTAACAGATGATCTGCTGCTGGTGCCGACTGGCTTGTCGAATAAGTGTTGATGATAGTCTATGGATCATCACTATTATCAGAGCAGATGAAAAGCCTTTTTATTTATTGTCAATAGATCATGTTTTCACCTCATTAAAGGAGAGCTCCGGCGAACAATGAACCTTTGGTCTAATAAAACATCGGTACATAGTAGGGGTGCAACGGATCAAAAAACTCACGGATCGGATCGTTTCTCGGATCAGGGTCACGGATCGGATCATTTTTCGGATCAGCAAAAAAAAAAAAAAAAAAAAAAATTTCCCCCAAAATAACTGTAACAGCCTACTGACAAATTCTTTAATAACAAATAGACTTAACATTATGATATTCTGTTTTATTTTAACTTCACAGGGTTCCAAACTGAAAGTTGAGGGCAGCATCACCTCAAATGAGAACTCACAGCGAGTTCTACAAAAAAAAAAAAAAAAAAAAAAAAAAAATTCTGGTGGCACTGGGGCTGACATTATAAATCACTAAGCTTAATAGGGTGTAGATGAAATTAACTTAGTTATTATCATTTATAATGTCTTAATATCAATTAATAAAAGTAGTGAAAATATCATCGTACTTTTTTCATTTTAGGACAATCTTTAAAGGATAAACAAAAAATGTGTTGGTAATCACATAAAAAATTCAAAAAAATAAAACATTTATTTATGATATTATTGAAGTGCTGGGAAAAGATGTGTAGTAGGCTACTTGTAAGCATTTGACTATTTCTTACACATTATCATATATAGGCTGATTTGTGGACTGAAAGCCTTCTTTAAGTGTTTCTCCTGGTTTCCACGTCAGCGCTGTTTGATCTGATATGGTTTATAACAGAAACCTGCGCGTTGGAATCGGAGTGTTTCTCATTGGATCTCGTGGTGTTGATGTTATTAATTCTGAGGCGAATTCAATGGATTTCTTCACTGGAGCTCATCTCCTAGTAACAGTGTTGCGTGAGCGAGATCGGCCCGCGACTGTCAAGTTCGGGGCTTTATTTTGTCAATGGATCGCTGCTGCTGCTCCGACCACGGTCCTAATCATAAATGAGTAGCGTATTTTCGTTCCACTTTCATTAGGGGTTCAAGCACGAAGTGCTGAAACCCTATTGTTTTTGTACTGATTTTTATTATTATTAGGGGTTCAAGCACGAAGTGCTGAAACCCTATTGTAATTGTATTGATTTTTATTATTATTATTATTATTATTATTATTATTATTATTATTATTATTATTCTGCCGTAAAACGCATCGTGCAGACCAAACCGTAAGTGCTGGAGACCTGAAACTTTGTCAGATGGTAGTACAAAAATCGAGGAGAGGTTATCAAATTATGAGCCCGATTGGCCCATAGGTGGCGCTATAGCGACCAATTGCGCGAAACCACTCATAACTCCTAGACCGTAAGTCGTACACTCAAGTGTCTTATATCGTTGGAAAGCTGGTCACCTGACGAAAAAAACGTATATCTCCGATTTCATTTCCGTCATGATAGATTTTCCGCCATTTTGAATTTTGTCAAAAAACTACTTTTGCGAACTAGTCCCTGGTTTTTTGCCCGATCGGAACCAAACCAGTGCAGAAATGTTCTCTGGAGTCTGAAGATCAATAATTATCAAAAAAATGTTGAAATTTCTCGTTCCGGTCGCTAGGGGGCGCAAAATAAACGTTGTGGGAGGAGCCTATTTTACTAAAATGGCTATAGCTTGAGAAGTAAATGAGATATCTTCACCAAACTCTGTACACATGTGTAAGAGTTCAATTTGAGGTGACAGTAAAAAAATCGCGACGATTGAACACTAGGTGGCGCTATAAAATGAAAAAAACAGATAAACACCTGACCGTCAGTCCGATTGACTTGAAAATTGGTATGCAGTGTCTTGGTCCAAGGCCCCATGTACGTCTATAAGGACATTGGTGTATCTCAAAAAACATGGCCGCCATCGGCCAATGAAGTTTGAGCATCTATGAAACAAGGTTAACGAAGGCCGATCGGAACGAAACTCGTTGGGAATGTTCGACTCATGGCCCTAGAGGTCTGTAAAAATTTTGAAAGAAATCGGCCACTAGTTGGCGCTAACGAGTTTTATTGCTCTGTAATCACGTGGTGTTGCACACACCCCCACAAAATGTATATCAATTGATAGATCTCCTCATGATGAACAACTTTGCCTCAAGAACCATTGCTGTCAATCAATTCGTTCGTTAAATATTCACGAATATGTTAAAAACCTACTTTTGCGAACTAGTCCCTGGTTTTTTGCCCGATCGGAACCAGACTAGTCTAGGATAATTCTTTGGACTCTCTTGATCAATAATTATCCAAAAAAAGTTCAACTTTGTCATTTGTCTTGCTATAACAGAGTCATTTACAAAAGGGGCGTGACAAAAAGGCCCCAAAAGCCTGTAAATCCTAAAGGAAAACTCAGAACTTTACAAAAATTGATGAGCATATGTGTCATAACATGCTGAAGAAGCATGCACAGTTTCATGGAGATCGGACCATAGGTGGCGCTATAACTGTTAAAAAGCTTTAAAACCATGTATTTCCAATGGTAAATTGCCAGTATTGGCTGTAAATGGTGTTTTCCATCTCTGATCATATCATAATGTTAAAACCAGTGCAGTACAATTCTCTGGACTCTCTAGATCAATAATTATAACAAAAAGTTGAACTACGTCATATGGATGACTATAATAGGATGGCTTCAACATTTAGTGTGTTTAAGCCATCTATTACTACACTTTCAGTGTCCCTGAAAGCGTTGATCTCTTCAATAAACAAGTCAGAACACGTGACATTAAATAATCATGAACATTTTCAGACAGATCTGACAAAATATGCCTAAATAACAGTTAAAAAAGGTGAAATGATATCAAAATGATGGTCTATTAAGCCAATAAGTGGTGTTTTACTGCCCTCTGCTGTTCAAAATAGTAAGTGTCTCACTACTCAACTATAATTAATATTATGACTTTATTAATGATCTATTTTAACATTTGCAATCACATTTAGTCAAATATTGAACACAATAATTTTTTTTGTCAAAGTTTATCACTTCAGTTGTTCTGAATCTTCACATAATTGCTATGAACGTGGTAAATAGCTATACTATATTCCTAGAATCACATTAAAATCCAATCATCCAAGCCCCAATCACTGTAAATAATGTTAAATCATGCTAGAACATGGTAAATTAATGTACACTATGGTCAGAGGTGTAGTGGAAAAAAAAAGAGGTGGGTAAACTATAAATTCTGGTGGATCACGACGTGGTCACCAGGTAAGGTGGGCCACTGTCTACCGGTGTATGTGTATCCTGATAACATTGCTATAGGGAGGCCTCGACATTAACCCTTTTAATACGCTTGTCCTTCGGACAAGTAAGTCTGCCATTCATTTGTCTGAGTAAAAAAGTTGCTTGACCAGATTTTTTATTTTTTATTTTGTGTGTGTTGATTTATTCTGAAACAATATTCTCATCAGTGTTCAATCAGCTTTGATATTTAAATCACATTATTTTAATATCCCCTCACCCAATATTATTAAATGTATGCTTCATCTTTCATTTTAAATAGTTAAATTTGATAAATAAATTAAATTATTTCGAATAATAAGACACTATGGGCTGTTACCCTAGGGGCTGATCAAATTAAATCATTTACACTGAAAAATCACAATTGCATAAAATAATGTTATGACATTTATTTAAATTTACATAAGAAACTGGGAAAGAATGATACCACTTTTAAACATTTAACACTAAACCGCCAGTAGGTGGTGGCAGGCGACCGTCTTAATGAGTGAGTCATTGATTCATTTATTCAAACGATTCGTTCAAACGGCTGATCATTCAAGAATGAGACCGATGTTTTTGAATGGGTCTTTGAATCTTTGACTCAATCGATTCGTTCAAAATGCTGAATCATTCAGTAAACACGTCGAGTGTTCCTGTGACATGTGCCGTGGTTCTGCTGTGATTATTGTTTGGAACTATTTTCGCTGCTGAAACAGAACAAAAACAGCCAATATAGCATCTAAAATGTAAGTGATTTAGTTTTTTACTGTTTATTGAACTGTTGTAGGAAATCAATGTCACGTTTTCAATCGTGATGGTGTTCAGGAAAAATAATTGAGGTTGTTTATTAAAATGCGATCTGTATCCAGATAAGTTATCCGGATAATAAGTACCGATTCCATTTACACATGGCCACATAAATGTGTTTTTGCAAAACGGATATAAATCCGATCTTAAACTCCCGCGTATGCAGATTTAATGGATTGCACGCCACCAAAAGCAACAGATTTGAGCTGCATTTCGTTGATCATCAGCTAATTTCCAAATCAAAGACATCAATAAAAGAGTGGCAACAACGCTGGTAAGATAATTTCGTTTCTTTACTTGAAGATGATTGTGTGTTAAGCGTCTGTGACTTACTTTCACTTTTATTTGCGATGTTTGCACGTTGGCTCGATGAATAGACGATCAGCTGCTCATCTGCGGTGATGGGTGATACGTGTCGCAGTAGCGCCGTCATATCTGACTATAACATGACATATAGCCTATATAACAAGCTCACTCGTTTATTTTTTGCCTTTTTGGGAGGAGTAAAATATACATATGTGGTTTCA